TCTCACGAGCAACAACCTCCTTCATGGACAAAACTTTAGGATCTTCTTTGGCATCCAGAATCTGATTATTTGCCCCAATTTTGTAATTGGGGAACCGACTAGACGCAAATATTACATCAGCTGATACTGCTGGAACTGCTTCCTTTTGCATAGTACCACCAAATTCTCGACTTACCCTCGTCATTGTTCTGAAACTAAACTCTGTCAGATCACCAAAAAGAGGGGGTTTATTTTTCGGGTTCTGAAAAAGGATTTTAACTTAGAATAAAAGAATTATTTATTTAAAAAAAAACCTGCAAACAGCTTAAACCAAAATGTGGGTCAGTATTAACCAACCTAAACACTTCAATTAGGTATATTAATTATCTAAATTAGTTGCCAAACATCTAACTCAAAAAAAAAAACCCAATTTAAATCAGATAATTTGTAGTTAGGTACGCTAAGCAGAAATAAAATAAAATAATGTTTTCACTCAATTTTTGCTAATATGAACAAAAAAATAAAAAAATGAAATATAGATCAAAATCAGAAAACTACCAGAAAATTCTCTAACATCTAAACAAATAAAATACCACAAGACAAACATGCAAAGCAGGGGGCATAAGAAAATAAAAACAGATAGTATTTGGTTATAGGAAACCCTAATTTAAGAAGAAAAAAAAAGGGAAAAGCAAACAATGAAGGGAAAAAAAGGGAGAATTGGAACTTACAGATCATGAAAAATATGTGAAAAAGAAGAAAGAAAAGGGAAAAATGGAATAGCGAAATCAGATTGTCCGATCAGCTAGGTTGAAATGGAAGGAAAGCTTTTGAATTATCTGAAGAAATTAATACAAATAGTTGAAGAGGAAAAATAAAGAGAATATGCAGGAATTTTTTCTTTTTTTTTTTTCGGGGTTGTTGTTCTGCTTTTTGAAAAGGGAAGGCAAAAAGAAGAGAAGAGGCGAGAAGACAAAGAAAAAGCCTCCCTCCATGGACTGACTACTTTCTCTTTCCTATTTTTTATTTTATGTCTAGCTTTTGTTTCCGTCAAAGAAATGGTAAGAAATTCAACAGTATCTAATGTTTTTAATTCACTGTATCCTCAAATTGACCCTGTCTATTGTCTGTCTTTTACTTTCTTTGCTTTTAATTACCTATTAAATTTTATTTTTCATTTCTTATGTAAAATATATATTATATATATGCATTTAATTCTTAGTATTTATAATATATAAAATCAAAATACATGTATATTTTTTTGTTGGTAGAAATAAATATCTTGATTTACGATATTTTAAAATTATTATTTTGAATAATTTTTATTGCTTATTATTTTTAATTACAATTATAAATTAATAATTTTAAGATTTATCCAGATTTGCATAGGAATTTTTTAATTCTATTGAATCACTTTTATTAAAAAAAAATAGTTATTTGCATTCAAAATTTTTATTATCTTTTTTCGAAATGGTGTCATATTAAGTTGAAAAAAATTAAAAATTAATTTCAAATAAAAAATAAACTTAATTACAATAATTAAGAATCATTTCTACTAACAATTGTTTGACACTTTTGAAACTTAAGATTACTATTTAAAAATAAAATCATTTGTCAATTTAGTAAAGACCATTGTATTAATCATATACTGTTATATTAAAAGGAAAATATTTTTTAAAAAAATTTATATTTGATACACTCATTATCATTTAATTATAAAATGTTATTTTGTAAATAAGTAAAAAATAGAAAATTAAAAGTCTTTTTAAATAAATTTTGTGTGTGTTTAAATATCAACAACTTGTTTGCTCTTTGCTATGAGATAGTAAAAAACTAAAATGTAAACATTACTGGCAAATTATCTAACACAAAAACAGGGAAAATCGACCTAATTTACTACATTGTCCTTGGTGGAATGAAGGAAAATTCGCACCTTAAGGGGCAAAAGGCTTGTTGAAGTATGGGGTGAAATGGGAATGATAAATATTTTCTGTTTACGGAGATAAATGAATTGGGAATTGTTGAATATGATGCTTATGCTTCAAACCCAATACTCCTTCTGAATTGGACCCACGCCACCCATCCATCCATCAATTATTATTTATTATATTCATTATGCTATCTACCTCACTCCTCCCCCGCACTTTTTCCAAAGCAAATAAATTGAAACAATTTAAAGACACAGAAAATAAGAAGAAGAAGAAAATAAAACGGCAGGCAGGGGAGGCTTGGCCGGTGGAAATGTCGAGGATGAGGATGACTGCTTCCCTGGTTGACAAAGTAGCAATGGGTCCCAAACCACCGAAATAGCTTTTTCCTTTGTTTTCTACTCAAAACGACAGCAGATTCATTCCATGTTCTTGTCCAAAAAAATAACACCCTTTTAAAAAAAAAAACCCTTAATTGTTTATTTAATTATATTATAAAATTTGATATACATAAATATTAATTAAGATTTAAAAAAAATCAAATCCCAATATTTGGTTCAGAAATACTTTACCTCATTTTACTTCAGTTTTAACACATCTTTAAAAAATTTTATTCTTGAAATCCATAATGCTATTATTATTATTATTATTATTATTATTATTAATTTATCACTTTCAAATGGGCTAAATCGCTCTAGCAGTATTAGCAATGGTATCGGATTGGATCTTAGTCAAAGCCAAGCGTGGGCATATGATATATTAAGGGTTTTTGTTTGTTCTCCAATTATCAAAATCAATAGTAAAAAACAAAATAAAGAGAGAATCCAGAGTCAATTGGCGGATTTTGTCGGTTTTGGATCAGGTTGCTATTGGGGACGACTGTTTTTTCTTATAATTATTGTTTCGAGGTTTTTTTGGGTTGTCTGAATCAAATAATTTTTTTATTCCAAATGTTTAGTCGAAATATTCAAATTGGATTTGTAAATTGATAATTGCATGTCAAGTTAGTTGGATTCAACCACTCCTAATCCTTTCATTTAGAGGTGCACCAAATCTTTTCAAATTCAAACTATCATCACATAACAATATAGTGATTTATATTAAAATTTTAATATTGTGCCAAAAGTTCCAACTTTCATAAATAAAACTTAAAAGATACGAAAAAAATTATCTCATTCCCGCATCATTTTATTTGTTTTCTAATTCAAATAGTAAATACAAAGTAAGATTTAAAAAAAAATTATATTGGATAATAAATACTCGTTTGTGTAAATAAATAGATAAGCTTAAGCCTCCAAATAAATTAAGGTACTAGTAAAGTGATTGTAATTGAAATTGAATTATCAAACAATGTTGAATCCGGTACTTAAAATGATGATAAACGAATTTATTTAAATTAAACTTAAATAATTTAATCTTTATAAATTTAAATTAAAATAAAAAATTGAATGAAATTCAAGTTTCGAGTTTTATAATTGACACGTATTAATACATTACTAATCACTTTTATAGATAGTTCATTGTTTATTAAGAAAAAAATAATTCTTCTGTTGTTTTAAATATTTATTTCTCATCTAAATATTTTAATTTGTTTTAAACTGATTAATAAAAATGAATGGATTCTACCTCCTCAAGGAAGAAATTATTAAAAAAAATTAGTTTCATAAAGAATTATTATAAAAAAATTTGTACGGGCTTGCGTGCAGCCCAGCCGACACAATTTTTGAAACGCAAGGAATGTAGGATTAGGCTCATCCAAAAATGGGCTACAAGGTCTTAGTGTTGCATCTAACCCGACCCATTACGTACATTAATGGTCATTACTTTAATACAGTCCATTATGTTAATAATAACATAATAAGATTTCGATTATTTTAATACTTGTATGCGTGAAGATATTGTGCTTCGCACACATACCTTACAAATCCATAGTATTTAGCACAAGGTTGAAAACTTGTTTAGGTTGAATTGTGGGTTTCATATAAAATATTGAAAATATTAATAACAAATTTTTTATATCAAGAAATATGACTTATTAAATAAGAGAACAATACAATGATCATTAAATTAAATATTTGAATATAGTAATACAAATATTCATGTGCAATAAATGTGACAATATGTACAAATATATAATATAAGAATCCAAATCAATGTCGACAAAACTTTGTTTTTTTTTTTTTTAACATTAGGGACATTAGAGTTTTATTATATTGTTGTTGTTTTTGTAATTATTGTTATATATTTAACAATAATTTTTATTAATATTTATTGGTGTTTCCTAATTTTAATAATATTAAATTAAGTTAATACTTTAATTTGTGAATTGTTATCTAAATATTCACATGAATAAATAGTAAATATTTTTGGTGCATATATAAATTTGACTAAACATTTAAATAAGTTCTTAAACTATACTAAAAAGTCAATTAAGTTTCTACATCTTTATTACATTTAATTAAATTTTTAAAATTTTTTAGCAAATAAACTTTTTTCATTAATCATTGATTAAGTTCATTAATCAAGGTACTATTAGCATTTTTATTTCATGTCATACCATATGACAAGTTCAAATGTCATTTTGATGATGTTACTACTAACTGGTAAATGACGAGAGATTAAATATTATTAATTAAAAAAATTAATTACTTTATTTTCTAATTTATTGGTTTAAAATTTAAATTAAAACAGTTTGTGCTTAATCTTTCTTTGAAAGATTTATTTGATTTTTAATCTCTAAAATAATTTAGTGACGTAATCAAAATGACATGTTATCTTGTTATATGGTAGATGAATCATATAGTATAAAAGTGTTAATTATAACTAAAAAAATTAATCAATCATTAATGAGAGTAGCTTATTTGTTTTAAAATAAAAGTTGAGAGATTTAATTAAACACAACAAAAAAAAAGAGCTTAATTGATTTTTTTATATAATTTAGGGGCTTTTTTGACTATTTAGTCGGTAAATTTCAATACTAGCATTCTTGCTCAAACTACAATCATGGGGTAAAATAGTAAATACATAATTATTCCTTTCTATTTTGTTTTTAAAAAATGATTAAATGGTATGTTTCGACGTGAACAAAAAAAAAAAAAGAAGGAAGGAAAACCCGGCTATATTTTATTAAGTAACGAAAATAACTAATGATTCTTGTTTAATATGAGAATTTCGCCATTGACGTGAAAAGGAGCGGCGGAGGAAGATATAGACATCTGAACCAATTGCAGGTAACGTCATTCGACAACGCTTCTCTTTTCCCTCCTCCTTAATTTAGTTTAAATTTTTATAGGGAGGTTAGAAAATCTCGCATTTTGGAGTTAATTACACTTGCAAGAATGGGAAAAAAAATTTAATTCGACTCCTAAAAGACGTAATAATTGGAGGATGAAGGTCTTAGAAAACCAAGAATTTACCTTTGATTTTTGTCGCTGCTAATTACAGAGCATATTCCAGTTGCTGAATTTTTTCCCTTTCTTTAACTTGTTTGTTGGGGAGTTTTATTTTGTATGTATCCGTTTATTTATTTATTTGGGAATATGAAATAATGAAAATAAATAATCTGTTTTTTCCTTTAATTTTACAAACCATCAACTTATTTATGGCATTTTTTTTTATTTTGATTCAAAATTCAAATATGTAAAATATGGCTTGAGGGAGTGGACTATGTTGTCAGTGTTCCATAGTTCTAGGGGTGTAAACGAGTCGAGCCATAAATGACTCGTCACTGCTGAGTTGAGCTTTAGTAGTCGTTCGAGCTGAGTTCAAGTATTTTAACATTTGGCTCAAGTGCTTACAAGTCTAATCAAGTTTCTTTATTCTTTAGTATCTTAAATATATTCAACTATATAATATGTGTATAAATAAATTGTATGAATCTATTTTTAAATTAATCAAGCCAAATTGAATTGAGCTTGAGTTTGAGAAATCAAACTTGATCAGGCTCGAGCATTGAGTTTATATTAGAGATCGAATTTTGTACTGTATTGACTTAACTTAGCTTGATTACAACCCTGTTGTATACTGCTACTGAGTTTCCTGTCAATTGTGGTTATGTTGTTATATGGTGTTATTGTGTATGCTTGAATTTGCAGAAATGTATTGCAAGTCATATCAGACGTGTAGTTCCAATGCTCAAGAAAAGGGAAGTTACTTCCAGTGGTCAAGTGAAATGGACTCTTGCCTTGCCAAGATACTAGCTGAGCAAGTGAAGAAGGGTAACAAGACCGACAATGCTTTGAAGCCTGCAGCATACATAGGCGCCCTAACTGCTATAAACAAAAAATTTGGGTTTGATTTGACAGAAGAACATCTAAGAAATCGGCTAAAAACATGGAAGAAACAGTTTGGGATCTTAAAGGAGCTTCTTGATCAAAAGGGATTTCAGTGGGATGAGAAACAAAGGATGGTTGTTGCAGATGCTTCTGTATGGAATGATTACATCAAGGTATTTTTCATGCGCTTTGAGGCAGTTACGTAATATCACATCAAGGATTTTGCAAATACTATTATGTACTTGGCTGTGAATAATGTGATGGTCTTTTGTGTCTCTCAGGCACATCCTGATGCTAGGCAGTTCCAGGGAAGAACAATTGACAATTATTATGAGTTATGTATTATTATTGGCAATGATCAAGATATAGCAGGCTGTTTGGAAAATGGTGCAGTAACTCATATGCAATCTGCAGCCAACATAGATGGTCTAGACACTGCCAGTTCATCTGACATTCAGAGTGATGACAACCACATAAAAAACTTGAGGTGGACTGTTGAAATGGATTACTACCTAGGTAAGAGTCTTGTGGAGAAAGTGAAGGAGGGGTATAAACTGGATGGTACCTTACAGCCGGAGGCATATGATGCTGCTCTTTCAACCTTGAATGAAAAAATTGGGCTTGAATTGACAAAAGATCACATTAGGAATAGGCTTAGAACTTGGAAGAAACAGTATGGCGTTTTAAAGCAACTGTTTTCTCATCCTGGTTTCAAATGGGACAAAACACGGAAGATGATCATTGCAGATGGCTCAGTATGGACCAACTATGTCAAGGTATGTCCAGTATAACAAAAAATTTTACACATGAGATACCTTAGGACTATTACAAGCACATGGAACTGAGTTCTTTCAAAGCTGCAATGTCAGTTGGAAAAGAAAAGATTTTATCTGGGATGTTCTAATGGCCTAAAACTTTTAATAAATTAATTAGCAGTTGATTCCAGGTTCTAAAGCCTAATTTCTTCAAATGTGTATAAATCCTAATATATGGTTTTTGCAATGACCCTTGTTGATGACACTGTAAAAGGCTTTTCATTTACTAGACAAAAATTACATGCGTATACACATGGTTTTTTTTATTTTTGAAATTACCAACCTTTGAAAACTCTTTAGATGAGGAAAAAAAATGAAGATTGTGGATTGTGAGGAGAGAAATAACAGAGAGTGAAGGAAAGATGATTACTTTTTTGTCATTGACTTTAATTCAGATCACATTCTAAACAACTTGTGTAATGGTTTTATGCCATTCTGAATGTTTGGATACCCCTGAATGTTTGTAATCTGCGACTCTTTTGCATGGCATACCTGAAGTGCCTTTTGTGGTCTCCTCTTGCGAGATCACTTGTGAATAATAAATACTGCCTTTCAAAAAAGAAAAAAAACTTGGATATGAACGTAAATGATGAGACATTAATAAAGGTTCAAGTCAATCACTACTAGTAACTTGAGCTTAAGGTTTTGAGGGTCATGTAGTATAGGTCTGAAAAGTTGTTAGGCTAGTAGCGTTTGGGCCTGGGGCATTAGACTGTGTTAAGAAGTGAGTTGAGAGAAGAATTAAACTAGAGAAATGTTTTTTTTATAGAATTTAAATAATTTATTGGTAAATTTGAGGTTTTTAGGCTGATATATAAATTATGGACCACAGTTCGTTAATCACGTATCAAGACTCGAGCTGTTCTTTCACATGAGGAGTTTAATAGGATATTGTTCTTCCTGACCAAGGCTGCCATGTCATTGTCGCTGCTACTTTATGTAAGTAACAATCAATTGTAGTTTTGGGGTGGAAAGGGAAATGATGTCCATACTATTTCTATAACCTATTTCTTAAGTAGCATTATTTCCATACTAGCAGTTAGCACATAATTAAACCATGTCAAACATGCTTCATGAAGGAGAATAACGGGTTAAAAAAGTTTTTCTGATAGCATTTCATTTTGTTTACCTTTTTCTACAAAACTGCTAAGAGAATAAGTGTGTATGCTGCTCTCTTCTTTATGAGATCTGCTGTTTCTCAATGACCACAAGAGTCATCAGGTTCACTTTGTCAGAAGGCCACTATCACTCTTCTGCTGCAGGGAAATCCTTATTTTATTTGTGCACACCTACTCTGGTCTTGCTGTCCCATAGTTTTCTTCAGTATCAGGTGCTGTCTTCCTGCTATTTTGCCATGTTTTCTACCCTGCATGCATTTGTGCGGGAGTGTTGGTGTTTGGGGGTGAGGACAGTGTAGCTAGAAAATGAGCCACCAGATTAATTTTATACGGACTGTTATTATGAATACAAATGTTAATTTAGTAAATTTTCTATTTTGTTATGTATTTCATTATTAATGGTGGATGAGAATTGCTTTTTAGTTGTTAAAAGTTACTTGCTTCCTCATTGAATTCTTAATATACCTGCAGTTGGGTTCTGCTTTAGAACTTGAAATAATTGTATAAAAAATGAGTCACATGTGCTTGAAGTATGATTAAGATGGCTAGGGTTGTTACCTGGTGAAATGATAAAGAAAACAAAACCAAAAAAACAAAAATTGTGTGGTGCTGGTTCTGAGTATGTGGTTTTTCATTCTTGGTAGCTTCCACTTCTTGAGAAAATGCCAAAGTTCAGGACTACATTCTTCTCAAAACCCTTTTTGGTGGCAGTCACCAAATCTATGTGGTTTCCACAAAAGTAAGAATTTCTTTCACCAAACAGCAGTCAGTATCGCTTAAGTATGTGGAATGTAATCTCTTTAGCTTGTAACATATTTGCTTTAGTTTCAGATAGTCCTAATCAAAAGAATGGTTCTTAAACTTCTGATTTTGATCTTGGAGTCCTATTAATCTCCAATCCAAGAGTCTTCAGAAATCCAACTAATGTAGAATCTTAGGGCATAAAATTATTGTAGAATCTCTATTGGGATGTAGAGTACTGTAGCATCTCAGTTGTGCTTATGGTCTTAACAATCTAGGTTAAACAAGAATTTAACTTGGATTTGAACTGAGCTTGTAGAATGTACAATAGACTGAAAAACACTTGCAAGTTACTTCAAAGCTAACAATATTCTGCATATCAATTTGTCTTTTTCTTATTAAAAAAAAAAAAAGACATTACATGTTCTACCATTTCTCTTGTTCTCTTTGTTTCCATTCATTTTCTTTTCTAGTTCTTCCTTTTTCCTCCAACTCATTAATGAAACTTATTTTTCCTTTTATATAGTTTACTCTCTTCAACTTAGGCTTGTAGCTGTAGCCATTCTTATTTTATTAGATGTTAGCATGATGTGTCATAGTGGAAAACTGCAGTTTCAATCATGTTTGTCTTTACGTATATGCATTCACATGGCAAATCTTGGTTTTGTATAGAATAAGCAGAATATCTGCTAGAGACAACAAAATTGGAGTATCAAGTAAAATGCAATGCGAACCAACGCAGAATTTGACAAGAATTGTCTTTTTGTCAAAGAATTGGGTTCAGTTTAATCTAAAAAATGCACTTTAAGAATGGAGGAAAAAAAGAGCAAACCATTTGATGGCATTCACAATAAAAGAGTCTCTTCTCTGGTCAATGCACTTTGCACCCTAACACTAGAGGAGAGGAATAAGCCTTTCTTTGGATTAGGCTTCATTTCTTGTTGTACAAGCTTCTTATTTCCATTTGAGAAACATCCCCTGTCTGCTTCCTCTGGTTCAATTTATTCTCTTCTTCTGGATTTCTACCTTTCTTACTGGCAATTGCAAAGAACATTATTCATTTGGGTTGAGCTTCTTTTTTCTTACATTTTAATGGGCTTCTCATCTCATTTAAAGTCTCCTTTTATTTTTGGGATAGTTTATGTTATGCCTTTTTTTCTTAGGTTTGACTTTGACTATTTCTGTCAAAGAATAAAAGATTTATGCCATATGTATGAATGCCTTACACCTTTGATATTGAAAAAAGAAACAAAAATTTTGCAGTGCTTGATGTTTATATTTTATGATAAATTAACAGAACATGGACTGAAATAAACATAAAATATCTTTATGTTAATGTGTCCTACTCCTACCTCACTCATGCATCCCAGCAGTGTCTGTGAGTTTGTGCCCATGTTCATGCTTGGTGTTTACATGCATATGAGTTTATGCATGTAAATTGGTTTGCTTGTGCATGTGCATCCATCTGATGTTCTCTGAACAAGAAATTAATGTGCCTTAATTGAGTTGGATTGTTTACTCCTACTGTAGTGCAACATCTATTGTCCTTATCATCTGGCTAAGTTTCCTGCTTCATTAACAGGCTCACCCTGATGCCAGGATATTCCGTGGAAGAGTTATTGAGAACTATGATAACTTGTGCATAATCTTTGGCAACGACAATGAGGTTGCAGAGGGTGTTGATATCTCCCCTTTGCAGAATGGTGTCAAGGTGAAAGATCAAGCAAAGAACATGATGTGGACATATGAGATGGACCAATACCTCAGCAAGGTTCTGGTGGAGCAAGTCAAACTTGGGAATAAGAGTAAATTAGACAACAAATTAAGACCTCTAGCTTATGAGGCCGCTGTATCTGCTTTGAGTAAAAGGTTTCAGCTTGATTTGACAAGAGAGCATATAAGGAATCGTCTCAAAACGTGGAAGAAACAGTATGAGATTCTGAAAGAGCTTCTGCATCACAGTGAATTTGAATGGGATAAAGCACAAAATATGGTCATTGCAAATGATTCTGCATGGAATCGATATATTAAGGTAAAGGACATTCTGGTAAATTTGGATAATGATCCCCTTTATAATATACCGTTTGAGCCTTTTCTTTTATTTTGGTCTGCCTTCTTCTTTTGGAGCAGAGTAATCCTGATGCTAGGTCTTTTCAAGGACGTGTCATCAGAAACTACTACGAGCTATTTGCCATCTTTGGTTGTGATGATCTGCTTGAAAGTTCACTAAATAGTTCTAATGATGATGTAAGTTTGACTGCGAATAATGAAGCTGCAGATACTGAGGAGTTGTTTTACGGACAGAGTGATGTTGCAAAAGACAAAGGGAAGTACATATTATGGACAGATGAGATGGACCGGTGCTTGACAGAACAGCTGGTGCAGCAAGTGACTCTTGGAAATAAGCATCAGAAAAGTTTTAAGCCTGTGGCATTTAGAGCTGCTCTGTCTGTTCTAAACAAAAAGTTTTCATTGGACTTGACAACAGAAAATATTGGAAACAGGCTCAGGACCTGGAAGAAACAGTACAGGCTTGTGAAAGAACTCCTCTCTCAACGTGGATTTGAATGGGATGAGGGACAAAAGATGGTTATTGCTAATGACTCGGAATGGAGAGAGTGCATCAAGGTACAGTTCATGAAACTGATTTAAGAGTACTTCTAAAACCTATTATGGATCAGTCAAGTTTACATGCCATTCAAGTTTAGCATGCAACTGTCTCGTTGATCATGATATTTTACTTTCCAGTTTCTTGGAAATGTCAAATTGAATGATTTCTGGCAAAAAGTTTCTTCTTTTAAAAAAAAAAGAAGAAAAATTGTAAACTATTATGCACATATATAGAATTCTGAATGGCTAATAACAACTCTTGTGGCTGAGATGCTTTATATGCATGTGTTGCTTTCATTTCACTCTTCTCAATTGATCTGTACTGTTTTCCAGAGAAATCCTGATGTAAGCCGCATACGAGGACGGTGTATTGATAATTTCAGTGAGTTAAATATTATTGTTGGCAATGAGCTGGCAGTCGGACACCGGTCTGAAGCAGGTGATAGAGTTGTAAATCCTATTCAAAATAGTGAAGAACCTGTGGAAGCCCCAGTACAAGTCGTGGTTGATGAAGAAATGGGCCATGATAATACTGATGATGACATGCAAGTTTCATCTCAGCAGACTAGAGCCAGACCTTCTTCTTCTTCGCATGCCAAGGAGGCATTAAAGAGGAGGCGTGTTAGTGATGCAATGTTAGAGATGATGAGTGATATGGCAGCAAATATTGGTAGGATTGCTGATGCATTGACAGAAAGCAAGGCAGTATGCTTGGATGAACTATTTCAAATGGTGCAGACTATTCCTGAGTTTGATGACGATCTTATAATCGATGCATGTGAGTACCTTTCTTTTGATGAGAAGAGAGCCATGATGTTTGTGAAATTGGATGAGAGGTTAAGAAAAAAGTGGTTATTAAAACGATTGCGGGGTTAGGGTAGTTGAAAATGGGAAAGATTATTGTACCTCTTTAGTTATTATATCTTCTTCTCTTTTTAAGTTTTTCCCTTCAGGTTAATGGTTGCCTTAAGTGGCATTCCAGACCCTAGATATTTCTCAAATAGTAGAAAGGCATCTTAACTGTTAGGAACAACCATTAGCATTAGTTTCTTTTTCTTTTTTTTTTTTTTTAATATTTCTATATATGGATTGATAGAATTAAAGTGACTTTCCACTATTTTTGGAATTGTAATGGAGTTGAAATATTGATCTGAAAAAATTGAGTTGAAAAGGAACCCCAAGAAAAAAAAAGATAAAGAAAACTGCTGCTTTTACTAAGAAGATGACTTTGATGGAAAACTCTGAAATTGCTTGGTAGCATTAGCAGTTCAAATTAACTTTTGCAAATCCAAATGCATCGTCTAAGCATCTCAAACTATTGTTTGGGCTGGATTCGCAAGCGGCCTATGCCCTGTACCATCAGCTTAATCCTTGGTCTCAAGCCATGTTCAGGCTTTTGAGTTTATACTTGTACGAATAAGTATGGTATAATAATGTTTATAAAGTCTTGAACTATTAAAAAATTTAAATAAATTTTTATTTCTCTTTTCCATCAAGTTGTTGTGCTTTTAATTTGTATCAAATAGATTTTTATAATTAATAATTCACTAATTGTCAATAATCAAAATATAATTTATTATTTTATGATTATATAATATTAATATGACATTAACATAAATAATGAAAACGTAATCACATAACTATGCTATATCAGCTTGTCAAGTATCATTATGCCAACGTCAAGAGTTACAAAGCAATAGGAAATATTTTGAATAATGATTGATAATTATAATTAAAAATTTATTTTATTTAAAATAAATATATAAAAACCTGATTGAAAGTCAAATAAAACTTTATTTAAATTTTTTTAAATAATTTATGAATTTTTTTAAATATTATGTCAATAATTATTTATTATATTTTTATTTTAATTAAAAAAAGAATTCGAATTGGAGGCTTTAAATGCTATCATTAATTCAAATAATGGCATTTATGTTTTATATATTACTAATAAGTTTCCATTTCAATATTGAATTAATAACTATTTATTTAGTCGATGATAATTTATGAAATTATATTTATATACTGAGATATTCTAAACAACCTGAAATTCCCCGTCTTACTTTCACGAAAGCAGCAATATTCAAGTTATTACAACTTACAACAAAAGCATGCACGTAAAACCATGTCAGTGTAGCCTAACCAAAGCTCTCCTTTCACTCTGCTCCAAGTCCAACTCTTTTCTACACATCAAGCAAACTCACGCCTTGGCCATTCTCCATGGCGTCCTCCCCACCAATATTCCTCTCTCCGCCGCTCTCATTCTCCGCTACGCCACCTTCAATTCCCCTTCGAATTGTCACCTTTTATTCCAACAAAGTCTTCCGTATTCTCAAACACCCTTCTTATGGAATACCTTCATCCGTGCTTTGTCCGTTGCTAGAATTTATCACGACGGATTTCAATTTCATATTTATAATAAAATGATTCGAACCGGAATAAAACCGGATGATCATACTTTTCCTTTTGTTCTCAAGGCCTGTGCCGATGCCTTTTGTTTTCAAAAGGGTTTGGAGATTCATGGGACTGTTATTAAAACTGGGTTTGGTTCAGATATTCTACTAGGGAATACCCTTTTGTTGTTTTACGGTAATTTTGGGGGTTTGACGGAAGCGAGGAAAGTGTTTGATGAAATGCGTGACAGAGATGTTGTGTCGTGGAATACGGTTCTTGGGGTTGTTTCCATTAATGGCATTTACTTGGAGGCGCTTAATTTGTTCTCCCAGATGAATTTGAATTCTGGGATTAGGCCCAACATGGTTACTTTTGTCAGTTTGTTGCCTGTTTGTGGAGGGGTTGGAGATGACGGGTTGGTGAGGCAGATTCATGGGACTGTTGTTAAGGTTGGTTTAGAATTTGAGGTTGGTATTGGGAATGCATTGGTTGATGCATATGGGAAATGTAGGAATGCGAAGGACTCGGAGCGAGTTTTTGATGAAATGGTGGAAAAGAATGTGGTTTCTTGGAATGCAAGAATTACTAGTCTAGCTTACATGGGACTTAATAAGGATGCGTTGGATATGTTTAGGTTAATGATGAAGGTAGGGCTGACACCTGATTCCATCACTATTTCAAGTATGATACCCGTGCTGGTTGAGTTAGAATATTTCAATTTAGCAAAGGAGATTCATGGTTTCAGTTTGAGAATTGCTATTGAACATGATGTTTTCATTTCCAACTCATTGATTGATATGTATGCAAAATTAGGTCATTCAAGTGCAGCTTCAAATGTGTTTCAGCAAATGAAGCTGAGAAATATTGTTTCATGGAATGTCATGGTTGCCAATTTTGCTCAAAATAGGCTTGAATTAGCAGCTATAGAACTACTAAGAGAAATGCAAACTCATGGTGAGTTTCCAGATTCTATTACCTTAACAAATGTTCTTCCAGCTTGTGGACGAGTAGGGTTTCTTCAAAATGGAAAAGAAATTCATGGTAGGACAATTCGTCTGGGGTCCAACTTTGATCTGTTTGTTTCCAATGCTCTGACAGACATGTATGCAAAATGTGGATACTTAAATCTTGCTGAAAATTGCTTTAAGACCTCCCTTAAGGATGAAATCTCTTACAATATTTTGATTGCAGGCTATTCTCAAACTAGTGATTGGTCAAAATCTGTGAGTTTATTCTCAGAAATGGGCCTCATTGGCATCAAGCGTGATGTAGTTTCATTCGTGGGTGTTATTTCAGCCAGTGCAAATCAAGCTGCTTTCAAGCAAGGGAAAGAGATTCATGGACTGGCAGTAAGAAAGCATGCTCATACTCATCTCTTTGTTGCTAACTCCCTTTTGGACTTCTATGTTAAATGTGGACGAATTGACTTAGCTAGTAAGGTCTTTGATCAGATTCAATATAAGGACGTAGCTTCATGGAACACTATGTTGTTAGGTTATGGAATGCTAGGTCAATTAAATATAGCCATCAGCCTTTTTGAAGCAATGAGGAAAGATGGCATTGAGTATGATTCAGTTTCATATATTGCAATTCTATCAGCTTGTAGCCATGGAGGATTAGTAGAGAAAGGGAGGGAATACTTCGAAGAAATGAAGGCTCAGAAAATTAAGCCAACACATATGCACTATGCATGTATGGTCGATCTACTTGGCCGGGCTGGCCTACTGCAAGAAGCAGCAGAACTTATTAAAAGCCTGTCCATTACCCCAGATGCTAATATTTGGGGTGCTTTACTTGGAGCATGCAGAATCTTCGGAAATGTTGAGCTAGGGTGTTGGGCTGCTGAGAATTTGTTCAAGTTAAAGCCCCAGCATAGTGGATACTATACAATTCTTTCAAACCTGTTTGCTGAAGCAGGGAAATGGGATGACGCAAACAGGATTAGGGAACTGATGAAATTGAGGGGAGCAAGGAAGAACCCTGGCTGTAGTTGGGTTCATATCCAGGACCAAGTACATGCTTTTGTGGCTGGACAAAGGCTGGAGAAATTGGATCCAGCTCTCTGGCTTGCTGAGTACGGTTAAATTTTGTTGTGATCATTTTAAGATTTAGTTTGGCTGTTCATCTGATGAGATTTTTATTGAAGGAGAGCTTCAACAGTTCTTTGTTCTCTTGTTAAGGAAATTTTAGGGGTGCTTGGAAATCTATCCATCCCTCTTAATCTACCTTAGTTGAAAAGTGAGTCCTGGGGAGCCTGGTTGTCATTTTATTTTTTTGTGATTTGTATGGGCATTATTAACGTATCACAATATTCTTTTCTGTGTATTGTCAGGGAAAGAGAGGCGAGCGGAGGGAAGAGGGAGAGTTGAGGGTCGGCATGGCCACACCCGCCGGCCTGATTCGATGCTGTAAGGTTGTCTCACTGGGGTAGAGATGGAGAGTTCTGATCCGCAGTTACTGTCGACCAAAGCCCGATGGGACTAGGTTCCACACTGTTCAGCATTTTTTGACACCGCAGGAGCTCGTACATCTCCCCCAGTTCTGGCCTGCAACTGCCAACTAGCAAAGGTAGAAAGGGAAAATTAAATGCCAAAAAAGGAAATGGGAGGCCCAAAAAGAAAAATCAAGATAGTGTAAGTAGTATTGTAAAATTAATTAATTTGTCTATTAAAATTAAAATTTCTTTTAACTGCGATTGAACTATATTTAGTTTAGTTTATTAGATTGAGTCATTTTAGTTTATTTAGAGCCAAAATTGACTTAAATATTCTTCTTTGTATTAACATATAAGATTTTAGTTTTGGTTTTGTAATTTATTTTGGCTTACATACATTAATATACAATATTAGTCAATAAAATTATAAATTCAGAGAATTTTTTTTCTTACAAAAATAATTGCACTTTAGGGAATCTAACCTTGATCGTTCATGCAATGTAAATTCCTTTGAATATTCATCCAGTATAATATAATTTCTGTAAATTAGTTTATTATGCTGAAGTACATTAATATATGCACATAATTTTGTCTTCACATCAAATTTGACATGTTGGACCCACCCTCCATCAACCCCAAAATTTCCATTTACTTTTGTTTTTCCAAATTCTCAAGAACCAGTGTTTCTTATTTATGCAGCCTTGAAGAAAAAAATTCTCATTAAGATGATAATTTATATATTCTCTGTCCTCTATATTTATAAAAAAAAAAAAGAGTTAAAAAGGATATTCAAATAAGCACCGAAAAAAAGGATTGGAGTTAAATTATAAGAGTCTAAAGTTCTGCGTGGTCAAAGTATGATGGGTAAGGTGGTGAAGAATGAAAGGAGCAAGGTAATAAATGAGGAAAAGACTGTGATACGGACTGACAAGGAGCAACAAGGAAGGAGCGGTCCAGTTTAACACGAAACAAGAAGGAAGGCAGCAATTCACAGAAGAAAGACAAATGGATTTAGCCACCACAACGGGGCCTCCATTAAAAGGGTATTGCAAAACTTTTTTAAGCGATCCCTCAAACGCATGAAACTCGTGTATTATATATATATATATATATATATGTATATATTAAATTTATGTGATTCTTACTTCATTGATCGTCTATTGCGTGAAAGTTTCTTAGTAAATGTGAAACTATATAAAGCATTACCAAAGAGAAAAACAAGCACTTGATTTCTTTTCTTGGAATGGAAGGAGTTGTGGGTTAAAAGGACAGGTGTGAGTTGAAGCATGGCACTAAGCAAGAGGAATAAAATGAGGAACAAGAGAACAAGGGATGGAATAAATGAGGAACAGGAGAAATAGCATCAAAACATAAGCAAAGACAAGGTTAGAGAAAATTTTGAATCCATTGGATTTGAATGTGAATAAAAATATTTAGCTTATATAACATGATTTTTTCTTTTTTTTTTCTTTTTTTCCACATACAAATTCAATGGCTTCAATTTTGGCTCACTTGGTTTTGCCATGGTCTGATGCAATTCTTTTTGTTCCTCTTGTATTTCTTCCTTCTGTTGTCTTTTGTGAGCAAGAACTACACACAAAGGCAGACTTGACATTGTCTTTAAAAAGGAATTTATCTTTGTGTAGAGAGGTATCCTTTCCTTTTATCACTCTCCTCATCCACCTATCTTTGCATGTGCAGGTGATGCTCGTGGTGCAACCATTTTATACCTCTCTTAGGCATCCTTCTCAAGGTAAGTGTATTTTCATTTTTGTTTTCCTACATGTGATTTTGAACCACATCATAAGAGATCATCCTATCCAATTCCATAAATCTCACCTCTTTTATCTCAAATTACCATCTCTGATTTCCGACTGCTGAGGAACAACAATAAATACATCAGAAGCCGTAATTATGATTTCACTTCCATAAGAGAGAATAAAAGGAATAATATGATTACATAGTTTTAAGAATGTCTCTAGCATTGCTGCTAATAAAATTGCCCCAATGAATTTAGAGAAACTCACAATTCCAACAAAATTCCAAATCCTTGGCCTCCATGCTTGACCTCAAACTCAGCTTGCTCAGTTTCGGAGATTCATGCATACAGTGAGATTCCTATCACCTCTGACTTTATCCGCCACCTCCTTTAGCCAAGACATTATCTATGAACAATCTCCCAGAACTCTTTTAGCATTATCATTCCTAGCACATGCATCAAAAAGTGGTCAAATGTGCTGCCATACTTGGATTGCTGATTGCTTGCAATGCGCATCTCAGCACTGAAGAGTGGATACATGAAATTTCTTCTGTTTCAATGCTAATGCCTCACACTCTGTCAAAAGCCATGGTTGGCGTTTACGATACCTTGAGCTTCAATGACCTGTCTCGCACTAATTACAATAAATTTAGAATCAGATGGAAGTTCAAAAATTGCTGTGACTGCTATGACTTGTGACAAACTACTGCTGTGCAGGAAGAGTCATTATCTATGACCCATAGACTCAATTCTCGAAGCCGCATCTGAATGGAATCTATATCCAACTCTCTAGACCAATAAACCACCCTTTTATCAGTCTCCAAGGCTCGATTGAGATTTTGGTTACCCATTTTCTTGCCAAAGCTTTTCTCATCAATACGCTTAACTCTAAATCCCTTTTTTTCCAGTAACCTTGCCATTACAGATACAAAATTTCTGATATCTTTAGGTAGTGAGTTTTTATCCAGCAGAGCTGCAGCATCATACAGAGAATCATCAGCGAAAATTTTGTGAGCTGAAGGTGAGTTCTTGACAAAGAAAACATCCAAGCTCTCCCCTGCATAGAAGTTGTATGTGGAATCAATAGACTCAAGAAACAGATCATTATTGACAAGAACCATGTTTCCATCCACTACCCAAGTGTTATAACTTAACTCTAAACATTTTTTGACAACATACGCCTTCAACAGAAAATCATTCATAAACCTAGCTTTCAAATCTTGAATTCCCATTGATTTATCTGCTCTGATATTGTTGATAAATTGGTCTGCATCAATAACAGGATATCCTCTTCGAGCAAGATCAAACAGAAAATCAGTAGCTGGACCAATGAAAATGTAATTCCGAATATTTAGCCTCTCAAAGTGGCAAAGAAGGTTCCTACTGACTGCCTCTGATGCCACAAATAGGCTGACAAGCAAAACAGTTCCACTGGTCTGCACAGAAGGAAGAATAGACCCAAGATCATTCAAGTTCCTTACAACTCTTCCTGGAACTACTTCCCTGAAACAGAAATCATACCACTTCATGGTACTCAAAGATTTCATTTCCAGAAAATTGGAATCAAGAGAATTCACATCCAATAGCTGAGAGTCTGGCCCTGCTGTTTTTCCATAGTTAACACCGACATCCCTGTGGGAGACACTAAGTGATTTCTCATCCGGAAATTTAGTGTAGATATTAAAATAACCACGAGAGTGAATAAATTTAATGAACCAAGGAGTCCATATCCTTTCTCCCATCTTTTTGTACCATCCTGTGGTAACCTGTACATAGCTTGTAGATTTTATTAGACTGAAGATAAAGACCAAATATATGAACAAGGAAAAATAAAAGAAAGAGCTAAAACAGCATAAATTACCATCCCTTCAAGAAATGGCTTGATCTCTTTGGCCTTGTGATCGTCATACCACAACCTGAACTCTTTCCAAGGCTTTGGAAAGAGAAGCTGACCCCAGGTGCCAACCAGTTGGTACAGGAAAAGTCCTGAGGTGTTATCGAGTAGCATCTTGTTTCCATGTTTACCTGGAGTTAGCAAGCAAATAAATGGAGGAACAACGAAAATTCACAAAAAAACGATTTAAGATAATTTAGTAATGGTTGTTGACTCAAAATCTTCCCATGGATGGGAACAAAATGAAAAGCACAGAGATGGATTACACGATTTCCATCAGAAAGAATTACGCATGCTCGCTACGGTTACAACTTACAACTAAAGCAGCCAAAACCAATCAGCCACGCAACAACCATACAAAAGCCATGCTATATTATTACAGAGATCTTCAGTGGTGTGGAACTCAGCCACCAAACCAAATGGGGAAAGATGAATAAAATATACAAGTAAAGCACGTCAGAAGGAAACGTTACTAATACAGCCCTTCAATCAGCTTGTTGAATGCATTCCACCTTATCAAGCTCTTACCATGATTAAAAAGGCATTTTAGAGGCATGAATGAGATATGGCTTGATTTAAAAAACAATAATGTGGTTTTTGAAACAATATAATCTTATTAAATCAGATAATAGCCACATAGTCAGTTGTGAAAATATGGACAAACATGGAAATCGGGAAGCCAATGCACTTTAAAAGCAATGGACTAATTTCTCTAGCGATTTCCAAGAGAAGTGGGCATCTTCTCTGTTAGGTTACTACTTTTCTTACTTGTTTTTAGTATTTGCTTTTTGCATTTTTTTAAAAAAAAATTATAAAGCAAAAGAATAAAGAATAAGAATACAAATTTTGAGCAAAAAACAAAAAGCAAAAGAATAATTTTCCAACAATGAATAAATGACTAAATGTAATATCAGTTTATAGTATAATTAGCCAATATAAAATAAAATAGCCAATTTTGTTACCTAAAAGGATTACGATTTAAAGTTTTAAATCTTTTTAAAAAAATTGTATGCTTTTTATATCCAAAGTCCAAACTTCTAATGAACAATTTCATTATAGAAGCCACACTTATGACAAAGCTTCAACTAGAGAGTCCAATTTATCTTCTTTTCAATCCATATCAATCCAATCATTGCTGCATTAATTCATATACAATTCAAATAAATGGGAACCTCAAAATTGACCATCAACCAATACACTTTCTTTTCTTTTTTTTTTTGCAAAATATCAATCGTTTCTCAACTAAGAAAGGGAACAAAATACAACTAAACCTATCAAACGAGCAAAGGAAACCCAGAAAAAACGGTACCTGGAACAAACCTTGGGCGCTGAAGAGAAGCCCCATAGACAAAAGGACTAAAATTGGAAGCATTGTAATAAAAGTTCAGAATCAAAGCTCTCAAATACTTAAAAAACAACGGTGAAAGCTCCAAATCATCTTCCACAACAAAGGCAAACTCATCATCAGAAGTTGGCCACCAGGCTTCTAACCATTGTGCCTGAAGACCCACATTGGTGGTTCTGTAATGAACGATCTTTTGACCCCATTTCCACTCAAACCCATCAACAAATTGCAGAATTCCAAGCGAGTCCTGAAGTTTGGGATCGATGTCAGATTTGGATTGGTTTGGGAAATGGTCGATGAAGATGTGGAGGTGGACGGGGTGGTCCGGAAGGTAGTAGGCGTTGGAAAGAGAGGTGAGGCAGCGGGTGAGGGACTTGAGGCGGTTAAAAGTGAGGACTTTGATGGTGAGAGAAAAGGTTGGGGTGGTGAGGATGGAGTGGGCATTTAGTGGAAAGGTTTGGGTAGAGATGGAGTTTGGGTGTGGGGAGCAAAGGAGGAGGAGGAGGATGCAGAGGGAGAGGAGGAGGAGGAAGGCGAGGAAGTGTTTCTTTGGAGGGCCCACCATCTTCAGGCGGGTCAGTGTTTTGGTAACAGATCCGGAGAATTCATAGATCTTTACAACGCTAGCAAAAGCTTTTCCCTGGGCTGGCGATGGATGCTTTCCGAATGTGAAGATCTAGACTCAAGTTCAGTAAATGGAGACGTATTTTAGAGAATCAGACTGGAGCTGTGGCGGTGCTAGCCCAAAATTCAATATAAAACTATAACTTAAATAATTGAAAAAAATTTGTTGCATTTAGATAAAGTACTAATTATACATTTGATTACAAAACTATAGTAAACTTTCAATTTTGGTTCTTGAAGTTTAAAAATTTATAATTATGCATTTGAGCTTTAGTTTCATTAAATACTTTTCACCTTTGATTAATATCTTTAGTCCAATAGATGATAGGACAAAAATAACCAATAAAATCAAAATCCACCTCGTTTTTTCTTAATTTTTATTTTATTTTTGATTTATCAAATTTCTAACAGCGGAACGAAATTAAAATTTTCCGAAAGAAAGTAAAAAAGTTCCAAAAGTATCAAAAAAGAAATTAAAAATTCCAGGAAAAAACCCAAAAAAATTCAAAAACAGAAAATTGATAAAAAGAAAAAGAAAAGGTTCCAAAATTTGAAAAAAAAAATTAAAAAAATTAAAGAGAGAAAGAATAAACCGAGAGGTTTATCGATCATGGCTGTGCCTCAAATTGGCTAGTCGGCGTAGGTCTCCATCCCTTTGTCTCTATCTCTCTCTTATTTTTCACTCTTCGTAATTGTTTTTCTAAATTTTCATTTATCTATTTGTGATTTTATTTTTCAGGTATCAAATCTATAATTTTATTATAATTTAGGCACAAAATGTAAAATAAACCTTATAGTAAATTGAGCTTGACTCAAGGTAAAGGTAGTTGGACTTATTAGTCAAAAAATAATTCAAGTTAAAATTAGGGAAAACAAATCTAAATCAAGTTGAATACAAGGCGCAAAGGCATGGCTACGACAGTTAAGATATGCAATCGTTGTTTCCGATTAACTAGTCGATGCCACCCCTCCCTCCATTTCCATTCATGAATTAGGCCACTAAAGATCAACTAGAATTGGCAAATGACGCCTCCTCCGATGGGTTGGCTTCAAGTTAACTCATCTGTAATCTTATTTTCCAGACGGTTCTAAAAAATACTCTGCCAGAACTCCCTTGCCTTACTTCCCATGTTTTTGCAAAATTGGTCATCTGTTTTCGTGGGGCTTAGTTTCTCCATCAATGATCAAACCTTGGTGAATTCTTTATAACCATGCATCCTTTCTTCCAAACTGCTAGAACACGGCAAACTAAATTCCTGCCAAAACATGTTGCCTAATGTAGAGCAACCAAAAAATTTGTCCCACAGCGAGCACCTGCAACTAAAGGTGTAAATATGGGACCTCAAAAGTTAAAAATAACTCATACTCAAGATTTGCACTCAAGATTCAAATGATCCACACGAAGGCAGTAGCAAACTATAGTACCAAATAACCATCTGAAGTATTCGCAACAAAATTTCTTAAGGCAACAAAACTTTGAGAAACTTGAGTCACAAAGTAGAATAATGGTAACACAATGCAATTTTTCATGCTTTTAAAAGAAACTGTTCTAACTTCCGGAAGAAATTAAGATCAGAACGCTTCAAATAAGCCAAAAATACCTCAACTACTAAATTAACAAATAAGACCAAGTTTAATTCATTCTCCTAATTAGCTCATTGATGTAGTTCTCACGGTTGCCAGCATCTCCTCCCTCCACATAGTGGTTTCTCTTCTTCTTCAAACCACCCAATGGTGCCTTGAGCTTAAATGGCCAGAGGAAGTTATTGGCTTCCTTAAAATGAGGCCCCACAGTCATGATCTCATGGATAAGATCTTCTACAGAGATGATGCCAAACTTGCCCAGAGCCTGTGACAAATAAAAGAAAAAAAGCAAGCATGCTTAATAAATGTTCACCACCAAAAATATAACTCGGAAATGCAAATATATATATATATATAAATAAAGACCTGCTCAATGATTTCATTGTCAGTCAAAGCAACTCGCTGCTTGTTCAACTTCCCGTAACCTCTTTTGTAAATCAATTCCCTCACGCTCTTGAGATTGGGGTAACTAAAAGCATACATCACTATTAAATGAGAGAGGCAAGTACATAAAATGTTGAAAGAGAAAGTGAGGAAGCAGGAAAAGGTGAAAGATACCCGTATGTCACATAAGGTTCAACCCTGTGAAGCATGTTCATTGTTGCCTTGTTCACTTTAAGAAAAACACCATTGAAAATCTGCATTTAGTAAGATGCAAAAACCAACAATTTAAGTTACAATTTTATTTATTTAATTGATGAAAATATTCAATAGTTTCCAATACAGTTAACAACCACCATCCCCTTACAGGTGCTACAAGGAAACTCCCAGCATTACCATGTCCAAGCAGCATCTTAGCAAAACATACAAGCTTTGACATTATGTTCACAATGACTAAGATGCTACTGTGTGAACTTTCATTTTTGAGTTACAATGCTAAAATGGACCAACCGTTCAACATTTTAACAGCCTCAAACTATACATGGGCAACACTAACGAAAGGTCTAACACACTATAAATCTAATTTTGGATAAAAACTTCAAACACCAGCACATCGAAATACCAACATTTATATAATAAAACAACAAGATTATTTTCAACCAAATATCATTACACATCTCTCAAATGAAAATTCACTTACAAGCAAAAGCAAAAGAGGAAATCAATTTTCATGAGCCTTAGTTTTGGAGAAGATTTAGTAAGCTACCTGTCTCAAACGTAAGAGCTGCAAGATCTTTCTTGTCCTTGGGTGCATGGCATTGATACTGAAAACACCAACATTGACAAAATCCAAACAAAAATGTTACCATTTTGAATGTAGATTTATATACCAACGTAACATCACAATAATCACATACCCACGGATGCGAACAATAAACAAAAGCTTAGCTTCTGGATCCACATAAAATCCTCCTTTCAACTTAGCCTCCCGCTTCAATTGAATCAACTCTTTTTCCTGACAATTAAAGACCACATAATACAATTCAGAAGGTCCTAAAATTTTATAAAAAAATTAACATAAATCCAGACCAAACAGAACATTCACCTGAGCCTCGTACTCCTTTGCATATTGCTTAGCCCTCTTGTAAATCAGCTTGCGGCTCTCGACTTTCTTCTTCTTTGCAGCTTCAAGCTCCTGCTTTTTTGCCAGCTCCCATTCTTCATTCCTCTTCCTCTTCTTCAAGAGTGACTCAGGAATCACAGCCTTAACTTCCTCACCCATCTCTAATCAAAAAAAATAAATCAACTCAAAACCAATCAGGAAACAAGTTCTAGTCCAACAGGGAAAAAATAAACTCAACGAAAACACAAAAGAGTATAACAAAGCATTCTCTTATTACTGAATAAAGCCTACACATCTAAGTAAGAATTAAGACGCATTTTTCATTAGTTTTTTCCTAGTAAGCAATTATTTAAAGAAAATGGAAATTGAGCAAGTACCCATGGAATTTCAAGGACTGATAAAACTAAATCAATGCATAAGTTAATAATGTTAGGAAAAACAGAAAACAAACAATCAATGATAATACAGATAGTTGCAAAGTGGTATTGTTCATTTCTTAGAGCTTTTCAGCAAATAAACCAGACGGGGCTTGACAGAGAAAGTGAAGAGGAGGAGGGTTTACGTCGGTGTGGACTGTGGAGAGTCGGATGCAGCCGCTAAAGAAGTTTTTAGGGTTTCTGCTAAGATATAAAAACAAAGGAGGCGGAGGAGACTCGCGAAAATGTTAAATAGGGTTTTGTAAGGTTTCTCATTGGGTGATTCAACGGCTGGGATTTCTTAGAGGACTCAGATCTGGCTCAGTCCAACACTAATGGTTGTCTAGAGGGGCCCTTGGGGCTTAATGGTAATGGCGATTCTAAAATGCATTTACTGTGACTAACTATTAGGCCTAGAACATTGGGTCAAGCAGCTTTAGAACACTTTGCCCACAGGCCATACCCATAGAGGCAAAGTACCCATAGAGGCAAAAAAAAGGAAAAGAAGATCCGATTGGGATCGGGATTTTGAACCCGACGTGAATCGAACACGCAACCTTCTGATCTGGAGTCAGACGCGCTACCATTGCGCCACGGATCCTTACGGTGATCTGTAGATATTATTAAATATTATTGATTCTTTTTCATAACCCATATATAACTTTTGCTTTTTGGGAAAAGGAGATTCAAATACCATATTTTAAATATAAGATTTATCCACTTCTTAATACTATTGAACTAAAAGCCTGTTTTGCTTAATTTTTTTTAGCTTAAAAACTCTTATGAAAAATAATAGTTTTGAGAATTAAGCTGAAGTTGTTTGGTAAGTTTTTTTTTATAAGTTATAATTTTGGTTAAAATTATCGTAAAAGGTATTTTTTTTAGAGAGTTATATTGTAATTATTTTTAATAGTTGAGGATATTTTTAAAATAAAAAATTTTTTTTTTGTATTTTTAAAAAAAGAGAAGAAAAAGCTCTTATGGGAGCTTAGAAATGATTAGTGATTAGGTTGGTTGTTCAACAATAATAAGATTAGTGATAAGGTATGCAATATTTCTTAGAAATGATTTGATAAACTATAAATCCAAAAAACAGTCAATGGTAACGCAAGGTTTTACAAAAGCTGAATATTAAGCAATGTCTACCACTTTTCGTGAGATCATTCGGCTTTTGTCCTTTTTGAAATACTTTAATATCGATCAAACTAATGTTGTAATATTGAAGTGTGATAATCAATTAACTATGATTATTTGCAAAAACCCCATTTTTCACTAAAGAATAAAACATATTGAAATTGATCATCAGTTTATTAGAAAGAAAATGATAACTAAGATTATAAAGCCATATTATGTGCAAACAAATTTACAATTGGTTGATATTTTCACAAATCTTTATTGCCAAGACAATTTTAGTTCTTATTGAACAAGATTAGTGTTTTGAACGTACAAACTCATCTTGAGGGAGTGTGTAAAGAAAAGTCTACAAGCAGCAATAAAGAAAAGAAAAGAGCTTGAGCACGTGCTTGATATGCAATATTAACTTAACTTCTATAGCTTTATAAATATAATTAACTAAAGTTAGTTGGTTATTAGATTGTGTAGTTAGCAAAACTATTGTAGTTAATTGTAGTACAAATACCTGAAGCATAGTATAATTGTTTACTAGCTGAATATAAAATGAAGGTCATCAGTTTTTCCCTCTTTTCTTTACCTTTCGACTTCTACCCTTTTCCTTAGATTTTATGCATGTCTTTACAATCTAGAATCCATGAAATTTACACTCGGTTCTTTTTTTGTCATTAATATGAGTATCCTTTAATCATCTTTTGGTCTACATAATATATTTATTTTTAGGTGAGATAAATTGTTTTAATGAGATAATAGTTACATTTTCTTGATTAAATAACTTATTATTATATTTCTAGTTACAATGTTGCGTTTCATATAAAATATCATTTTTTTTGTCTTTCTTTTACAAATTGTATTAGTGGATTGTGCAAACTTATTTAATTTATAAAAGGTTGTAATTGTTATCAATACAATAAAAAGACATTAAGTGGAAATTTTCTTAAGGGTAAGTTTAGTTTGCAAAGTGGAATAGAGTGAGAAAAGAATAACCATTACGTACAAATAGAATAAAAGAATAATAGTATTATATAGTTTGATTTATGAGAATGAAATAGGAATTGTTATTATAATTTATTATAGTGTTTGGTTGGTAAGGATAGTTGTAAAAATAACCAAGGAATAAATGATAAATAACAAAAATATCTTTTATTATAGTATATAATTATTTTATTTTAAAAATATTAAAAATTTATAATTAAATTTTTAAATATTATTTTTTATAATTTATAATCAAAATTTTAATTTAATTTTAAAATATAAAATATTAATTTTTAGCTTTTCTTTTTTTTTTCACTCATTCCATTCTAGCATTTTCATTTTTTTTTCTTTTTTTCTTCCTACAGGCCTGTCAGCAGAGATGTGGTTGGCGTAATGAAGTGTCAATTTGGTGCTCCTTGTGGCCGAATGTGGTGGAGGAACGCCATTCGGTGCTTCTCGCAATCAGCATTAGTGTTGTTGCAGTCGAACACCTTTGCGCCTTGCCACCCTTCGTTAAGCGACTTTACAAAGAGATGAAAAAAGGTAGAAAATGGGTAAAGAAAGAAAGGAAATGTGACAAATGAAGAAAATGTATGTTATATACGACAGTAATGTTTAAATTTATTTCAAGGTAATTTTTTTCAACAAAATTTTTTACCTATTCCCCTCTCTTGGATTAACTATTACTGAAGTCTCCTTCATAATGGCTATTGAGGTTTCTTCAAAAATGGTTATTCTTGTGACGCAAACAAGGTATTATAGGGGGGAAAATGACTATTCCATTTTCTCAACCAAACAAGTTGTAAATTATTAAAATTTACTTCCCATCAAGCCAATTAAATTGTAAAATCAAATATAGTGTAATGTAAATTACATACATACCAATAAAGGTACAATACCTAAAAAAAACCTCTAGACTCTTTAGGAAAATTTAAATAAATTTTTATTCTTTTATTGCATTCAATTGAGTTCTTATATTTTATTTTAAATCAAATAATGTTTTATAACTAATAATTGATTACTTATTATTAATTAAAATATTATTTATTATTTTATACCACTTGATGTTAAAGTGACAAGCTAACATGTAAAAAGAGATGATGGCGTGGTATGCAAATATGACATTTTTACCTTTCATATCAACTTCACATCAATATTACGTGAGCACATAATGACAAGTGATATTGAAACTAATATTAATTAGTCAACTATTAGTTATAAGAGTATGTTTTATTCAAAATAAAAATATAAAAGTTTAATTAAATATAATAAAAAATAAAAATTTATTTGAATTTTTTTAAATAATGCAAGAGTTTTTTAAGCATTAAGCCAACTAATATATTAATGTGAAATATGGCAATTATTGGAGGAACAATGTCCTTATAGAGATGACAAACGTACCTTTTAATATTAATGTGAAGCGTTTTGTCTAAGTATAATAGAAATTGGACTTTCATTTATAAATTTTTTGTTTCCCTACCTCATAACTGATCCAAGGCTCTCGCATCTAACAGCAAAGTGATAAAGAAACCTAAGCTCAGCTTCGGTTCTGACAAAATTGATTAAATAATTTGTATGCTGAGGATAAAACATTATTCATCACAAAATGTACTTGAAATTGAGAATTATCAAAGTGTCCGACGGCTTTAATACTCAAAGAAAAATAAATATTCACAAAGTTAATTTATAATTTTTTTCGGAGTAATCAAACAAAATAACATTACTCTTTATACATTTGAAAATAAGAAAGATAAATTAAGCATCACTCAATTGAGGTCTTTTCTGGGTAAGAAGAAAGCATCATGTAATAATTAATTAATTGATTAATCTTATTGGAGAACGAAAATTCAAATATAAATTTTTGAATAAAATGATATATGCATCTGACATGGAGTCAAATGTGTCAAATGTGCAATGATTATTCTATTTGTGTGTATCAAATGAGTATTTCCGAGGTAACAGTAGAACGGAGAGATAAGGTCTATAGAGTATTTGAATCTTTAAATGGTATTGGCCTGCTTGGTACCATGTGCCTCGGTCTTGTGCTTTTTGCTTTGTTCAAGGTAGCATCCTAAGGCACATGCCATTCATGTTCGTAGCCAATAATCGACTGACCTTATCACGTGATAAAACGATAAACATAAGAACACATAAATAGTAAGCTTTTCCTCCAAGGTGATTAGTAATAATGTCACTCTAAAAAGTGAGTATTGCTGGGTCATCCATTTGATTTTGATCTTTCAACAAATTTGCCCCTACCATTTGTTTGCTTTTGCTTAATTTAGTGCCAAACCATGTAAAACCTACTATCTAATATAATAAATATATGATAAACATATAAACATTAGTGTGAATCTAACTTAAATGTGGACCGACAACTTGTTTTAAAATAAACCTCTTAGGTTGCCATGCCAACTTTCTCTTCTTCCATATTTGTTGAGATTTATGGACAATAACACTCCTAAACTTAGAAGCAATAAATAAAAAGGAATGAGTTGGAGGGGAGGGGGATATGCTTGGCCTAAAACCTAAGCAAAAAATTGAGTTATGAGTGAGTGAAAGAATTGAGTTATGAGTGACTAAATGTTATGAGGATAGTTGGCAGGTCACATGGCCATCTCTCTCTCATGTGGCCCTTACAGCACTGCTTCTCCACCTTATTTGTCTCTATTTGGTCCATGGTGGATGCAACAACCAAATCTCTCTCCTCATTTCTTGATCCAACAAATGAAATTACTACCTGCTCCATCCAAATACATCATGACAAAAATTTTCTAGTTTAAAACAAGAATAAAGTTTTATACAGTGATGGAATAAAAATACCCTTCCTTTTTGAATTAGAATTAAGCAATTTTTGCATATAAACAGACCAAGTTACCCTTTAGTGGGACAATGAATTCTTAGGAATGGGTTGATTCCCCGACTACCAAGATCAAACACCAAAGGTGTTTATACCAAAAAGTGATGACCAATTCCCAGTTTAATCAAGAAATAAGAGGTTAAGTCAACATGAAGATTATGGACTAATGGTCATCCAATTATATCATACATAACTACATATATATCGGATTCTAAAGATTTATATATTAGTTAAACAAATTTTATCAAATCATAAAAGAATTGAAATATTTATTCACATATCATTTATATATACAAAAAGACAAAACTTTATGTAATATCAGGAATGGATTTAAGTTATATTAGCTCTACAAATAAAAAAATGTATTTAGTTTCATTTAATTATACTTTTAATCATTTACTTTTAAAAGTAAAAAAATTACCTGTAAAAAACTTATATTTATATGCGAACACACATATTTTCAATGAAAATCTTTACCCATTTTTTAAAAATATAAATAGAAGCCCAGTTTGGATTAAGATCAATTTTACCTTACACTGTAGTAATTACTATATTAAATATAATTTAATGTACTTAAATAAATATTAAATAATTTCTAAATCAATGTCCAAAATTCTCTTGCTTTTTTTTTCAAATAATAATTCAAGGGCCTAATACCTAAAAAAAGTCTTGAAACTATTTAAAAAAATTCAAGTAAGTTTTTATAATTTTATTATGTTTGTTCATACTCTTGTACTTTTCATTTAAGTCAAATAAGTTTTATATTTTTGTATTGAGTAAAATAAAATTTTATAACTAATAATTAACATACCTAAAATGTTTTTTATTATTTTATATTCTATAATATTAACGTAACATGTTAACATATCATAATTGATAATAATGTGACTTACAGATATATCACAATTTATAATAACATAATATACTAATTTGACATAATAATACGATTATATAATTTTTTTCACCTTTCACATTAATATCATATAAATATAAAATAATTAATAATATTATAAATAATATTAATTAATTAATTATTAATTTTAAAAATTTATTTAACTTAAAATAAAAATATAAAAAAAATTATTTAAAATTTTTAAATAATTTAAAGACCTGATAAAGGATAAACAAGTCACCCGAAAAAAGGACATTTCCGTCAATCTAAGCCCCTCCAAAATTTTCAAAAAAAATAAAAAAACCCACCGAAACAAAATCCAACGGCCAAATAACGGAAAAGGAGGGAAACAATATCAAGCGTCCGATCTCACAGCCTTGCCCTTCCATTCTCCATTATTTATCCTCATTTCTTACTCCCACTGACTCACTCACCCCATCTCCAATCCCTCCCTGTCTTGTCTATCATCCTCTGTCATCCATCCCAACGAGCACTCGCCCACTGTAAGCCCCAATCCCCAGATCTAATTTTTTTACTCATTTATTTTATGCTTTTTAACTTACCATTTCTTGATTGTCGCAGGAATTAAAAAAATTCAAAAACAAAAATGAGGGAAATCCTTCACGTACAAGGTGGGCAGTGCGGGAACCAGATCGGATCCAAGTTCTGGGAAGTGGTCTGCGACGAGCACGGCATCGACGCCACAGGACGTTACATCGGAAACTCCGATCTGCAATTGGAGCGCGTAAATGTTTACTACAATGAGGCTTCGTGTGGAAGGTTTGTCCCACGGGCCGTGCTCATGGATCTCGAGCCGGGGACTATGGATAGTGTGAGGACTGGACCTTACGGACAGATCTTTAGGCCCGATAACTTCGTGTTTGGACAATCTGGGGCTGGGAATAATTGGGCTAAGGGGCATTACACTGAAGGAGCTGAGCTTATTGATGCTGTTCTTGATGTTGTTAGAAAGGAAGCTGAGAATTGTGACTGTCTCCAAGGTATAATTTTTTTAGTTCTTTTTTTAATACAATTTTAGCTGTTTTTTTCTTTAATATTGATGCTTTAAACGAGATTTTAATGTCTGTAAAAGCATTTGGCTCGTTAGTTAGTGTTGTAATCCCCTTCCCCGATTCCAAAAAAGAAATTCTACACACCAGCAGTCGAATACTCTAATTTGTAAAATTTGTGGCTATTTGTCTCTTTAATTTTTGCCACGTGTCCATTTAATTATAGAAAAGGAAGTAAAAATTGAATTAGAATTATGTTAACGTATTCAAAGTTCTTTATGCGGTAATCCAAACAACTTGGGCAATGGGTAAAATAATAATGCTAATGAAATTAGCTTTGGAGATCTTGGTGTTGATGTTGCGGGTATCTTGTTTGTTTAATTTTGGTTTTTGGTTTTTGTTTACATATTTATTTGTTTGTGTGAATAGGTTTTCAAGTTTGCCACTCTCTGGGTGGAGGAACTGGTTCCGGGATGGGTACCCTGTTGATCTCAAAGATCAGAGAAGAATACCCTGATAGAATGATGCTCACTTTCTCTGTCTTCCCATCACCAAAGGTTTCGGATACGGTGGTTGAGCCATACAATGCCACCCTTTCTGTTCATCAGCTTGTTGAGAATGCTGATGAGTGCATGGTGTTGGACAATGAGGCTTTGTATGATATCTGTTTCAGGACCCTGAAGTTAACTACTCCTAGCTGTAAGTTTCATTTGTTTTACTTGATATTGTATGATTGCCTACAATATCTTTTTAATGAACAAAAATTGATTTTGTGTGTTGGTTTGGTATCTTGTATTACTTCCATTAAATTTCTGCTCAAAACTTTAGCAGTAACTGATTTGCAGGATAACTCTGGGGAATTGGTTTCAGTTGAATTATTTAATAATGTTTGCCTAAAGTTTTCTATTGCTGGTTTTGTTGTATGGTTTTCATTGTGAAGGATTATGTAAATGTACATCTTAGAAATAGGTGTTAATATCAGATAATATTGAAGGGAACAGGAGAATTATTACAATCTATAGTCAAGTTTATTAGTGTATTTTTCCCAGATTTGGTTATAGTGTGAGTCTTTTGTTCCTAAATAATGTTATGGGATAGTATTGGCTGGGTAGGCCTGTTCTTTTGCTATAATTGGGTAAATAAGTTAAATTTATTCCTTTTTATAAAAAAAAAAAAATTGAAGTCCTTTTTCTTACTGCATAAGTGAGAATTGATTGAGATTTATGTGGTTGATGTTGTGGGAAGTTCTATACTCTTCTCCTGAATGCTAAATTGCTATCAGGCTAATGCTGAAGTAACTTTCTTTTGTTGATTGTAACAGTTGGTGATCTGAACCATCTGATCTCTGCAACCATGAGTGGTGTCACATGCTGCCTCAGATTCCCTGGCCAGCTCAACTCTGACCTCCGCAAACTTGCAGTGAACCTCATTCCTTTCCCTCGTCTGCACTTCTTTATGGTTGGGTTTGCTCCTCTCACCTCGAGGGGATCTCAGCAGTATCGTGCTCTAACTGTCCCAGAACTCACCCAGCAAATGTGGGATGCTAAGAATATGATGTGTGCTGCAGACCCACGGCATGGTCGCTACCTCACAGCCTCAGCCATGTTCAGGGGGAAGATGAGCACCAAAGAGGTTGATGAGCAAATGATTAATGTTCAAAACAAGAACTCTTCATACTTTGTTGAGTGGATTCCAAACAATGTGAAGTCTAGTGTGTGTGATATTCCTCCTCGGGGCCTGTCTATGGCATCAACTTTCATTGGTAACTCAACCTCCATTCAGGAGATGTTCAGGCGAGTGAGTGAGCAATTCACTGCCATGTTTAGGAGGAAGGCTTTCTTGCACTGGTACACTGGGGAAGGAATGGATGAAATGGAGTTCACTGAGGCTGAGAGCAACATGAATGACCTTGTATCTGAATATCAGCAGTACCAGGATGCTACAGCTGATGAGGAACTTGAATATGAGGAGGAGGAGGATGGTGAGGAAGATGTTCGTGAGATGTGAGAGATGTAAACGCTGTATGCTACTTTATATTGTGGAATGTGGTAATGCCTCGTTATACTGCCTGAGAGTAAAAAAGTGCAATTTCTGTTAGATTGAGTAGTTACATAAGCGAAAAGCTGTTTGTGTTACTCTTTTATATGTTTGAATTCTAGCCTTGCTGTTCAATTCGTTTGCTATAATGACAGTTAATAGTATTGGCTATATCTGTTCCTTTTCCTGCTATTGTTTTTTTTTTTTATATTTGGTAGAAAATATAATGAAATTCATCTTATTCCTATGGAATATACTTGGAATTTATTAATGAGCTGAAGATGGGCAATGTGCATTTTGTATCTGATTTTATTTGTGGAAGGCATTGGAGGAATGGTTATTTTGCAGTTAAAGAATCATTGTATTAAGCCATGTTTAGTTAGAATAAATTAATTACCTTTCATTTGAAGGAAAAAAAGGTTTAGTGACAAAGATATTAATTAAAATAAATAAATAAAAAGAAGAAAAAAATGAGGGCATTTTTAATATTTACCTTTGAACAAGACTTATGAAATCCTAACATCAGTTATTTTTTCAAGAGATAAATAATGTTTCAAAATAACGAGGTAGGTTTATTTTCAATAAGATCCAAGGATGACAATAATTTTTCCCAATTAAATTATATTTAATACAGAATCGAGTTATGATTTAATCCAATTATTTAATTTGATAGTAATTAAAGGTGATTGATTTTAAAATCAATTAAAATTTTCAATCATATTTATAACTAATTATATTTCCGCATAACTAATTTTTTTTTAAAAAAAAAATCATAGCAACCCCATTCATTTGGACATAAGAATTTTAAATGACATTTCAAATCATGATTCGTAAGTTTACTGAAAAGATTTATATACATAAATAATTTTTAAACTTCAAATCATCTAAATAATAAAAATAGAAAATATATTATTTTTTAATACAAATCAAGATGACAAGGTAAGGAAAGGGTGGACCGAAATTCAGAACAAGTCACCTATAGACTGACAGCAGACTAATGACCATTCAATTCAAGACTTCTAATCTATTTAGAGGTAGCGACGAATCAGATCAACCTCGGTTAATACTTTGAAATCTTAAATGCCATTAAAATAAGTAAAAATTATAATTTTAAAATATTAAAAATAATTTTTTATATATTTAAATATATTATTTAGTAATTTAATCATAATTTAAAATCAAACGGCCGGGCCTGAGTTGGATCTGGCCGGCGGACGCCTCTACAGTCTAGTAAAGCCTTCGACCAAAGTCTGATTATGGTTACCCCATTGGTGTCCTTGTGGTGGCTACCGTCGAACATGGGCGACTGCGAGCTACTCAAGTCAGTTTCGCTAGGAAAAGAGAGAGCAAGACAACATACCTCTAATCAAGATATTATTATAAATTTTGGAGAGAACAGCAGCCGACTAAAAGGAGGGGTATTGCCTTAGGCAATGGTTAATAGGACGAGGAATTTATAAATACTATATACATATATCTCTAAAAACCTTGTCTCTTTAGCCATAAAGGGCTAAAGCAACCTATTAACCATTGCCTAAGGCATTACCATTGGAGGACTTCCATAGCTTCATTTATCAATTTTATAGCCTTTGTGGAAATCTCCCTCGGAGGCAGATTCCCACAGTTGTACAACCTTTCCTTGTCTACCTGCTTAGCAAAGTCAATGATTTGGGAGGATATATATATACATCTAAAGTATGCATAATAAAAATATTGCAGAAAAATGTTTAAGGTGATCAAGAAAACGGCTCCCAACATCCTCAAGAAACATAAAGAACATAATCCGAAATAGGGAATAATACTAGCGGTAACCACACAGACAGTGAGAGAGAATTCGGCTTTGGTTTCCAAAATGAGGAATAAACTATCCAAGGAGTCCCTGGAGTCAAGAATAGAGTTGGGGGCTAGAATCTCTTGCCATTCCCTTATTAAAGAGCTGCCATGCCTTGATTTGATCAAGACAACATACAGCTCACAAGCAACTGAAAACTTGCTAAGCCCTCAAGCCTCAAAAATGGTGACTATCTCCATATTGCTTCCATTTACTTTTCCCACCTCCCCCTCTGTATTGTTAATGTACTGACTGTTGTTTTTCGATTTCAGGATGCTAAGAAAGGTGGATTCCGAGCTTGCTCTTTTGTTTTTGGTGAGAACTATGCTCTTAAGAAGCTTGCAAATTAGGATTTGCTTAGGTAACTTGATCACAATGAAGTAATTAAATAAACTCATTCATGTTTCTCTTCTGATATGTAGTACTTGGGGCCTTTGAGAATATTGGGTTTGTTGCTAACATGGTTAGCATGGTTCTGTATTTCCACCTTATGATGAAACTTGATCTTCCCACTTCTTCAAATACTCTTACGAACTTCATGGGCTCAGTGTTCTTGCTCACACTACTAGGAGGCTTCATTTCAGACATTTACTTGAACCGACTGTATACAATTTTGATATTTGGATCTCTGGAAGTAATAGTAAGTATAACTATATCAAAGTGTGCCTCGCTTTGTACAAGTTCAATGACTTCCTAATCCTTTGTTTATTAATTTCCTCAATATTTTCTTAATCATCCTTTATTCGCAGGGACTGTCAATGGTTACCATCCAAGCTTATTCAAAAGACCTACGGCCCGATCTTCTTTGCCAGAGGGATTGTGTCAAAGGCCGCATAGCATTGATGTTCTATGGCTCGCTTTCTCTATTAGCCTTGGGTGCAGGTGGAGTTAAAGGAGCTCTTCCAGCACTTGGTGCTGATCAATTTGATTCCAAGGATCCAAAAGGAGCAAAGCAGCTTGGAAGCTATTTTAATTGGTACTTATTAAGCACCACTTTTGGAGCAGTAATTGGTGTCTCATTCGTAGTGTGGGTCAGCATGAACGAGGCTTGGTACTGGGGTTTCTTCATGGGCACTATGACTGCTATTATTGGATTCATTGCAGTTGCTCTTGGGAAGCCATTTTACCGCTTTCCCCCTCTTGGGAACAGTCCTCTACTGAGAATAGTGCAGGTTTATTTTCTCACCTTCTCTGTCCCTCGTGCTCATATAGTACCGCATAATATTTGACTCCTGATAAGAGTGAATTGTGGATTGTTCAGGTTATCGTGGTTGCAATGAAAAACCGAAGATTGTCATTACCAGAAAATTCTGATGAACTTTTCGAGATCAGTGATAAGGACATAAATCAATACGATGAAAAACTCTCTCATACCAATCAGTTCAGGTGAATATATACCATGAACTTGTTATTTTCACTTCAGAGAGTGATCAAATAAACAATCAAATACTCTTCTTGACAGTAATTAATACTTTTAGTAGTTCATTGATGAGGTTACTAAAACACAAAGTCACTTGCCAAATCAGACCTGATTTAGTAGATTTGACATTTTAGATCTTTACCAACAACATCTATGCTAATTAATTCCCGTGACTGAACCAGGTCACTAGACAAGGCTGCTATTCTTCCTGAAGAGACTACTCCAGAGCCTTGGAAAGTTTGCTCGGTGACACAAGTTGAGGAAGTCAAGGTTTTGGCAAGGATGTTGCCCATCTTAGCCAGTACCATTATAATGAACACATGCTTGGCCCAATTGCAGACATTCTCAGTGCACCAAGGGTTCTTCATGGATCCATATATTTTTGGCAAAAAATTCCCTTCAGCCTCTGTGCCAGTAATTCCTCTAGTTTTTATGATATTCTTAATACCCATGTATGAGTTTCTTGTTGTCCCTTTTGCTCGAAAAATCACTGGACATCCCTCAGGCATCACACAACTACAGCGGGTTGGAGTTGGCCTTGTCCTCTCTATCATATCAATGGTGGTTGCCGGCCTAGTTGAAGTTAAGAGGAGGGATCAGGCCATAAAAGATCCGTACAAGCCTATTAGTCTGTTCTGGCTTTCCTTCCAATATGGAATATTTGGACTAGCAGACATGTTCACCATTGTTGGACTAATGGAGTTCTTCTACAAGGAAGCTCCCTCAGGGATGAAATCGCTTGCTACTTCCTTCGCGTGGTTATCTCTATCATTTGGCTACTTCTTGAGTACTGCCTTCGTCAACATTATAAACACTGTCACTGAGAAGATCACTCCAAGCAAGACAGGTTGGATACACGGTGATAACTTAAATGTCAATAATCTGAATCTCTTCTATTGGTTCCTAGCTGTCCTTAGCACCCTCAACTTTATTATCTATCTGTTTTGTGCTTCATGGTATAAGTACAAGGAAGACACAGCAGAATCCGAGACTGGGACAAAGAGCAGATATGATGATCAAGTTACTCAGAACTAAGAAGCAGCTTTGAATTTGTATGATGATGAAGGCACTGATTAGAAATATAATTTGTGGCAGTGTCACCAGAGAGCCAATAAGTTTATCACATAATCAGCTTGTGATCCTTTTTTTGTCCCCCTATATTCGATTTATATCGCCTAAGGTTTTATACATGCTGTTGCAGTTCTGTGCAAAAGTAGTGCCAACTCTTTTGTACATCATAAATAAAAATTTCTGCACTATTCTTAGATCAATGACTCAAAAGATTCAGTGAAGTGCCACATTGATGATGCCCTCACTAGCGAGCTGCATGAACATCCTATTAGTACAAACTACAAAGACTTGACATGCCCTGGCTTCCAGCTGGTGCACATACAAGAGATATCATGCTTATAAATTCAATCTGTCTGGCAATCCAAGAGGTAAGACGGCTGGCTCTAGAGTTGTCCAAGGAAAACAAAATCCTTGGACATGGCTGAGCAAGCATTGCTCTAGGAAAGTGATTGATGCAACATTGTTGTCTTTAGTTGCCAATTGTTCCAAAAAATCATTCTTTATTAGGATGATTAAGTTGGTGCAGTGTAGATTCAAACTTAAAAATCTCATTATTGAAGTGCTAAACATGGATTATTGCTGTTGGGGGTTGCTTTTGAAAACTTATTCTGATAATTAGCTATTTAAGAAAAGTGATAATATCAATTCTGGTACATGATTAGAAAGAGAAGAGGTGATGACGATGTGCTGCAATGATTTCTGAAGGGTTTTGCTAACCAGGTTCTTGCTAAATTTGATGGTTTGAAGGTTGTAGCTCTGAATTAACATTATTGTACTTGTCCTTGAAAATTTTAATTAATATGAGTTTCTTGGTTTTACTTTTGTGACTTTGCTAGCTATTTTAATTAATTTTTTTCGGCAAAATTTAAGTGAGATTTTATAGGTGAACTTTGTGAAATTCATAGCGTCCCTAAATTGATGAAACTAAATAAATATATTAAAGATTGTTAGAAATGACTTGGAAATAATACTATTCATTCAGGTAAAAAATGTAATCTAGGGTTATTAACCATGAAAAATACTTGATAATTTTCATTCAAAACACAAATTTATAGAAATATTAGTAAGATTTATTAAAATTATCTTAAGTTTTTATATATGTAATTTATCTAATGAATTTTAAATTTTATTTTCCATTCGAATTTTTATTTAATTTTTTATACATGTGATTTTAAACAATATAATGAAAAGTAATTGTTTTGCATCCCATAATTTTTTATCTCATTTGAACTCGAAATCTTTAAAGTAGAATATTAATCCCATAGACAAAATTAACTAATTGAACGCTGAAATTTACTTACATCCACAATTAAAAAAAAAAACATTTCCACTAACCAAACATACGTGGATATTCCTTCTTTTCTACAAAGATATTGTTAGTCCTTGTAGGGTACCGTAGCGGTGGAGTGAATACAAACAGAAGAGGTATGAAGAAGAAAAGCGACGTGGCGTCTAATTGACATATGGCACATGTAGCAGTAGTTGGTAGGGCACATGCGCAGCTTGGAATGCCACCGACACTCTTTCTAGTATCATCATCTCACATGTCCACCTCTTTCTATTCTTATTTTAGTCTTAATAAATATGTGAGAGAAGAAAATTAATGATGCTATACCCCAATCTAATAAATATAAGTAATCTTCAATTCCTCGGGGATTTAGCTTGATGACAACCCAATTTCAACTGCTTCGGCTTCCCATCACTGATATTTGATAAGTCCAATATCTTATCTTATGATTCAAATTTTAATATTTAATACGAAAGTCTATCCCTTCGACATTTTATTAGTAAATCCAGTAAAAGGTAAGTCTAAACAGAAACTAGAGGGAGAGTTCATCTTTTTTATGAATAAAATTTATTAGTGGTCAATTTAGTTGTTATTGTACATATATGAATATATACACACCTTATAATTGTACCCCAAGCATTTGCCCAATATTAATGCTTGTAAGAATTAAGATACTATATGATATGTATGAGAAAATTAAAAATGAATTCATCTGTTTTATTAACAAAATTACTATCAATGTGAAGGTAAAACCTGCATATCTTAGCTAGGGGGCATTCAATTCCACCAAATTTGTACAAAAAAATTATAAAATAATTAAGATATATAGTAAACATAAAAAAATTAATTATGTTCAATATATAGTTCTCGGTGGTTTGATTCTTTCTTTGCCAGTGGGGTGACAGCCCCTTCAGCCACCTAACCTAGTCTACTTACCAAATCCAATCAATTGGTTGTTGTTTCTGTCCTTTACAAGAAAAACAAAGTATCCACGCAATTTCTGGATGACTTTCTGAATTACTATACAAAGACAAATAAATATCTTTGAGGCTTCTTCTTCCTTTTAATTTAACCTCAAAAGGTAAAAATATTGTTAAAAAATACATATAAATGCTAGCCTTTGATTGATTAAAGAGCAGTGAATTAAATTTGAATGGTTATATGTAGATGAAATCATCAATATATTAATTTCAGTAGTTTAACTAATGATATCAATGTGCGGTTACAAATAGATAAAAATATGCTATGAAAGCTGGAAATGGAGGGTGTAACATTTGTCATGTCAATGTCCACGTGATAAAAGATGTTATAAGTTTTCATGGCAAATGATACCTGCCCCTGCCATTGTTCATTTGTTCATACATTTGCATTTATGGAAGTCTGTACTGTATCCCATTTTGAGGGAGGAAGCTTTGAAAGAGACCTTCATAGAAGCATTTACAATGGCTTCTATAGTTCCTTTTTTCTTTGTTTTTTCTTTTTTTTTTTTTGGGGGAGGGGGGGCGAAATGTATTTAAATTCTATTGTTTGTAAGATACTAAAATTACTAGTTCAAGCATTTCACTGCATAATACAAGCCACTCAAAACACCAGGGCTTGAAACCAGAACTATTGGATCAACCAGGAAATTTGAGTAGCTAAGCAGTTGACTTGAATCTTAGCATTCTAGTATGTGTGTGTGTATATATATATATGTTCTAGCATATTCTATTGCTGTGTTGAAATGAGAGGTGACCTTCCAGCATTGACCATATTCTACTAGCAAGTTGAGTTGCAACTGTGACTCATTGCCCTTTGAATGGTAGTTCATTTTGGATGCATTTATACATTTTTGCTTTTGTTGCATAACACAGTTAAAATTCATTATCCAAAAAGAATTGATCAGAATGGAATGTATGTGTGAGCAGGCTTTATTTTCCTCAAAACTGCAATTAGAAACAATAAAATTGTAAACAATCTAGTAATCAAGTCCTTCAAGTTTTGTGATGATGAGTAAATTATTCAGGTTTTGGGTAGTTAATAACTTTTGAGTAGGCAGATTATTCCTTTCTTATCATCTACTCAGCTGTTAAAGAAAAAATAAATAAATCTGACAATTTAAAGGTTCTGGGACCATCACAAAAAGATAGACCATTCTAGTAATTCCATCCAAAGGCAAGGCTACATATACAAATAAGTAACTAGCTATTCCATTTGCTTGTAGTTCTCTCAGTAGAAGAGGTAAAGTCCTGGGGTTAAAGACTATAGGCCACCAAACATCACAGAAACTAAGAATGATGGAACAGCGACGGTACAGTAGTACTTCAGTTCTGCAATTCTTCACGATTTCTTGTCTTCTGCTTCTCTCTTTTTCAGGATCTGTTACAGCTTACAAGAACTATACAGTTGGTGACTCCCTGGGCTGGTATGACACCCTTGAAAAGCCTAGTGTAAACTACCAGAAATGGGCAGAGACCAAAAACTTCAGCTTGGGAGATTTCCTTAGTAAGATATCTTTATGCTTGCATCTCTCTTAAATTGTTACTCTTCTGATGTTGTCGTTCATGAATTATGAGCAATATATATTTACCTTGCTTTCCTCCTAGTTTCCTATCTGTAGTCATGACAAAAATCTGTGGATTTTTAGTAAATTTCCATTTACAGCAGAAACCATGTGAACCCATATAAGGAAATGTTTCCAAAAGTTAAGTTGGAGATCTTCAGTTCACAAATACTCAAGTTACCTGATCTGTTGTGAAGTATTATAGCTGGTCTTTTTTTTAATATAGCTGCAACTTTCTGAATTCCTTTTGCAGAAACTCTTAACTGAGGAAAAGAAATGAACTAATCCAAATTGCCTTCTTGAATTTTTTTTCCCTAAACTTCTGCTTGAATTTGCTCCACTCATACCTCATCTCAGCTATTGATTTCCTTTCCTTTCTTCTTCTTTTCATTTTGGGGTTTTTATTACTCCCAAATCCTAATAGGCACTGGTGATGGAGAAAACTAAAGGGCTGATAGTACAACCCACTTCACTCTCGACTCTTCCATTAGTTTAGAAAAAAGGACAGTGCTCTATTAATCAGGCACCTTTAAGTTATGCTTTCCCACTTAAGCATAGATGTGAGTGAAAAAACTTGATCCAAAAAGAGAAGCATTTAGTACCGAGAATGCATAGGTTTTGTCCATACACCTGGCCTTACATGCATCTCAACCATTGCCTTTTTTGAGTTTCTCTCGATAGATATTTTCCTCTCAATCCTCCATGAATTTATTGACTTCAATAATTACAAGTTTATATATTCAAAAAAAGATAAGACTGTGTTGCCAGAAGTTTCCCATCTGCGATACCATTATAAGAATTTCGCTGACTGACATACTTAAAGTTGAGGGCATTGGCTTCTTGGATTCGGAGAATAACATGCATGAACATTGAACCGTCTTTTTCCTAGCTGGCAGAAGATGATTGTTTTGCCGGTGATGGAATAATAAAAAGTACACATAAAAAAGAAAAAAGGTTTGCACTCTGAAGAATATTCTGACAATTCTCTGTTGTGTTCACTATTACTCTGTTACAGAATATATTGGCCAGATAGAAGCCATTTCTTTATGTTATTTCTCCACAAAGTGGATACATCTAACTTATTAGGGTATGGTGTTGTCAGTATTCAATATGGACCATTTGGTTCTTTGGTCACACTAATTCAGAGGTTTGGTTACTCTTTGTTTCTTTTTTTTAAACATTAAATTCAGAAATAGAGAGATTGTTTCGTTCTGACAGTACTCTCTGTTCATTTTGTTTATGTAGTCTTCAATACAGATAATAACCATTCAATAGTGCAAACATACAATTTCACCATATACAAGCTCTGTGATTACAATGATGCTCTGCAAAACGATACCATCGAATGGTCGGCGGCCAATCCTTCGGCCACGGCACCTTATCCAGTTTCAGTGGCAGTTCCCCTGGTGAAGGAAGGGATGAATTATTTCTTCTCCAGTGATTATGATGGTGAGCAGTGCAAGAATGGTCAGCAATTCAAAATAAATGTGACTCATGGCCAAGGGTTACCCAAGAGCCTAGAAGAACCAGATGACGCCCCAGCTCCAAACAGTCCTGATTTTGGGAGTGATGATTCTGCCCCGGATACTATTGTACCTTCAAACTTCAATCATCCCATTGAAGAGGAAAGTGATAAGGATGAGGGCTCGGGATCATTTTCTTTACTTTTCAACTCTTTGGATCTAAAATTGAACGGGCTTTTAATCTTATTAGGAATTTTTTGCATATTTTGAATATTTATACTTTACTTTGTTTTTTATTATAATATTCTTTTTCCCCTTTATAGAATAAAATTAACGTTCTTATAATTTTATTTGTGAATTCTGAATATAAGAGTGTATCAGTGTTTAGGGAATACATTTGGTATTGTACAATCATAGTAATGATAATAATAATAAAATATAATCTCATAATTGATATCAATTTTTTTACTAAAATATTAATAGTAGAACACAATGATATTCGGCCCTGATTCATATATTAATTGTTATTATGTAAGAATAGGTCAGAACTTGTAGTTAGATTGCATATTATATACAAAAATATATATTATAAATTGAAATCTTTCTGTTGAAAAAAAAAACAAATTATGAATTATAAGAAACGAGATTGGTCTAAGTCTAAGCAAACAAAATGATCTTAAATTGGTGCACCATTAATTGGTGTTACAAATTAAACCTTAGCATAGCTGTGTCATTGTTCGTATTTAAAGTATTTATCATATTATAGTTTTATTTATTTTCATTTTTTTGTCATTAATATAAGTATCCTTTAATATTTTTTTATTTACATAATATATCTATTTTTTATTATTTTAGCTCTCTCTTGTCATTAAGATGGGTGCGCCCTAATCACTTTTTGGGTGAGATAAATTGTGTTAATGAGATTGTTGTTACATTTTTTTGATTAAAAAATTGGAGCCATTTTTTTTTGGGAAAAAGATTTAAGTAAACAAAAAAATGTAAATTAATTTATAAATAGAGTTTTCAAAATTAAAATAAACAATGACAAAAGAATAACCCTGCAATGCAGGGCTTAAAAATTAGTTATTTATAATCGTCAATACTTCGCACTTGTATAAGTTACTTTAATTAAAATTAATATTGCATTTTGGTGTATTTATTTGTTGATGTAAGAAGAGATTATTATTCCAATCTTATTCTGTCCCGGCCCTCCCCCCCTATTGTAAGGCTAATGGAGTAATAGGGTTCGAGAGGATTATTGATAATAGTACAATTAGAGCCCATTTGAAACAAAATTAAGAGAAACAAAACAAAACAAAAAGAATAAAATTTATACTCTTTTACCGACAACTTTACAACGATGCTACACAATTTAAAAGAAAAATAAAAAATAAAATATGTATATATAGAGGCCTTTTTTCGTATCCCTAATTACAATAATTGAACTTTATTAGGGACTTGATCTAAGCACAAGAAATATATATTGCTCGTGTTTATTCAAGAAAAGACACCTTTGTTAGTGAAACTCCATCTTCACTTGTGGCATGTTGGGTTGGGGTATTCCTAATTCCCCTGTTCCTAAGCTTACGTTTGGTTCATTTGACCATTCTCCAAGAATGGATTTTCTTTAAAAATATGGAATAGTTAATTTTGAATCTCCCTTGATATTAACTATTCTATTAGAGTAGGAATGGCTTAAAAAAAATTTTAAACAAATATGCATTTAGCTTTTTTGAAAAAATTATTATTTTATATATAATAAAATCTAACATTCAAGTTGATACTCTAACTTCAAATCTATCAAGAAAACGCTTATATAAAGTTCTATTAGTCGAATTTTATATTTTAATGACCAGATTTGATACGAGAAGTATCAATTTGACTCTCTAATGATTGATTCACCGTAAGCAGTGACATATTTAGGATTTTATATGAAAGATGACTAAAAGGTAATTATATCAAGTTATGAATTGAGTCAATAATTTAATTTTGAAAAAAAAATTAATCACCTTTTTTTTTTGAAAAGCTTTTCTAAAAATATGATTTTCCCTCTCACCAATTCAATTTCCATTTTCGTTTTTATGCAAGAATTTGAAAAACTAAAACAACCAAGCTTAGATCTAGCTACAGTATGAGTATATTGAAAAATAGGACTGAAAACAAAGAGCATAGATATGAAGCATAGGTTCTTGTGCACTTACAATGGCAACAATAACAAAAAATTAAAGTAGCTATTAAGCTGGAAGAGAAACAAAGATCAAAATGATACTTGGACAAAGAGTTTTGAACACTAAAAATTAAAGAACACAGCATTATGTCGTATAACACTAAACAACTAACTAGACTTATTTAAACAACTCTTTATCATGCATTTAAGACTATCCATACTAACAGTGATGAAATGACACCGTTTTGCCTCAACCTTTAAGCCTTCATTCTTCAAATAGTTGTTGACTCTCACCAAACACACTTTCTTCCATGACAGCTTTTATCTAGATTTCGATCACTTTTAAAATAAAATTAAATAATAACATAAAACTAAGCACCGCCACCACTTTTAATCTATCCTTGATCACTAGAAATGCAAAATTGGTGCTTTAAAGACCAAATTTTGCTAGTCAAAATACTCATCAAGTCTTTATATTTATATATTTTGTTTAATTTAGTCTCTATATTTAAAATCAAAGTAATTTAATTTTTTGATTTTAAAAATTATTTCAATTTAGTCCCTCTATCTAACAACTTCCAATGTTATCGTTAAAAGAATGACATCAGCGCTGACGTGGCACATGTAATGATGTGGCTTGGTTTGGGCTTGAACTTAAATGGCAAAAAAATGTTAAAATCATGGAAAAATTTGTATTAAGTTTGGGCTTAAATTTGTGTCAAGTCTATTTTTATAATTGAAATCAAATCTATATTGTTTAAATAAGTAATTCAATTTATATGATTTATTTTTAATTATATAAATAAACATTATATAATTTTTTTAGTAAAAATCAATAAACAATATATTATTTATTTATAAGAATGACAAATCAATAACTTATTTTTTTAAAGAGGTAATAAATACCATATATTAAATTGATTGATGTGCCCTTTATATGACTCATGTATCCTTTCCATTATGAGAGGTTAAACATGAAATTTTTGGATCATATTAATTAGCAAAAAAATTGACTCTTATACACATTTTAATTTTCGGACACATATAACTTAACTTAATGAGGGCATGAAATGAATTTATTCGTCAAAACCTAAATATTTCTATGATTTGTTGATTAAGTTTTTTTAAGAAATTACAAATAAAACAAATTTTCTTGGAGAAACAAAATATCAATGCAAGCATCAATTTAGCCAATGATAATATGTTATGAATTAAATTTGGTCAATGATAGTATGTTATGAATTATATAGAGACTTAGACATGAATAGAAGATTTTATTATTTATGACCTAATTAATAAAATAAAAAATAATGGTTAGTTAAAGAGTTTAAAAAGGAATAATAATATAAAATCCAAATTAATTTCTAAATCCTAGCCTTATATTTCTTTATATAAAGAAATAAAAAATGTATATTTATTTATCAAAAAATCAGGTTCAATTTTCTCTAATATTCATATTGTAAGTATTAATTTTAAAAATATTTAATAAAAAAATAAATAACTTATTTTCTTATTTAATTATTTGATTCTAGAATATGTACATTAATTTATCTTATTTTACAAAATTTAAGTTTAAATTCTTCTTCTACAAAAAAATTTTCATACCTAAAGGTAAATTTAGATGAATAACTTACAATATATAAGAATAAAATAATATAAAAGGACTAATTAAATTTTTTTCTTCTATTTATAATTGTATAAAAATTTGAAATTTATTTGACTTAATTTTTAACTTGAGTTAAACTTAAATCAGAAAAATAGGTTGATTTAGTTATAACATTCACAATTTACAAATATCTATTCTTTTGGAATTATTTAACCCTTATCTAATTTACCTTTTATTTAAATTTGCTCAAAATTTCTTATAAAATGATTTTATTTAAGTTCAAATATCACAATCGAATTAAGCTAAATTTAAATTTAAATTATTAATTTAGATATAAAAAAAATTTATATATACAAAATAAAATTAGACAAATATTTACAATATTTAACTCTATCAATTATAAATGCGATCTTTAATCTAAAAAATTTTAACCTAAAAAATATAACTTAAAATATTAAATAAAATAAAAACATAAAATATAAATAAAAAATTATAGCAATGGAGTAGCTTAAATTATATAGTTGTAATAAGAGTTTTATTATTTTAAATTAAGCAAGTTAGAATGAAGAATTTTTTTTTATAATCATCGCTAACTCCATATCTCCTATCCTTATTATTTTAAAAGAAAAAAATTAAATCAATCTATTTTGCTAATTTAAATTTAACTCAAGTTAAAAACTAAGTAAAATAAATTTAAAATTTTTGTACTATTATAAATAAAAGAAACAAATTTTATTTAGTTTTTTTATATTATTTTATTCTAACATAATGTAAGTTATTTATCTAAATTTGACTTTAGGTATGAAATTTTTTTCAAAAATTTTTTTATAAAAGGAGAATTCAATCTTAAGTTTGCCAAAAAAAAATTAATGTAAATATTTTAAAATCAAATAATTAAGAAAAAAAATTTATATATATTTTTTAACACCATAACTTTTTCACACTTAAAACTTTATGTTATTAATCATCTACTTAAAGATTTATATCTTTTAATATTTTTTTAATTTAATTTTTTAAAATTTTAATTTTATTTAGTTTAGTCCCTATATTATATATTTTTGTTTAATTTAATCACTATGACATGACATAATTTTGTTTTAAAATTTTTGATCTATCATATGGTACTGACATGTCATCATAAGAATGCAACGTGGCATTGCCACGTCATCATATCGATGCCACGTGACATGCCACATAATCATGTGAGTGCCACATCATCAAAACACTGACATCATTTTTATAACGATAAAATTGAATATCGTTATAGGGAGGAAATAAATTGCTTCAATTTTCAGTACGATGATTAAATTAAACAAAATGCATGAATACAAGGGTTTGGTGGATATTTTGACCAATTTTGTGCCAGTAGTGTTAGAAGTGCTGGTCTCATCTTTGGTGGTTGCAAAGAAAGAAAGAAAAGCAAAAAAAAATGAAATTAAAAAATTATATTAAAGTTTTAATTATAAGTCCATAATAACTATAGTAAATTATTAAAATATTAATATTTCAAATTAAAAAATAAATTAAAATTTTAATTATAAATTGTTAATATTTTAAATAAATTATAATATTTTAATAGTTTAATATTTAAAAATTTAAAAAATTGAGAAAAATTAAATAAAAAATAAATGCTCATATTAAAATTTTAATTAAAAATTATTAATACTTTAATAAATTACAAAAATAATATTGCAAATTAAAAAACATAAATTATAATAAAAATATATTTTTATCTTTTTTATCACTTAATATTTTGTTATTTTAAATAAATTATTAATATTTTAATATTTAAAAAATTTAAAAATAGAGAAAAAATAAGTGATCATATTAAACTTTTAATTAAAAATTAGTAGTACTTTAATAAATTATAAAAATGATGTTTCAAAAAAACATAAATTATAATAAAAATATATTTATATCTTTTTTTATCACTTAATATTTTGTTATTTCAAATAAATTATATTTTATTAATATTTTAATATAGAGAAAAATTAAATAAAAAATAAATGATCATATTAATATTTTAATATATTGTAAAAATAATGTTTCAAATTAAAAACATAAATTATAATAAAAATATATTTTTATATTTTTTATCACTTAATAGTTTATTCTTTCAAAGCTATTTTTACCATCTAAATATTAAAATAATATCAAAATGATAATTTCATGCCATAAACCAAATTATGTCATAACTCTTTTTACCTTATTTTTATTTTCACGAAATAGTTATTCCATTTCTCTTTCATTATGCAAATTATTTCATCACTCCATATTTTCAACCAAAATTATGTCACGGGTTTACGTTTTCAACTTTAAAGATATACTTGATAAGTAATAAAAGGTTTATATTTATATTCTTAAAACCCACTCAATCAACTCATGGCAGTCCCACATAAGTGAAGATCCAAATCTATTATGATGTCACTTGTTATGAACCAACATTTCTAATTTAAAAGACGTACTTAATAAGTGATAAAAAGCTCATATATATTCTCCTAAGATCCATTATATCTCTTATTGATGTGAGATATGTATGACAAATCAAATATGCCATTCGTTATAATTGTTATAATAATATAAAAGGTAAAATACACTAACACCCTCAAGTTTTAATGATAATTATATGTAAGTCTACTAGTTTTCAAAATGAACACTAAACTTCAAAAGGGTAAACAATATTAATATTAAACATAAAATATCTAAAATACCTTTTATTTTCATTCATTTTTTTTTCTCGTCAACTGGTAGGTTCCTTTACAGTGATCGTCCACCCATCTCCCTAGGCTCTTTTTGGGAGCATTAGATCGTGATGCTCTTAGATCTGTGCAATCTAGTCGAATTTGGTGCTCTTTGGCTAGATTCAGTCGTGGGGTAATCAGCAAACAAGAGGGTTATTTTTTTTAAAAAAAATATAATTTAGTAATTTTTAAAATTAATAAATGGTAAAATTATCTTTTTAATAGTATCTTATCATTAAATTAATAAAAATATTAACAGTTGATTAAGGACTAGACTTATGTGTCAAATGGAATATATTATTTTGAGATGGAGTGTTTAGAAAATTAATTGACCCATGTATAAATATGATCAAAAGTTGAAAGGATTTATTTATTTTAACCTAATATAAATGTGATCTTATCCTTCATTTTTATTTGTTCTCCCTTTTAATTTTTGGAGAAATATAGATATATAACTAATAAATTAAAACTTGTATTAAATAAGTATATACTTTTAATCAAAAGTATTAAAGAGTTAAAATTTGGAATGTTTCTCATTTTAACCTTGTATCCAAAAGAGTAAAGCTTTTACTGCAATTATTTTAAAGTAAATTACAGCTTAACTAAATCATTAATTTTTATGTTTTAAGCTTTTCATCTTTATTTCATTAGATAGATATTTTTTGAATTATATGCTTGTAATATAATAGAGAATTTATTAGTTTTAATTGAAATATATATATTATATTCATTTTATTTATAATACTTGATAAATTTTTTTTTGTGTTAAATTTGATAAATAATTTACTTGATGCTCAAGCTACACATAAAATATTCTTAATTCAATGTTAACTTAATCAGACTCACATATGTAATTTTAATTAAAAAAAATAAAATATGGGAACTTTTTCACTTTTCATAATTTAATTTTAACAGAATAATTTATTCTTTATTTATTCTGAATTTTGCAACTTTTTTTTATGTATTCAAATTATTTTCGAAATAATACCTTTGGCATTTTTTGTCTTTGAAAATCGTCACTTAACTTTAAAAAAAAAACAAATATATTAAAAAGAAAGGAAAAAAAGGGATAAATACCAAAGGCGGACTCGGTAACGTTTCTCTTCTCGTCCCTTCTGACAGTGTGTATTGGTTGTGTCGTGTTGTGAAAGAAAAAAAAAATGGCGGAATCATCGTCAGCGCCAGCGCCAGCGGCAGCGGCAAAATCGGATGCGGAGACTGAAGAATTGTTGGATCGAATGTTGACTAGGTTAGCTCTCTGCGATGACTCCAAACTCCAAGCCTTGCTCTCCAAGCTCCTCCCTCTCACCATTTCTTCTCTTTCCTCTTCTTCGCAACTTGTCCGCAACAAGGTTACAATAATTCTCCTCTTTTTTTGATCCTTTTGTTTTTTTATCTTTGAATTATCCTTTAATTATTTTTTGGTTTCGCTTTCGGCGGTTCATATTATTATTCTTATTATTGTTTTTAAATTTGAGACTTGGAGGTTGGAATTATATGAAAGTAAGAACTATGCTTTTTTTTTAAAAAAAATTTAAGTTATATATTGTTGTGGAATTTAATAATATCAACTAGTACTAAAATTTGGTGGAGATAGTTTGATACACGTCTTTGCTGGACAAATGTTATTCATTTTGATAACATTATGTAGTGATTCAATGCTAGGAAATATTGGTTAAGATATCTCTTTAACTGCGGTGCACATGAGTAGGTATCTGTATGACTATATCTGCATCCGGTTTGAATTACTATAATTCTTTGAATTTGTGGTTTCTTTACATAGTTTATTTGTAAGGTGCAATTTGAGCGAGTGCTTGATTTAGTGAATGTTTCTGTTAGTATTATTTGGTAGGGTTCTTCATTGCCCATTAAAAAGAAGCTTGGAGAAGTTTATGTTGTAGTTTAATTGCCAAATATATCTGATTACAGCTTGTTATTTTGTTAGTCTGATGTAGCTCGAAGATGAGTAACTGACCAAACATCTTGCTTAACACCTTGGGCATGGCTTCTTCATGGCTTGTGGAATCTAAATAGATCATGGTCTAGGGTATTGCTAAATTTTGGGGATTTAGGATTCAAAGGCATAGGAATAAAGTGTTAGGATGATATGGTTTAAATAGGTTTGGAGTTGAATTCTCTGAGTTCCTTCTCTTTCTTTTCATGAAAGACATATACAGAATTTTGAATTCATTGATCTCATAAATGTTTGTGAACAATTATAGCAGACATGTTGGAAAGGCTTATTATTGAAGTTATGCAAATTTGAAGACTTATTCTGTTTTCCTCAATTTTTCTGTTTTCCTCAATTTTCTTGTAGAAGACAGACTCATTGTCTCTATTTTACTTCTGTGCTTTATTTTTGTACTTTCTCTCACTAGAAAGTACAACATGTTAATCTTCTATTCCCATGATTCTTTGTTGTCAGTGGGTACTCTATCCAATTCCAATGACATTACAGTTACTTAGAAGAAGAAACATAAATTCATGAACGTACCATGATGCATAAAACTTAATAAACAGAAAATGAAATAAAACCTAAGGTTTTCAATGAAAGAAACATGAAGTTATGACTTAAAAGCAACCGATAAAGCCTATTCATGCTCCCAACTAAGAGTTTCCAGAATTGACCCTGTGCCAAATTAAGGCTTGGGCACTAGAACCAACCTTAGCAGGACTTCTAAACACATTTGGAGGCTGCTACTCTGTGCTTCATCAAGCATTCTGATCTTTCCCTTTATTTTTCTGGTTTATTATCAATTAGTTGTACAATTTTTCACTGGAGCGACTTACATGCATCCATCATTTCGATGCTATCTATTGTTAGATGTATATACTTTGTTGTCTGCTTTATGCTACAAGGATCTGCCTTTGCCAAATATTTTAAGTATCATATTCCCCTTCCCCCCGTCCCCATCTTAACATGTCAAATTATGGTGTAAAGGTAGTTCTTTTTGGCCATTATATTCTCAATGACTATGCTTCTTTTGCTTTGTCATTTTAGGTTCTTGAGATCTTGAGTCATGTGAACAAGAGAGTGAGACACCAGCCTGAGATTGGTTTACCACTGCCAGAATTATGGAAAATGTATATCGAAGCCAATGCTAATCCAATGGTTAAGAATTTTTGCATTGTGTATATCGAGATGGCTTTTGAACGTGGACCTTTAAAGGTCCGTTCTACATTCTCTGTAGTCCATAATCTCATCTTTGGGAAATTAATATATTTTATCGGGTTTGAAGTTATGACTTGCAAGTTGTAGCATTTTCCTAATTAATCTTTGCCTTTGTTACAGGACAAAGAAAATATGGCTCCTATGCTTGTGGTAAATATTTCGAAGGTTCCTCAACAACACCAAGAGATTCTCATGAGAATTGCTACTAAGGTATATGTGAATCTTTAGGAAACTCCCCTTCTTCTTGCATCTTTTCTAAAAATTGGAAATTGGAATGGCTGAGCAAATGGATTAGAATTTAGAGCCCAATCTTACTCCATGTGCAATGTGAATCCTAACCTTGAATTTTGTCTGATCAAGGAGCCAAACTATGTGAGCTGTTGCAAATGAAGGAAATATATAATAGATTTAGTTAACTTTGTTAAATCCAGTCATGTGGTCCAGAAGGGCATGTGGGAGATAACATAGCTGTCAAAATTTGCCATATAATTAATTTGTTTATTTCCCCTTCTTTTCGTTTTGTTTCTCTCTTTCTTGTGCTATATTCTTCACAGATATCTCTCTCTTTTCTTCATGCCAGTATGCATGATCTTCTCCTACTCTCTCTTAAATTTCTCCTTTACCTTTGCTGTCTCTCTCTTTCTTTGCTTTTTGTCGTGGCTGGCCACTGGCATCATTCTGATATTACCCTATTTTTTCTTTCCTTTTTTCGTTACTTCCTCTTTCATACCCACTGATTCTTCTCTCTTTCTAGACCCAAACACCTGTTCCCCTCAAAATCTAAATTGTTCTGGAATTTATCCTCATAAAAGTACACACAATATGATATCTGTATAGGTTAATATTGTATTTTTTTTTCAAAAAAAAAAATTGAGACAATGCTGATATTTTTGGTATTTCCTTGGTTTCAGGTGATTGGTGAGTGTCATGCAAGCCACATTGATGACGAGGTTGCTGCGAAGTATAAATTAGTGAATGATTCTCAGGACAGGGATCTATTTCTTGAGTTTTGCCTTCATACAATTTTGTACCAATCACCAGCTCAAGGGTCTGGAACTCTTTTTAATATCGGGATGCTATAATCTTCTACTTTCCTTTTCATTCCGAAGGTTTCTAAATTTTTTAAGTTTTCTCTGCAGAGGAGGGAGCTCACCCGGGCTTTCCATTGCTCAAGCTAACCGTGTTGCAGGGAAGGTTCCATTGAAAGGTGATATGCTTTTAACAAGAAAGGTGAGTGGAAGATTATCTTGTTGCTGAACTCTGATAGATGGTACTGTAAATTAGCTGTAAATACACATGCATTCAAAGTTCACTGAGCACATTTGCTATAGGTCACTTTGACCAATAGTTACCTAAGAATTTGATATAATCTGTATATGTTACTTTGGTTCTTTCTAAGCAGTTGGGGATCTTGAATGTTATTGAAGCTATGGAGCTGTCTCCTGAACTTGTTTATCCTCTATATGTGGCTGCTAGTGCAGATAGGTATTATATAATTTGCGTGTTTAAATTAAATTTACATTTGAATGTTTTTTCTTGATCCTTTTATGATTGATTTGTTAAGTCAAGAACCTGTTGTCAAGAGAGGAGAGGAGCTCATAAAAAGAAAGGCTTCTGGTGCTAATTTAGATGATCCAAGGTTGATTACCAGACTGTTTTTACTTTTTACTGGTATGAAGTGCAATTCTTTTTCTCTTTTATCAAATTAATTTATTGCTACATTTGTAAGCTTAAATGTTCTTTAGGTTTCATCGTTTTGACTGTCTTGCTTCATAAGTAATGTATTCCACTTTTCAGATAATAAGTTTTATTGTGACAAAATAAAAAAGACTGCCTTAATGCTCTCATGACTCATTTATGTCATTATAAAGTTCTTGCTTTTAGTGGTTTATGGAGGTTGTGAATCTGTTTGATTGTATGTTGATTTCATATTTAAGCACTTCTTAGGTAAGGTGAGCTGTTTAGGGTCTGGCTATTTTAACCTCAAAAAGTAACATTGTTTTCTTCAAATGCTGAAAATTTGTGTTAAAACATCATACTACTACTTTATCTCTTCCAAATTCCCTAAATTGAGACTTTTCTTTGGTGAGAAACCTCTGTAATCCTTAACAAACATTATTCTCTCTTTCAAAGGCAACCACTAATGCATTCTGGACTGCTTCCACAGATTTAGCAAAACTAAGTCCTCTCTAATCATTTGGGGGAAAAAAAACTTCTCTCATCACTAGCACAGTCGTCCTTTTTCTTTGTACGCTTGCTCAATACTGCATTAAAAGATGACACTTGTTCAATCTCCAAGAATCATACTTTGTAGAGTTGGCAAAGCTGACCTGAACCCAAACAACCCATGCGAACTAGTTCCAACCCAATTTGACCAGAAAAAGTCAACAACTTGAACCTGAAAATGACCTAAATTCAAAGTGATCGGAACTTGAATTGACCTGCACCTGAAGCACCCGAATAACTAGCCTGAAATGATTCGAATCCGAATAATTTGTTCAAACCCAATTTGATTTGATTTTAAAAAAGTTAACAACTTGAACCTGAAATAACTCAAATTTGAATGATCTGAAATTGCATAACCTAAGTGTTAAACCAAATTATTCAAATAAATGACTCGAATTTCCTTCAACCGAAGTGATCTGACCTGACCTGCCCAATTTACACCTCTAATAGTTTGTTATAATTGTTTATTTGCAACTTTGTTGTAGTAAGACCATTTGAAAGTTTTTGAGGTGATAGTTTCTAATACTTGTTTCACTTTTAATATTCAAAAATCCTAAAATGTTTCTCCCTTCAGAAAAGTTGTGTTGCATATTATTGTGATTTATGCATAATAATGTAACTTACACTTGTATTATGTCCTTTTTTGAAATAGAAGGTTCAAGTTATATAACGAGAGATGTTAATTTGCTAAAGTAATTTGTTTGAATATTAAGTTATTTTATTCAAGACATGATGGGAGACGCCAATCTGTTGGAATCTGTCTATTAATATATGATCCATTAGCCTTTCTATCTCTGAATCTTAAGTTTGTTAGCTTGAACTTTGAGTTTGCCAATTAATCAGAATCCAGAAATGATCTTTGAATGATACCTATTAAACAAATAAAGATGGAAGAGTAAATTTTGAATTGATTAGTGTGGTATTTAATGTGATGTTGGCCAGTGTCTATTTAATTTTTGGTTGCAATTGGTATCTACTGCATGAACTTGTATGATCAAAGTTTGGGTGTTTATGCAAGCATCTCTAGATTTAGGGAAATTGAGTTCTTGGATGCATGTTTAGCTTTTATGCAGTGGCTTGAGATAACATTTGTGGCTGATAATCTTTCGAGTTTTTCATGCTGGTGGAAGATTGGTAACACAACGTATTTACATCTTTTCCAGGCACACCAGGTGCAGAAAATGTTGCTGTGGATTCAAGAGTCAATCCTGGAAATGCTACCTTGAAAGTGAAACTGATGGCTGTATTTTGTCGGTCCATCACAGCAGCAAATAGTTTCCCTTCAACCTTGCAGTGCATTTTTGGCTGCATATATGGTACATTGCATATTTTTTTAATACTGTGGTAAAGTAGCAAAAACTAACGTGAAGTATAACATGCTATGACTGATGATAGATATTCAGCTTTGTGAAGGGTAATATTACTTCGCGTATGAGATCAGGCTCAAAATTTTCGTAAAATTTAAAAGCAAAACTTTGTTTTGTAATGGTAAAAGAAAGCTAGGGACTGAGAACTTGTTTAGCCTAGCTTTTTTCTAGCTTAAAAGCTCTTATGAAAAATAATAGCTTTTAGAATTAAGCTGAAGTTGTTTGGTAAATTTTTTTTTATAAGTTATAATTTTTGTTAAAATTATCGTAAAGGATATTTCTTTTTTTGAGAGAGTTATATTGTAATTATTTTTAACAGATGAGGATTTTTTTGAAACAAAAATAAAAATTTTCTTGTATTTTTAAAAAAAGAGAAGAAAAAGCTCCTCATAGGAGCTTTTCCAAAAGCTTTTTTTTGACAAGCTTTTCAAAATTTATGTTTGGCCTGGCTTTTGCTTTTAAGAGATAGATAAGCTGAAAAAAAGTTAGGCCAAACAAGCACTGAATAAGCTCTACTCTGAAAAGACTGAAAGTCTAAAACCAAAGCCTTTTCTAACCTAACCATTTAAGTTGTCCATCATAGCCAAGAATAGAGTTAAAAGAGCAAGGAAAAAAACGGCTGTTAAATGAGATACTTCTTAAGGTATTGGTGTGGTATTACTGAACACTACACTTAGCATTAATAGTGTAATCTTGCTTCCACATGAGTTCTCTTAGTGTTGGTGAGAATTCGTTCTGATGTTCAGTTCATGGGTGCCATGATCTATTGGATTGTTGAATAGCTTCATTATGCTTTCCTTTTTAAAATGATTTTGCACACCGCTGATTAATCTCAACTCCACACTGAGCATGAACCTGTAATCAGTTTTCTTCAATCAACTAAATAATTATAAGATTTTAAAGTACACATTAGCATTGATAATTTGGTGCCATAAATTTGTGTTTCCAAGAAAAGGTAGTCCTGTCATGAGTCAATGTATTTGTTATATATATTTTTGAATTGGATCAGACTTTAATCTTGACATGATATGGACTGATGCTGGACAATTATTTCTCTTGACCTATTGTACGCAATATACTAATCAAGTATTATTCTACTTTGATGGTCCTAATGCTGAACTAAAATCCAGATATAACTAAGAAAATTGATAACTTCTATGTATTAGACTATAGTTACAGAGAAACCCAACTGAAAATAGGAGAATTGGAAGCCTGATCAGTTTTGAAGGAGTACTTTCCTGATGTCCAAATATTTCTGGTTTAATTGTGCCTAGAATTACCAGATTAGCATCTCTTTTATTAGGTTTAAGGTTTGCAAGCAATAAAAGTAAGAACCAATATCAGATTGGAATTGAAATAGCTCCAAGATGCTCAGCATATTGTAATCATAGTATGTTTACACTTTTCTGCACAAAATTACTTTATAAATCAGGGAAGTCTTTGGATCTTGTTGGGTATATAAATTTAAACCTGAAACAACAAAAGCATACATTTCAGTGGCACCTTAGAATTTTTCTGGTAATACTGTAGGGATACGATGCTAAAGATAATAGAGACAAATAACAAACAGAAAGAAATCCCTGAAGCATAAGGTCTTGTTTGAGGACCATTGTCAAACACTACAAAGTATTCTAACATGAAATTGAACTAAACATCCAAAACGAAAAAACTGTTACATGTCCATTTAAAGAGTTCGAATAATATCATCCTAGTTTACTTGAACTTCTATATATAGTGATAAATCAGAGCTTAACTTTGATTGAATAATAATAAAAAGAAGACACATGTGCAGCTGCTGAATCTGATAAGGTCCATGGACATAATAAAAAAATGCCCTAATTGCAAAGGTTATGTTTTTCCTCCCAAATGTTAAATGCTGAAACTTGCTATAACAACACTTTTGATCGGCAAAAGAGATGATTTTTATCATGGTAAAATTACATCTGCTAGTATTCTATTCTCTCACTGTCAGCATCTGACTTTTGACATTGCAAACGGATTGTTTGATGCTTATTTGTTTCTCTTACTTCATACTTAGTTGGTGGATAGAAATTCCATATGCTGATTTCTTCTTTTGATTGTTGAAATTCTTAAATGGGATAGGGACTGGTACCACTTCGAGGCTGAAGCAGTTGGGAATGGAATTTACTGTGTGGGTCTTCAAACATGTGAGCACCTTATTATTTGATTTCTATTTAATTTTCAACTATAGAAGCTTTTAATTTATGGAACCTGTCAGGTAAATTCAGAATGAAAAGGTATGGTGCAGGATTTAAAAATCTGCATAAGGGAGTTTTGTGGTGGGTTTTGGATATTAGGCTGTTAAGGTTTAGATTTATGCTTAGGAGATGAAACAGCTTGAAATGGTTAACATCAAAGGGCAAAATCTTGCTGCAATTAAGAAGATAACAGATAACTTGCTGAAATTCTGAAGAGCAACCAAAAATGACTGAATTTGGGTTTTTATTTAGATTAAAGCTGTAAAAAAAAAAAAAATGAATGTAGAGTTAGTTGCGAGAAATGGGCTGAAATTAGGGAAATAGTGGCTGGATTTCATAAATTGCAGTTTTCATGTGAATGCCACTATGCATCAACCGCATTATTTCTTTTCATTAAGAACTCACTTTTTAAAGTAGCAAATTAGCTACAGCAGATACCTTTTTTTCTAATCTAGCCTTATATTATCAAAGGTTCTAGCTTGCAAAGCTGCTATTCCAAAACTTTGGAAAATGGTGAAGACAATGACCTCATGATTAGCATGCAAGATATTGTGGTGCACAAATACTATACAAACCTACATAAATATATATCTAGATGAAGGTACTGGGAAGGTGGGGGGGAAGAATCTTGCAATTCTTAGCTGGAAAATACATAATTATCACCAAAAATTCAGAATAGTTTAAAAAAACATTTTTTTTAGATTCAATTGGGTTGGTCTGGTTTGGCTTGACCTCCAGCTAGTCCACGCTGAACTTACGTTGCGTTGTGACAGGGCTGTCCCTACCTGCTTTGAGGCACAGGGCTTCTGTGGTAGCAATAAAAATCATCAATATGAGAGAAAAAGGAAAGTTGCTTAGTAGCAGCTTTTTATAATCTGTTATTTAAAATATCGCCAATAATTTTTTTTGTTTGTTTTTATTTCTTATTCTCATTCTATGTTTGGTTTTCTTTTTTTCCTTGACAAAAGTTTTATTTTCATTTGATATTGTTGCCTTGTCATTTTCTTTTCTGTTTATGTAGTCAAAACTTGATCAACTGAAACTCATGGGTCCTCTTATACTGAATGGGATTCTGAAGTTACTTGATGGTTACTCAAATTCTGAATCAGGTTGTCTATTTGAATAGTTTCCTGAACTTCATTTTTACATGATTGTTCAGATTTTGATCTGTGGAATCCTATGGAATTACTTTAATTTATTTCATTCACCCAGATTCAGTTGCAAGGGACACCAGAACTTTTTCTTTTCAAGCAATAGGCTTACTTGCACAGCGCCTGCCTCAACTTTTCAGGTTATTTACCTGTCTTTTTTGATAAGTGGTGGTTCCATCCTCATTCTCTGATTAAATAATGTAATTGCTTTTTACCATCATTGCAGAGACAAAATTGACATGGCTACTCGCCTTTTTGATGCATTGAAAGTAGAGTCCCAGTCTCTTCGTTTTGTTATCCAGGAAGCGACAAATTCACTTGCTGCTGCCTACATGGTATACAAATCTTACTTCACCTATATTCTCAACTTAATCATTGAAAACCATTTATTTTGATTTGCATGGTTCTGGAGGCCTATACATTTCTACTTGTTTCCTAAATGATCTAAAGTTAATTGCAATGGGGATGAAATAATATGTAGGTCAATAACAAAAATACTCCTGGGCACACATACTCTTTCTCTACACATTTTCAAAACCATACAGTTCCTGCTGTTTTTGCTACATTGTATAGTTTTTGTTTCTTTTTTGTTCACTGACTCCTTAGAGAAATCTTTCCTTTTACATTTATGGAGAAAAGTGCATATATAAAGGGAGGTCTACTCTTAATAAAAAAATTGAGTGTGTGTTTTTTTTATCTAATTTGCTATAATTTTATTTGTTTTTTCCATGTTCGGTTGCATGCTTAAAAATAAATAAGCAGTAAACTATTCTAAGTGAGAGATCATTTGGTTAAATTTTTATTTAAAAACCATAAAGTAATTTGCTCTTGTCCTTCAGGGACAGGTGTAATTTATTTGCTCAAGAACTACACTGGATTGGAATCCTCTTCTGTAGTTGCTTGCCATTTATGCCCCCTTGTTCTCAATGAAAGATCTTTTGTATCAAAAATTAAAAAATCCCCTAAGTACTTTTAGAATGGTATACTTATATGTGTGTATACATCAGTGCTGTATTCTCTTCGTTAATCTGTCTTTGATGACCATGAGACTCTTGTTTATGCTGCATGTATTGCTGCATCTCCTTGTATAAGATATTCTGAGCTTTGTGCTAAATTGATAGTTTTCTAGATACAATTCAACTTCCTCTAAAAAAATGATAATTTTATATATAAAAGTAATTCTTCTTGTCTGATGAGTTGATGTACAGGGCTCTTAGGCTTGATATTGTGTATATCTGATCCTTCCAACGTTTTATATTAAGGCTGTTATACTGTTATTATGATCTCCAGGGAGCTTCAGCTGCTGTACTACTGCAATTGGAGACGTTGTTGCTGAATAATTGTCAAGTGGTACTAGACTTCAACAATTCTAGTTCACTGTTTGTTGACTTGTTTCTATTCTGCTCTAGAACTGGATTTTTTCCGCACATGATTCCGGTTTGGTCATTAAGTTTTGCAGAGCTAAAGGCACCTATTTTTTTTGTCTTGTTTTGCTTTTTGTTTTTGTTTTTTTTGTGATGACCAGGAACAAAGTGAAGTTCGTTTTTGTGCTGTGAGGTGGGCAACATCTGTGTTTGATTCGCAACATTGTCCCAGTCGATTCATTTGTATGCTTGGAGCCGCTGACTCTAGGTTGGATATAAGGTAGCTGAAATCCTCTTTATGTTTATAGTAGAACAAAGAATTCCTTTTGCATCTGTATTCAAAGTGACTCATGGATTCTTTCTACTCCTCAATTGTTGCTTGGTATAATGATATTGAATGTTAGAATGGGGATGACATGTGAGTGCATTGTTTGACTGTCATGCTCATTTCCATCATAACTTACCATCTTACGTGGCTACTTCCACCATCTATTTTTCATCAGCAGCACTTCTGTGCTAATTGCTGATCACATTCTTCAATTACTCCACAATTTTAGTACTTCTTTCTGTCATGTACCACATCCACCACTGCTGCCAGTTCTTTGTCCGTGATGTATGTGCAATTATTGTCATCGCCTCGTGATTAGCTTCATCAATGCCAAGGGCATTCTGCTACCATCACTAACTCTGCCATTTCAAGCTATCCGACCTCTGTTTAAAGCTCAAATCGTTGCCACCAATATTATTGCTAACTTTGGCACTGCTGCTGATGCTATAACTTCATTAAACTTGCCTGCACCATGAACCCTTACCTATCATTGACTGCACTCATGACAATGCTTCTTCTGGTATTGCCAAATCCTTTGAATCGCCAATTTAATATCCAATTCTATTGATGATGTCCTTTTTCTCCATAATTATAAACTTCAGATATCCAACATACTATTTTCATGTTAGAAGTCAACATTATTTCTCTTGGTGAGGCATGATGAAGGATGAAGATAACATGGAGACCTTAGTCAAGAGTGTTTCTTTTAAATTTTCCTGAACAATAGGTAATAAAAATATAATTTTTCCAGGCAGTGTAGTCTCAGTATCACACACATATCAATTATAAGCCTTTACTTAATATCTTCTGGAATTTTGAAGTCTTCAATGTTTTTTGTCCTTTAGCTAACAAAAATATTCAGTTTAGATAAGTAGTGACCATGGCATGTTATTAGGTTTATTCAACTTGAAATTTTGTGATATACAAACCCTCTTCATACACGGGAATCAGAGAAAGTACAGTTGCATCGGACAACCTGAAGCAGGCTTTAATTCCATTGAAGCATGCATTTGCAGTACGACTGGATTTTGTTGTTATATAGAGTGAGCATCCCTAGTAAAGGTTATTAAGAATGAGGACCTTTATAGACTGACTCAGAGGCTGAACCCATCAGGTCACACTCTTCAAAATTATCAAAATTTTTGGTTGAATAATCAAGAAGTAATCCTGTACGGACTTCATCTTATGAATTTGTTATCTGGAAATAATTTGCATTGAATTGAGTGTTTGGAAGGGCCACATATATCATGTGTTTTGTAGACAATGAATTATATAAAAGGTATTGCAGATAATTGTGTGCTCAGCGCATTATTTTGATAAAAATTACTTGCAAACCTTAATGGAAAGGACATATTGGTACATCAGTTGCTCCTGATCCATGTAAAGTGGAAATGTGACTGTTAGACATTATTGTGTTGCTGTGCTGTATTAGTATGTTCAGAGCCTTAATCTTTCTCACTATTTTGCATTTAATTTGTCTTCTTTGCTCTTGATTTACATTCTCATTCATAAAGTGATTAAATTAACATTGGCATTTACAACCCCTTCCCCATTCCCCCACCTTTTTCTTTTAATAGGGAAATGGCACTTGAAGGACTGTTTCTTGGTAAGGATGTAGGACGAATAATCAGTCAAAATTTGGATCATAGATATCCTAAGCTTGGAGACATGCTAGAATATGTTCTTAAACAGCAGCCAAGGTTGTTAGATTCCTTTGAAATGAGGGAACAGAAGCTTCTTTTTCCATCAAAAATGTATGTGGCAATGATTAAATTTTTGTTGAAGTGCTTTGAGTCTGAGTTGGTGCAAAACAACTCCTTAGGAAGATCATCTGAATTTCTGTCTTCAGTGGAAAGAATGTGCTTGCTACTAGAGCATGCTATGGCATTTGAAGGCTCTGTTGAGTTGCATTCTACTACTTCCAAGGCGTTAGTGACAATTGGATCTTATCTTCCAGAGGTTAGTGCTGCATGTTTTCTAAACTTGGTTGCTCCTGTTAGTGCTGCAGCTTTCCTACACCTGGTTGCTGGTCTTGTTTGGTTACTGTCTTGCTGCTAGATTGCATATTCTTTGCTGACACATGCACCTTTTTATCATTAATATTATTGTTTTTAAGATGGTAGCATCACACTTTGCTTCAAGAATATCATGGTTAAAGCAATTACTAAGTCACGTGGACATGGATACTCGAGAGTCTGTAGCACGTTTGCTTGGCATTGCTTCCTCTTCCCTTTCACTTGCTGCATCATCTGGCCTTATTGGTGAACTGGTCTCCTCATTCACTGGAACAAACAAAAGGTTTGTGGCTATACTCTGGGATGAGTTAGATATTAGGAATAATTACTTATCGTGTGATTTAAATATTCTTCAGGTTTGAGGCCCAACATGGAGCATTATGTGCAACCGGATATGTCACTGCTGATTGTGTGTCTAGATCACCTTCTGTAAGTTCTATGATGTAAAAGTGACTTATTACTTTTGGAATTTTTTTTTTAATTAGGCAGCATGCTCTTACTGTTGGTGCAAGTTTGTGACCACTTCATTGGTGCCTTGATGCTACTACACCCACAGTTGCAAAGCACTGACCTAGAAAATCTTATGCATGTTTTCTGGGGTGGCTGTCACATGCACTCCTCATATTTCTGGTTCTTATTTTGATGTTTTATGAGCCATAAAATTAGCATTTGAAGTTTTGGGTTTACTTAGTGGTGGATAAAATGAAAAATGTGTTACTTAAGGACTAAGGCTTGAGCCCTTGGTAAATATGCTTGACAATTTCTTTATCCTGTTTCCATGATCTAAGTTTGCTAATGGAAGTGTAAGCAACCTAGCAAATAATACAGTTTGAATATCGGTATAGCTGTGGAGAGGCAAAGTAGACACAATCTTATCTTATCTCTATATGCGACCAATTTTTTTTTTTTAACAAAGTTGAATTAATTTTTGAACTGCTGCCACTGGCAAAATTTTTGCTTTTCTTCAAAAATGTGTTTAATATGTTATATTATATTCTATTATTTTAACGTTTGGTAACCTTTTTGGTATTCATGCATATTTGACGTTCATCATTAAACAGATTCCAAAGGAACTCTTGCAAAATACTCTTAAATGCCTTGTTGGTGTTGTTAATTCTGAGAGTGCAACATTGGCTTCCATTGCAATGCAAGCACTGGGCCATATTGGGCTATATGCGCCATTACCTTCACTTGTCAGTAATTCTAGTTCAGGTGATGTTATACCTATGCTCATTTTATTAATTGCTATGTTTGTTCAAAAAGCTTGATGACCATGCTAACTTAATAACGGAACTGCAGTTAGCATTCTGGAAGTTTTGAATGAAAAGCTGAGCAAGCTACTCTCTGGTGATGACACTAAAGCAATCCAGAAAATTGTTATCTCCATTGGGCATATGTGTATGAAAGAAACTTCTGCTTCTCACATGAAAATTGCACTTGATTTGATTTTTAGTCTTTGCCGGTCAAAGGTTGGTATAGAATATATTTTTATTTTACAGATTGCTTGTATCATTAAATCAAATCTTTGGGAGAGTTTTATTTGGTACAAGTGGTGTATGCAATTAGGAGAACCTCTCATTTTTCGTGAGTTTTTTAATTTTTATTTCTACAGGTTGAGGATATTTTATTTGCTGCTGGAGAAGCTCTATCTTTTCTCTGGGGTGGCATTCCTGTTACTGCTGATGTGATTCTCAAGACTAACTATACTTCACTTTCCATGACTTCAAACTTTCTTATGGGTGATACGACGTTTTCTTTGTCCAAATATAGCTCTGATGAGAAAAGTGAGGCCAATGAAGATTGTCATATCGTGGTTAGAGATACTATCACTAGAAAACTTTTTGATGCTCTTTTGTATAGTAACAGAAAAGAAGAGCGCTGCACTGGAACTGTCTGGCTACTATCACTGACAATTTATTGTGGTCATCATCCTACCATCCAACAAATGCTTCCAGAAATTCAGGTCAGCCACAACTTTAGAATTATGTAAATCTACTTTATTTATTTTTCATTGACAGACAGGGAAAGAGAAAACAAAATGCTTTCCAGGTCCTAATTATAACCTGATTGTCCCCTTCAAGAAAGATGTGGTGTAATTATAGACATTGCATTGTTATTAGTTCATTACAACGTTATATGATTTCCTCTTTTCAGTTACAGTAGATTCCTGACATCTGAGGAAAATATCGAATTCTAGCTGTAAAGTCTGCATTGATAACTCTAGAAACTTGTCGTAGGAAGAGATATTAGAACTTTCTTCTGATAATTTACTGATTTGTACATAATAAGTGTTTTCTTTTAATAGAACCTCTCTCTTTTCCTACCTTTCGTAAGAGATATGGATGCAACGCGACCGATCTACCAGGCCTACTGCTTTGATTAATAGTTTTCTAAGTTTTCTTTGTTTCTCAAATAAGTAAAGTTTAGTTTCAAGTACAAAGAAAGCAGAGCAACTCAAGCATGCTAGAAAAATTCTAGATCAATTAAACAAGTAAGTTGAAAACTGTCTACCAATTGAACATAGCAATGGAAAAGGAAGGAGAAGGATTCCAACACTATCATCCTTTAAATGCCAACTTCTGTCTGTTCATCGGTTTGGGTACTCTTCTCCATGCACCCCACATCAAACATAATAGTACTTTAATCTTCATGATGTTTTCTCTTTCTACCTTCCTTTTCAAACATATGGCAAGATGGCTATTGCATCTGGCATTACCCAACCAATCCTAAAAAAAAAATACAGCTGCCTGCCTGCTGGATGAAAAAAAATAAAAGATAGTCTGCTATGTCACCTTTATTCTTACTCATGCAATGCCTATGCCAAACAAAATGTTTTCTGTTGATCTTTTTTCAAGTAAAATTTATGATAAGCTTCCAAACAAACAAAAGCGACTGTCTGGCTTTTTGGATGGTGAGTTGCATCTTAAAATGGTCGATAAATTGATCTATATTGGTAAATAATAAATAGCTGAAGGAAAAAGATGCTAGCTAAAGGCTAGCATCGATATAGCCTTGCTGTAACTTTCAAGCTAACAAAAGCCACTGTCTGGCGTTCTTAATGTTTACTAACATCTTAAATTGATCATCAATTGTTATCTCCCAGTAAAGGATAAATAATTAAAAGGTGAACATACTATAATTAGAATGCTGGATTGTTCATGCCTTGGTTAACTTTTATCTGAATCAATTTATTAGCAAAACTTTTGTGGACTGAGTGGCTGTGGTCAGCAGAGATTGTTTCTATCATCTTGGATACTGCAGGCAGGCTTGAATTATTTTGTAGAGGATCCCGTTAATTAGTAGCATTGCCCCACTTTTTTTCCTGACTACTTTCTTGTTATTCTAGTTTAATACCTTCGTATTCAATTGAATGCAGGAGGCTTTTTCGCATCTACTTGGTGAACAGCATGAGCTTACACAGGAGCTTGCATCCCAAGGCATGAGCATTGTTTATGAACTTGGCGATGCATCAATGAAGAAAAACCTAGTTGAAGCACTTGTGACCACTTTGACTGGTTCAGGGAAGAGGAAAAGAGCTATCAAGGTAAAGTTATAATGTCATATCTTGGTGTGGAATAGAAGGCTTTACTGATGCTTGATTTTAGGTTCAACACTATCATCGGACAAAAGTTAGGGTCTTGCAGTTTAGGGTATGGATTATTAAATTAGGAATCAAAATATCATGATGATTGACTTCACAGATCAGTAACCTAAAACTAATTATATCATGATGTGCTAATCAGTCTGTTCAGCCCAAAACTTACAAACCTTAGAGAAGATTAAATAGCGGCACTTAGCAAATGTAATATACCTAATTTAGAAAGAGAATACAAAAGCTCTTTGGTGAACCCTTTCTTTCTTTTTTTTTTTTCCTGGATCTGTATTTTTGATTTTCTGTTGCTTTTTTTATGGGTGTGAATTTGTTTTTCAGCTGGTTGAAGACTCGGAAGTATTCCAAGAAGGGACCATTGGTGAAAATCTTAGTGGTGGGAAACTTAGCACTTACAAGGAGCTTTGCAATCTTGCAAATGAGATGGGGCAACCGGATTTAATTTACAAATTCATGGATCTGGCTAATTATCAAGCCTCTCTAAATTCCAAGAGGGGTGCTGCTTTTGGATTTTCCAAGATAGCTAAGCAAGCAGGTGATGCTCTTCAACCACACTTACGTACATTGATTCCAAGGCTTGTTCGCTACCAATATGATCCTGATAAAAATGTGCAGGTAAGAGGCCTTGAGACTTGAGGAAATTTCTTCAGTGTTTCAATTTTAACCTTCTGTAATTTTATCTGAAGATGTTGATTTTCAAAAAAATTTTTATCTGAAGCTGTTTAGCTAATATCTATGTTTGTAAAAATATTCTTTTTATTTTATTTTCTTTGAATGCGGTGAATTTTCTGATAGCTAGCATATTCTGACATATTGTTCTCTGCTCCTTACTCTTAAGTACTTGTGAAATTTGCAGGATGCTATGGCACATATATGGAAATCTCTAGTGGCAGACCCTAAGAGGACCATTGATGAAAACCTGGACTATATTTTTGATGATCTCCTAACACAGTGTGGAGCTAGGCTTTGGCGCTCTCGTGAGGCATCTTGTCTCGCCCTTGCAGATATTATCCAAGGACGAAAATTTGATCAGGTGATGAGCTTGCTGTTAGTCTTATCTTGCCTTTGCAAATGATTGTTATCTTAACCAGGAAAACCTTTTGATCAAGTTCACTCAGTAGTAAAAAGTTGCAGAGATCCAAAATTGTTTGACCTTGACATATACATTAAAGCATAAGACTTGTTTTGGTGCTCCTTTCCTGGTCTTTTACTTTTATTGTGCATGTTTTTTCATAATATTCAAATCAAACTAGTAATCATAAATATGTATGCAAACATGTCTCTGGTGTAAGTTTTTGATATTGTATCTTCATTATCATCAACTTAATTGATTACTTAATTCTGCTGGGTAGTATTATCACTGTGGTTTATCTTAATTGGCCTTTGATTGCCAAGTGTATTGTTCTCTTAAATTTTTCACAGTCAAATATATGTTTAGGTTTGGGTAAAATTTTCTAAGGTCGTGTTTGTGTTAGAGTGAGAGAGAAAGAGAGCATACCAACACTGTGAATCCTCCTGTAGTTTGCTAAAATGTGTGCACAGAAAAGGAAAGTATTACCCTCTTATTTGATCTGCTTCACAGCACACCTTGTAACTCTGCATAGTACCCTCTTATTGAGTACACTTCATAGCGTGCCTCATAACGGTCCTCTCAAGCTATTCATATATGTTGGTGCTCCTTGCTTGTTAGAGAATACAGCTATAAGTCACTCTTGAATCTCCCGAAGGTTAAATGAATAAATCTGCTTACTTATCTGTAGATCTCACTGATTTTGTGTGAATTCATTCTCCAAACTGAATTGTATGATAATCAATTGAGATATGCCTGGTTTTTTCATGAAATACTGGATTAGGTGCTGTACGTGTAGCTTCCTAGTTGTCAAATATGAAATCATTAGCTGTGAATTTACAAATCGAAGTTCCTCTAGCAAGTGCTTCAGCCAAATAAATTCAGAGTTGAGGGGTACTATTGAGCTGAGTTGAGTTGGAGCGCACTTAACTATGAAACTTAATGCTCAACGCTCACCTCAAGCTTGATTCAGCTTCATTTTAGACTCAAGCTTGATTCAGTTAGGCTTTTTTATCATGAAGCTAAGAGCAAGCTTAAGCCCAAGCTTGAAATGACATGCTGTTTTTTAATATGAAAAATCAAGAGCTCAATTGGACTCACTAGCTGCTAGAGCCAATTATTAGAATACTCAAACTTGCTTATTTAACTGCTTAAGCTTGACCAAACATTGAGTGAGTCAAGTTTGAGTATTTCGCAAGCTGAGCTCAAACAGCTCACAAATAGGTTTGATTCTTTTGAATCCCTATATCTAATTGAGCCTAGAACACTCACAGTTACCTATCACAAAAAGTTTATGTCATGAAGTGGTGGAGGCACCACTCGAGAATACTTAGCATGATTAAAAAAATGCTTTTTAGGCGCAGGTATGCAATGGTGTGGAAGAGTGATGCAAGTTTCAAGATAACTTGGTAATGTAGATTTGAAACTCATGAGTTCAATTAGTATAAAACAATTTGAACATACAGCCATGAACTTGGTCAAGTGTTGAAAGTGGATTCATGTTGTTCACACTAGCTGGTTTAAAACTGAGGTTTAGTTGATTCAACATGAGTGCCCCTTTCCCTTAAATTAAAAATGCTGTAAAAGAACCAATACAATATTTACGATCAACTGTGTAAACTCTCTAGATGTTTACGAGTTTTTAGTTTGATTAGGACTTAACTGAGAGATTATTTGTCTAAATGAATCTAAGTTAACAAATGGCATGTCTTAATCATGGACTTAGTAACCTAGAATTTTGAGAGATTATTTGTCTAAATGAATCTTAAGTTAACAAATGGCATGTCTTAATCATGGACATAGTAACCTAGAATTATCCATACTTCTTACTTAGCATGGGCTGTCGTTGTATGCTAGGTTTCCAACAAAAGTATGCTCTGTTTATTTCCTAGTTCAGCACCTATTTCTTTGTTACAGAATTTATATAACAACATTAATAGCATGGTACAATATTCTCATAACCTCTAAAGTTTCATATTCCTGCTCTATCTACCATAATGTGACCATTCAAAGTAAAAGATATATTTCTTATGCTTTGTCAGCATGATCCAACTTTGACATGATATAGAAATTTTCTGGTTAAAAAATTTTATGATATTCTGCTTTCAGAGAATTGTGATGTCTAACAATTTCTGTCCTGTAAAATCCATTCGATACATTCCTGTCATGTAGGTTGGGAAGCATTTGAAGAAAATATGGGTGGCTGCATTTCGTGCCATGGATGACATCAAGGAGACTGTTCGAAATGCTGGTGACAAACTATGCCGTGCTGTAACCTCATTAACAATAAGGCTCTGTGATGTCTCACTTACTGAAGCATCAGATGCTAGCCAATCGATGGATATTGTTCTTCCCTTTCTGCTTGCAGAAGGCATATTGAGTAAAGTTGATAGTATTCGTAAGGCATCAATTGGAGTTGTTATGAAGCTTGCAAAGGTTAGCAACATTTTGCAATTGTTTGCCTTAATTGCGAACTGGATTCAGGAATTATGTGAGTGCTTAATATGCCTTAATTAAAATTCCATTTTACTTTTTTTTTATATCGAAATTTGTCCCTTAGCAAAAGTAGATAAGCATGGGTGGTTGTTTTTACTGTTTTCGCTTTAAGCATAGATGATATATCATTAGAAAGAGGCAAATTCCAATTAATAAGGAATGACAAGCAAAAGTTAGCTACAGTATGTTTTGTGCATTATCAAAATGGCCTAGCATTTTGAGACAGGAAATTTGAAATTACAATGTATTTTCTGCAGTATGCAATACTAGTTCAACAACATCAGAAACAAACTAATCTCTTTTTAGGTGGGTCAGCTATATTTGGTTGTGTCCTTGTGCTCTTTTTGAAGACCGTGTATTTAGTAGAACTGAAGTCCTCTTTTATAACTTTCATCCACGTCCAATTGGTCTTCCTATCCTTCCCTTGACATTTGTATCTGCTATTAAATAAACGTGGGTGTTTCTTACCTCCTTTCCACTATGTTTACTGTTCGACCTTATTTAATTTTTACAGGTTTGACTATTCTTTTACTTAATTTAGCATTGCCATTTCGGGAATTGGGGTTTTATTTACAGGGTGCAGGAATTGCAGTTCGCCCACATTTATCTGATTTAGTTTGTTGCATGCTGGAAAGTTTATCAGGCCTAGAAGACCAAGGACTCAATTATGTTGAGGTTTGAGGGAAGCTTCCCTGCTTTAGAATTTTAAACTATTCGATGCTCATCTTGTTTTATTGATTCATTTTCCTTTTTGTTTTCTGCTAGTTGCATGCAGCAAATGTTGGAATACAGACAGAGAAGCTAGAAAATCTGCGCCTTTCGATTGCAAAAGGATCTCCCATGTGGGAGACCCTTGACTTGTGCATAAATGTTGTAGATAGCAAATCATTAGAAATGTTGGTTCCACGTCTTGCTAACTTGGTTCGTTCTGGAGTTGGCCTCAACACTAGGTTGGTCCTCTTTGCAATTCTAAATTTAAGGTTAATCGCAAGCCGTGACAAAGGATGTCATAAACTTTAAAGAATACTTTTCCTTGCCCTTTTCTGTATATTTAAAGTGGAGAGTTTTTCTTTCTGAGTGATAGTTGAATGTGCAGATTGTAGACTTACAAAAGCCACTAGATTTTCTTTTAAAGGATTAAATTGAAATCAGTGGTGAACCTGTATGAAAATAATGTCCTTCGACATTCTGGTAGAAACCTATTTATTTCTCGAGTTTCATTGCTGAGCCTTTTCCTGCCAATGGTTCTGCAATATGATTCTAAGCAGAGGTGATATGGTTGCAGTTTTTTGTAATGTATTGGCTACTCTGATAAACCAAATCAGTGCAATTGCAATTATTGGCAATGGCCACACTTGGATTTTAAAATTCCAGAAATTTTTATTTGAAAATCTGTGGCTGACTTCACAATTTTAAAGAAATTTAATAAGGTTTTATTCTAAGTTTAATGTTTTATACCTTATTATTCAAATAATATGGTTTTAGTATGATGGCATAAACATCATTATGAGATATAATTTAGAGTCACGGGCTTGTGTTTCATGAAATATACATGTCATTCCCTTTGTCGTATTGTTTTGCTGACTTACTAGTATTTTTTACATTGTGATAACATTCTTTGATTCTCTCAAGCTTCTAACTTGTAGCTTCTGAATATTAATGTGGATTTTGCTTACATGCTCTCAACATTTTTAATTGATAATTCATTATTCCTGTATCAGATAGCTTTTCTTGTTATTTTTTTTTTAGCAAAATTTGATATTTGTCATGGAATTTGGATTTCCTGTTTGAAACATCTTTGTTACCAAACCAACCAGCCTTATAAAGAGGAAAAATTCGATACATTGGCATAACTACCTGAGTTGACAGCCAATTTTATCGTTGCAAAGTAATGATCATGACCCTATGCTGAGGGGTCAATAGTGTTACTTGTTATCAATAGTGCAATGCAGAAAGCAATGAATTGCACAATTCACCTCACTGCAGCACATGCTACATCTGTTAAGATTGCCATTCCCTTAGTCTTATTTTTCTTGTCAATTCTTATGTGTTATATTTGTCAGGATGTTTCAAGCCTTCAAAAAACAATTGTATTTAGTTTTAATAAGCTTTATTCTGCTGTTAGCAGAAACTCCATCAGACGATGGGATTATAACAAAGTTTTCAAAAATAAGCATTCCTTTTATGTTTGACATGCCTGAATGCAAGAACACACTTCAGTCCTATGTAATATAATGCTTGTATGCCAAAATAATTTTAGTTGGCGATATAAATGCAGAATAACTAGAAATGCATCTCAAAACTAAAGAAAATGACAAATTTATGTTGTTTGCTTAGCATTAAGTGATTTCTGAAAGCTTTTGCTTGGTAATTACAATTGCAAATGATGACTATTAATGATGTTGTCTATAATTTTGATTCTTTTTTCTTTTAATCTTCAACTTTCACAGGGTTGGTGTTGCCACCTTTATCAACTTATTAGTTCAGAAAGTTGGTGTAGATATCAGACCCTTTACCAACATACTATCAAGGGTGTTGTTTCCTGTTGTGAAGGAGGAGAAAAGTACCGCAGCAAAACGTGCCTTTGCAGGTGCTTTGGCCATTGTTTTGAAGTATGCAACTCCTTCTCAGGCCGAAAAGTTGATAGAAGACACTGCAGCTTTGCACACTGGTGACAGGAATGCACAAGTATCTTGTGCTTTTTTGTTGAAAAGCTATTCATCCACTGCCTTGGATGTTTTGAGCGGATATAATACAGTGATCATTCCAGTGATTTTTATTTCAAGGTCTAGTACATTTTCATCTAAGCTGTCTTCGCAACAGTTCTACGCCCCTTTATTTTATAAATGGTTTTTGTAAATGCCACTCAGATGAATAGGATTGAAGAAGTGCTAAATGTTGCCTGTCCACCAAAATCTGAACCACCCCCACCAAAAAAAAAAAAAAAAAAGAAAAGGAAAAATTCAACTGAAGCCACTATATACCTTTTTCATAATTGAGTACTTTAGGCATATGTGAAGGTAATTTAGAGTTGTTGGCTAAGAACAAGACAACCATTAAAAAGTAACTAAATAACAGCTTTCATACTCTGCATTCATATTTTTTTCCTAAATTCCAGTCTAAGCAACAGTTGTGTTAGCTCCTCCTCCTTTAGTTAATGTCAAATCGATTTAGCAACTCATGAGCTACTGGTACAGATGGAGATTTCTGTTAGTTTAAGCCTCTTAAAAAACAAATTAAACATTCTTTTCTTTGGTTTTAGGTCTTTTTGTCTCATTTCAGTTTAAATTTGAATAGTTTTTGTCTTTTAGTTTAGGCTCTAGCGTTCTCTAGCTGGTAGCTTGCTTGCTGCATTCTTTGTGTTTTTTTCCCTTTTTATTGGATTAATGGAATTGTCAATTATTAGAAAAAAAAATTTCTTCTGAAGTGGTAATTCTAATCTATAGTTTGAAATTAATAGCTTATTAAAAAATAGGAGATAATAAGTGAGATTCCTTGAAAACTCCTTATTAAAGGAATCACATTGCTGTCACTAGTGATTTTTAAGAGTTATATACATGCATGTCTCTTTTGATATGCCATGATGTTTTGTGAATTATGTTCCTCCTGTACTGCAAACTTATTGCAACATGGAATTTCAGATTTTCCAATTACTAGAAAATTGAAGTTTTGCATCTAACTGTACATATTATATACTTCTGCACATAAATTTCCAGCATTATGCAATCATTTTGTGCAATTCTTTGAATTTGTTTTATTTTGCTTCTCTTTCAATCATTCAAATCCTCATTAAACTATCTCTCAGTAGCCAATATAGCTCCACTAGTGTCAATGTAATAAACAATTAACAATGTTTAAATACTGTCATTTTTCTTACGCATAATAATAGCTACTCTAAAACGAAACTTGACTCTGAAATTTGTATTAATTCTTCTGCAGATTTGAGGATGACAAACATGTTTCTGGTCTTTTTGAGGAGCTCTGGGAAGAAAGCACAAGTGGTGAACGAATAACACTACAGCTGTATTTGGGGGAAATCATTTCACTTGTTGGTGAGAGCATGACATCATCTTCATGGGCAAGTAAACGAAAAGTAAGTTCTCCTTTTCTCTTCCTTCTTATAGTCCTATTTTCTGCTAACTTTGTTTTGCTCCTCGTGTATGCTAATCAAAGATGTTGGTTTGAACTTTGTACCTGCAGTCAGCTCAGGCAATCTGCAAGCTTAGTGAAGTTCTGGGCAATTCCTTGTCTTCTTATCACCATGTTCTCCTGAAATCTCTTATGAAAGAAATTCCTGGTCGTTTATGGGAGGTAGGAATACCTAAATTTTTATTGTTATTCATTGTTTTTAACTAAGTGAGATGTGTTAGGAGTCTTCTAAGATTTACTATTGTAATAATAGTTTACATCCCTATTAATTTTCAATTTTCATTATAACAGGGGAAGGAGACACTTCTACATGCAATAGGTGCTCTTTCTAGATCATGCCATGAAGCAATTTCCACTGAAGATCCTGCTCTTCCTGGTACTATTTTGAGTCTAGTGTCTTCCGCGTGCACTAAGAAAGTCAAGAAATACCGTGAAGCTGCTTTTTCCTGTCTTGAACAGGTAAACATCTACCAATAATTATTCATCGATTTCATTATTCAATTGCATTTTCAAGCTGTTCATAAGACTGGATCTAGCCTTCAGGTAGTTGTTCAAATGCTTTTCTTTTATTATTATTTTAAAATTGTTTGTTTAATACTAGCTCTAGCGCAATCCCTCATCTACCCTTAAGCTTTATCTAGCAAACATACCTAAATTTTTGGAGGGGATCTCTGTCAAAACATGAGGGCTGGACTTTTGACCTTTATTTGCACTTCTTTCTGTGAATTAGGCTACACTCAATGAAAGGATATTTTGGCTAAAAAAAGGCCCAAGGATAAGTTCTCTTTCTTTGTTGGAATGGTTTAGTCCATGACTGTTTTAGTCATCAATGTTATATATAAATAAAATTATTATTAGGTTAAACCAATATTTGCATGTTGCTTTCATTACTTCATTCAAATCATCATTGAAAAAAAAAATTCATAGAAAACAACAAAGTTTCTTTTTGCCGATTTATGTGGCAGGCAGTGGCTTGTTTGTTATAACCTTTTGTCAAGTTATATGGGGAAGAAGGATAAATGTGAATGATCCAAACTGGTTTGAGGGCAATGTGGAGTTGAAATGAACTTTGGACCATAATTTATATATGAACATCTTGTAATACAAAAAGTTAGATGTTTTGACCCCTGAGCATAATCATTTGTTTGAAAGATGCATAAGAATATGGTATCTTTGGCAAGAAAATTTCTGTTTTCAGTTGTCGAGAGAGTTTTCTGCTAAGATTATTAACTATCAGGAGATCTACAAATTGTTCTTTCTCATAGGTGGGAAATATCAGTAACTAAACTCCAGCCATTTCTTTTGATCTATGGTTTTTTTTTTTTTAATATTTCCTACCTGATCTCTGACATGGATTTTAACTCATTCAGAATGTTTCTGGTTATTCTGATGATGACATTTAAAATCTGTTCTTGACCTTTTGCTTAGGTTATAAAATCCTTTGGGAATCCAGAGTTCTTTAATCTTGTTTTTCCAATGCTATTTGAGATGTGTAACTCAGCTTCCCTCAATAAAACTGGACGAGCACCTTTGGCAAGTGACATCCCTAAAGCAGGTCTTGTCAAAAGCTTACTTTTACTTTGTTTGCTATATAATGTATCTATGTATGTAGTTCTTAAGAATTGTGAAATCACAGAAGTTCAACAATAGCTCCTTTACTTCTTATTCATTGTAATATTTATAGTTCTTGCTGCAATCAAATGTTGGTTTACCTTCACTTGTGAAAACCAACTAATTTACGCTCCGAAGTTGTCTGCCAATTTAGTTATCATCAAATACCTGTTGATTGTTCATTCTTTTGTAATTTTCTCACTTCAGTAGATATGCTTTCTCTATCCTGCATTTTCCTCAAGAGGCTGAACAATTAGCAATTTTGACTGGGAAAAGCAACAATAGAAGTGTGTGCACATTACATGTATAAAATACTATCAAATCATAAACAGACTTTGCTAAGCAAATTCTATTTTTTTTAACTTAATGGCAAATTCTGGATTTTCTCATCTTGATATCCACATTGGAGGGCTTGTGGAAAAGTGATCTTTGAGATGTTGCTGCTAGTGGTTGAGTCAAAGGCTCTGAATAGCATTTTCTAGGTTCCGTTCGAGGTGCATACCAGGCATGGCAGGTCAACTTGCCTCAGTGTTAAATATTAGCATCACTTCAAAGATAATGCATCTGGTGATAAACCAACCCTTAAGTTTCTTTGAACCACATTGAATGGTAACTTTCTTTGAAAATTTTGCAAGGTTATGAAGAATGCATTTTTATCCTGGTGTTTATCACTATTAATTTTTTCTTGTTTGAACCATATTGTTAGGTGAAAAGTTGTGTTACCTCATGTATTCATGCTTGACCACTTCAATGAGTTAGAACTATCATAAAATACAAACCTAAATCGTGGCTTTCTACTTGTTTGCAGAATCTGATGATGCTGAAGATGTTTCTGTTCCAATTGACAAACTGATGAACTGCATCACGGCTTGCATTCAAGTGGCATCTGTAACTGACATGCTTGAACACAAAGTGAAGTTGATGGATGTATTCTCGATTTCCCTGTCACCTGGTTTTCAGTGGATCGGTATCTTCTTCTTCTACCATATATTGTTTGTGTTAGTTCCAAAAAATTGTTACCTTTACTGATTGAGTTATTATGAGCAGTCAAAATGTCAGTATTTTCATCAATAAAAGAACTTTGCTCAAGGCTCCGCACCATTTTGGATGACTCTCAAGAAACCTCATTATATGCTGGCGCAACTGCTTTTGTTCAGGAGGTACCAAGAGCCCACTTCATTCAGTTTACATTTCATTGAAGTAGTTGTTCTCCGCTAATTTTTACTCATCTTTTTTTACAGTTGTTCTATTCTGTGTCGCCCAAAGTAGTTGAGTGTATAAGCACAATAAAAATTTCTCAGGTATGTAATCTTTTTTTCCTTGTGTTGTATCCTTATAGTTACTACCATTTATATTCTGGTAAAGATTCAACTAATAAACAGTCTTTGTAGGTTCCTTATCTTTGTGTCAATTGTATGCAACATACATCGGTCCTTGCTAATATCATCAATAGCATTTTTGTGTATGTGGAATCCATGTCTGTGGAATAAGGTCTCTTACCAAGGATTTTCTGTTTCAAGTCTGTCTGGGGAATTTGATTTTCCAGTTTTACTCAATTATTTTAATTGTTGGAAAAACGTATTTTTACATGTTATTTCTTTTAGGAAACTATAATTCTTTTGCCATCTGATTGTCAGGCACTTAGTTATTTTGGCAGACAGCTAGTAAAATGAAAGTGCCTTTAGAAGCCACGTATTTGAGTATGGATATGTCTTATTTTGTCATTTTAATTCGATCGTATTCTTCTAATAATAGCCTTGGATTATTTGCTTCACGAGATTAATTCCTTTGGTTTGCATACTTATATTGCTATACTATTGTACATTGTTGCTTCTCATTAACTACTTGTCCTCAATCCTAGGTTCACATTGCTGCTTCAGAGTGCCTTGTTGAAATCACCGAGTTGGCCGGGCGTATTTCAGCAGTGAATTGGACAGACACAGGAATGAAGGGGGAGCTTCTGCATCTGCTTGAGATGGAAAAGAACGAGCAGGCAAAATCGTTGCTGAGAAAATGCATCGACGCCCTTGAAAAACTGGAGCAAGTAAATGCTCAAGCAAGCTGAACAAGATGTACGGAACTGCCAAAGAATTTAGAGATGCAGAGGGGCGTTAATCTTTAATATAGTTATACCTGGCTCATGCCGAATGCGGCTATGGTTATGAAATTTAGTGAAACAAAAGAACTACTTGAAAACATAAAAAAACAAGATGAAATAGGAAAATCTTAATCTATTCGAAGTTCATACCAACCAAATTAGACAAAATTACAATCCTAGGAACAGGCCAACGTGTCAATTATGTGCTTGTTTCTATCGGTTCAAATAGCGAAAGCTGTGTTTTTTTTTTTTTTTTTAATGAAGCCCTACAAGACGAGAATGTGGATCAAAACTTGAAGCAGATTTACAATTTGTCAAAGCCGAATCTGACTCCTAAAGAACATCTGGCCAACCAACTCCGTAAACAAAACCTCCCAACTAATGCCCAGAGGAATTTCATCAGTCCATTGCTATTAGAAATGTTGCAACTTACTCTCTGTTCTCCTATATTTATCTCTTTACTATGTTTTTCCACACCGCTATAAAAAACAAAAAATGCCACGTCGAACTATTACTGCCACCGAGCGCCGACATGCAAGGATGATATTTTTGCGGAATAGGCGAAATTTTTTTTTTCCTGTCTGAAAAACCAGAGCAAAAGGTTTGTCTTCGTCGTAGTAATCCATGAGTGTCAGTTTGGCGCGTTACTTTCTCCATTTGGGTGTCTCCTCAAAAACTGCGAGTACCAGAACTAGAAGCTATGGTTTTCTACTTTTAACCCCTAAGACAGCAAGACGAACCACAGCTGCCATCCACACAGACAAGCCCCAGAAAGTAACTGAATGATTTCTGCTGAATCTTTTGTTCGTAATTCACTCTTGTTTCATGGGTTTGTTAATGTCTTTTTAATTTTGATAACGGGACAGCCGAGTCGGGAGGAGCTGTTGGTGGTAGTAGGGGGTGGAGCTGCTGGAGTTTATGGAGCAATTAGGGCAAAGAATGTTGCTCCTAATCTTAATGTGTTGGTCATTGAGAAAGGAAAGCTTTTATCAAAGGTTTTTAAACCTGACCTGCTCTTAATTTCTATGTTATTAAAATAAAGATACCCAGTTGGTCTTAAAATGCAGATTTTCAGTGTCTGACGTGTTGTCATCGTTGGCAGGTAAAAGTTTCTGGGGGAGGAAGATGCAATGTCACAAATGGCCACTGTGCTGACAATTTAGTAAGATTTTTTCTTCATAATAACAAGCAGAAGATTTTTGTTTCTTTTTTTTTAAAAAAAAATTTTCTTTGCGGGGAGGAATCCGCTTTAGAAATGCTTTAGGCAAATTATTGTATTCTCTTACAAATGAAGAGATTAATCCCTTAAAAGGTTTGGCTAATCATTATCCTAGATTATAATTAATGAGATTAACCCCTTAAAAGGTTTTGGCAGATCATTATCCAAGAGGTTACAAAGAATTGAGAGGATCTTTTTTCAACATGCATGGCCCTGTGGATACCATGTCCTGGTTTGTCGATCATGGGGTGGAATTGAAGGTGCTTCAAAGCTGCATGTCTTCTTTTTTTCCATTTTCTCTGTGCATTCTTTATTTCACATTTGCAATTTACGCATGTCTGTCGCAGACTGAGGATGACGGAAGAGTGTTTCCTGTCACCGATAGTTCTTCTTCTGTCATTGATTGTCTTATATCTGAGGCAAAGTGTAAGGGAGGTATGTCTCTTTAGCCATTAACTGTACCAGTAGTGAATTTATTTCTTAATTTGTTCATCTTTTGCTGAGTTTGAAGAGATCATGGGGGAGGGTTTCTTTGTTAAACATTAAAAAAAAATATATCCTTGATGGCATCACTATTTTTAAATGATCATTTTTGGGCAACCCTTACTAATTCTTAAAAGCTACAGTTTTCTCTGTTGATACAGGGACTCAAATCTGTTATAAAGGAGTTAAGTTAATAAAATAACTAGACGATCATAACACTTTATGAGGTGTCTTCATTCTGCTGCAAGATATATTGCCTTCTGTTTGTAGCATAAATTAGAAAGAAAAAATACTAAGTGCATACATAATGGTGTAGTTGTAATCCCTCTATGATATTATAGCATGTTTTTGATAGCCTGTTAATGCTAAAATTATATTTCCTTGGACCAGTTTCTCTACACACTGGAAAAGTTGTGACATGTGCATCTGCTAGTGCTAGTGGGAAATTCCTTCTCAAGGTAGAGAAGCGTAGCCTCAACTTTGTTGAACTTGTTGAAGCTGATTACGTATTGATAGCTAGTGGAAGTAGCCAGCAGGTATGAATGACGGCTGGTGCATTTGCATGGTCATCTCGGGGCTTTAGTTTTTTGATAAATGCTTTTGCTCATGTCACAGGGTCATAGTCTTGCAGTTCAACTTGGTCATTCCATTGTAGACCCAGTACCAAGCTTATTCACTTTTAAGATTGAGGATTCACAATTGACAGAGTTGACAGGGGTAACATTCTCCCGTGGATGTTTAATATGCTCACCATGTTACCTTTTAATAGTCGTGACATTCAGTTATTTGTTTATTTGAGCAACAGCATTTTGGTGGTTCTTTACTGTCAATTTGCTGTCAAAAATGGAAGCTTTTATTCAGCTTGTACAATTTGTCCTTTTATGATCATATCTATATGTGGGAATTAGGAATTTATTGAATTTCTTTCTTAATCTGCAATGTAATGATTGCTAGGAAAACCCTTATGTTATTCTACAATTAAAATGGAATTAATTTTGTCCTCGATAGGAGCAGAGTTTATAGGAAGCTCATCATATATTAAGCACAATGCTATTAGGGGACTTTGCTATCATTTATTTGGTTATGACTTCGGTTTTCATGAAATATTTGTTCATCTTATATGGCATAGTACTAGCACTTGCAAAGGGTATCTAAATTCCCTGTTTTCCCACAAGTTACTATTATTCTGGATTTCTTTTTGTCTTTGGAAAGTCAAAAGCACAAAGTCTTTGAAATTGACGTCCGTTATCATATTTTCTGTAAAGCTTGGTCTGTTATTTCCTTTTCATTCTCTATGTTCTCAGGTTACATTTTCAAAAGTTATTGTGAAGCTGAAATTAGAAAATGTGCAAAGGAACATCCCTCAACTTACCCAGGTTTCTAATATTATGATATTAATGCTCACTATTGAGTATTGTATAACTACTAACTCTTATTTTTGGAATATTAGGTTGGCCCCATGTTAGTCACACACTGGGGTCTCAGTGGACCAGCAATTCTTCGGCTATCTGCTTGGGGTGCCCGGCATCTGTATAGTTCAGGTTACAAAGGTGAGCAATTTCATTCTGCCCTTAATACAAAATTCATAGTTGATCTTCCTAAGTGGATTGTGTTTGGATGCAGGGAAACTAATTGTGGATTTTGTACCTGATTTACATATAGGAGATCTAAAATCCATGCTGAGTCAACAGAAAAATAGGTTTGCGGTAATTCTGGATCTACTTATTGTTGGTCTTCAGGCATACAGTTGGCGCTACGAATCATTTCTTTTCACATTTAATTGTATTGTGAGGTCAGAGTAATCACTCAAGTAAAAATCTTGATAGAAGCATGTAGGCCAGCATTTGAAGTTTGCCTATAAATTAAATCAGAATAACAGCAGAATCTACCATTCACCATAACAGATTTTTGTCCCAAAAGCTTGTGTACGGTTAAAGGTTGTGTCTAGATGCCACTCCTCAATAGAGATTAGTCACTGGCTAGAAGCTTAAATTCTAGTCTAACTACTAGCAGTCTTTTTGCTTGAGTGGTCTGATGTTACTTTTGATTGTATGGGCTTGGTAGTCTAACATAAGAGTGTGTATATATGGTAATTGCTTATTTATTAATCCATCTCTGTACAGAAACAAAAGGTGCTCAATTCATGTCCTACAGAATTAAGACTTGTCAAGAGATTTTGGAAATATATATTGGACCGTGAGGTTTGTGAACATTTCAATTTGAAAGTTAATAGTTTGTCTTTGAACTTTGTTGTTTTCAGTTTAACTTATGGATATCATCTTTCATAGGGTTTAGTTGGAGATACCTTGTGGGCCTCCGTTTCAAATAATTCTTTAATTTCAATTGCTCATATTTTAAAGCATTGCACGTTTGAAGTGAAAGGGAAGGTGGGATTCTTTGCTCTATTAAACCTGTCAAACCCCTGTTCAATATTTTTATTGGTTTTTTTCTGAGATGATGCGACTCTGCTTTTAATGAAGGGCCAATTTAAGGATGAATTTGTCACTGCTGGAGGTATCCCACTGTCAGAGGTTTGTTTCCTTTCTCTTCCTCTCCCTCCTTCCATCCCTCCTTCCCTTGTATCTATTGGAATATGACTTCATAGTTCTTGCTTTTGTGAAGATCCATCTGAATACAATGGAAAGCAAAATCCAACCAAATCTATTCTTTGCTGGAGAGGTATTTCCTTATCATTCTTTGATGATGGATTGTGATATTCTTGTATGCCAATAGTGTGTAATTGTGGTTCTTGCATATTTTAGATTCAAGCAAGTCCTTAATTTTGATTGCTTGATAAGCATTGGGTATTACTACATGCATGCATGTAACTAATCCATGTCAGCAAATTTTTTATGCCATTCAGCACTGCTCAAAATTGAAACTAATTGCAGGTACTAAATGTTGATGGGGTGACGGGTGGTTTCAATTTCCAGGTGAGAAAGATATGTTCTAAGATGTAAATGCTTCCCTGGGAGCCTAATACGCAGTTGACCGTTGTAATTGAAATATGAACAAATTGAAAAATCAAAACACCTAACTTAATTTGATAAGAGGCTGACTGCGGAGCCACTCTGGCCTCACAAGGCATGTCCTCACGGTGGTGCTCGAGGACAGAGATGAGAGGCTGCTCCATTTTCATTCCAGTAAAATGTTAACATTCTTTTTTTTCTCTTATGTCAGAATGCTTGGTCTGGTGGTTACATTGCTGGAAGTAGCATCGGTAGACTGGCAGGAAATGCTAATTTAGAGGGAGCCATGTGAGCCATAAAATTTGAGAATTTAGGTAATAGACATGGCTACCTTCCTGGCTTGATGTGGAGTGCATGCATGCATGTATACGTAGTGGATTACGGAAGAATGTCATCTCTGAATACAAATGTCTTATTTCAATTGTAAATGGACAGACTTCTCTCCAGTTTTGATAACATGAGGCCTCATCACTAACTTGCTCAGCTTATCTCAATACGATCTTTCACATTACAAATACTTGTTTAATAATAGAATGATAATGAACACTTTCCTTTTTTTTTAAGATTTGAAAGAGGGTTTTGAACCCTACTTAAACTTTTGATGCATTAATCAATGAGTTAAATGTTTGGGTGTTTTGTTGTTATTTTAAATCATTACAAACTCAATAGTATAGATAAGTTAGTAGTTAAATTTAATTGAAATTGAAAATACATGCATTAAAAAGGTCTTTTAAGATAAAGAAAAATCCATCCATGTAAATTGTAATAAACTATTAAAGCTAATTTAGATTTGTTCCAAATTGGGATTAAAGCAATTAATTAATCCCTCAGCCCAAGTGCTGCTAAATGGGCCAACTGGAATTAAAATTTGTCAGACCCAAGACCCAACTTATTCTCCCCGCGTATAATTTTCGCTAGCCTCTTCTTTCTTCATCTTCCCTTGCAAACCTGAGAAACACCAAGCCGACTTTTGTTCTCTTTCAGAACCCAGCATTACCAAACCATAATATACTAATACTCTTATCTTCTTAAATCTCTTTTGTTCTTTTGGGTGTTTATTTCAGTGCGAAAAGATGTCGAAGAAGAAGCAAAAGCAGAGAAATCAGATGGATGCCGCCGATGACCACCGATTGAACATTAGGAATATTATGAAAGATATTGAGTTTCTGGGTATTTATTCCCCTCTTTTTCTATTTCCTTGTAATTTTCCTGTTCCAATTCTTCATTTTTGTTTGTTTTTAAGTTTCATGATTTTATGTTTGGTAATCCAAGCAATTGTCAATTTGTTGAGAAAGTGGTTTAAAAAAATAGAGACTATACCAAAGAGAATTTCAGAGTGTGGGCTTTCGTTAATTTTAATATGATGAAGGTCCTTTTTACACTATAATTAATAGTATGATTAAATCCTTATTTTGGATGAATTTTTGAGTTATTGTTGTTGTTACTGTTCTTATTGGTTCTCAGATTTGCTTGAATTGGGTGGAGTTTGTTTCTAAAGCTCTGCCTTAAAATTACATGCTTTTGTTGAAAGCTTCTCAACGCTTCTAAAGTGTTGGTTTCAGAAAGAAAACTGAAATGCCACTCTATGTGCTTACACTTTACTGCAACAAAGGTGAAATACATGTATATTGGTTCTTAAGTTGAATTTTTCTTGTGCTTAATAATGATATGGCAAATAATTTTTACGCTTCCAAGTATGTAGTTTTGGGTATGTAAAACCTGTAGCTAAACAGTTTTTTTGTTGGAGAGTTTTAGGGTTTGGAAATGTCTCAAATTTTGGTGAAAAACTTTTTGAGGTCTTGGAAGATTTTGAAGTAAACATTTTTAGGGTTTCTGCTTGGTTCCTGGAAATTATGTTGTACGTAAATGTGTATGTCTCATTTAATTTGAGATCAAATGTGCATATCTCCATCTGCGATATCATCAAAGCTCTATTTTGAATTTTTCCTCTGTTCCAATTATGGATTGTCATTGGCAATATAGTGATATAGTGGTATTGTTGTCTTCTTTATTTTGCCGTTTTAGGGTCCTCGCATATGACGTGGAAGGAGAGGAAAGAGATGGAGAATAGGAAGGTGGTTTCTTTGGGTGGAAAGGTAAGAACTTTTGTATGCACAAAGATGCAAGCTTTGAAGGCGACAAAGTTATTAAGATTCAAAATTTTATTTGACATTCATTTTGGGTTGCCTGGACACAGCCACCTAAGAAGCAGAGATTACCATTAAGTGTAGCTAGGGTGGTCATGAAGAAGCAAAAGGAAAGAGAAGAGAAAATGCTGAAAGAGGTGATATACTTTTGTTGCCTTCCGACCATAATTCTTTTAGCTGCTACAAAACCTATTGTGGTACATTAACTTTTTTCTCCCTTTAGAATATGATTCTTGGACGATTTGGAGGGAAACTTGGTGGTGGTGCTAAAAGATCAGCAGACAAGCAGAGGCCTGAGGACAGGGTTCTGAAGTCCAGTGAAGGTCATTTTAAAAATGGTGTACTTGATGTGAAGCATTTGTTTCAGAAGGCTCCTCCTAAAGACAATGACTTTGATGGCCATGGGGTTAATAAAGGGAAAAGGAAAAAGGGAAGTGGTAAGAAGAACCGAGGAAAGAAGAAAGGTGGTGGTGGTGGTGGTGGTGGCAGCAGGAAGCGCCGGTGAATAAGACATCTAATCTAAGAAGGTTCACCCTTGACAATGCCAGTTTTGGATCTCAGACACTGTTAGAATGGCCCTCTCGCGGGCTTCCACAAATTGTCATAGTTGGAATATGATCTATCATTGTATACTAAAGCTCTTTTCTGTTTCAAGCCCACAAGTATGCAGAAGGCATGCCTAGATAGCGGCTTGAGAATCTAGGAACGACCTGTTGTACTGATTTTGAGGAGAGTTTGGTAGTTTCATGATTTGTTTGCATAATTTGTTCACAACCAAGTGTTGGATATTATGCATATGAGATCTCTCAAATCTCCTTTGTTATGTTTTTACTCTGTTCCCAGGAGGATGTATCATGAGAGAATTAAGCCCACATAAAAAGGCTCAAATTGTTGCTATTGGCATTGTTTGATTCATCTCCAAGAATGTCTCTCTATGTTTCAAAGGAAACTACATGGACTTGTGGTTGTTTCAAAAAATTTTACAGAGATTATTTCCATTCCAATACAATACAGAAGGTTTCAAGAAATGTCTCTCATAATGTGGCAAACCTGAATAGTGAATACTAGAGAATCAATAAGGATTTTTGAAATTTTATGAAAACAACCACTACACATTGGAATATTTCAAATTTATAAAAAATTATGAATTTTATTAAAATAAGGAATAAAAGAATAACGATTTGTTTAATTTTTAAAAAATATTAAGAGTTTTTTTTCAAGTATTAGGTCTATAAAAATATATATAAACATTAATTTTTTATACGAACACTATTCACTTATTTTAAGAAAAGTGTAATAAAATAGAAACATTGCTTCGAAAAACAATATAAGTCAAAAAAAAAAACTTATTTCTAATTATTTTGAAAATAATGAAAACAAAAAACATATTATTAACCATGCTTTTTGTTAATATTTGCAAAGAAACTGAAACGAAAACGTAAAACATAAAACGGAATTGGTGCTAAAGGCCACCTTAAATTTTGTTTTATGTTTCTAATTAAAATAACAATTTGATTTCTATTTAAATTAATAAAATACATTAGATTTAAATAAAATAACATTAGAATTGACCCCAAAAAGGAAAATCAGTATTTTTCTTCGGGGCCGATCTGGGTATAAAAATAATCATAGCTGTAATTACTTAAAAACGAGAGACACAACTCACAAGGTTAAGGATTATAGTGCTAAACACAGCAAAAAAAAAAAATAAAAATGGATGAGCAAGAATTCCGACGCCTTCTCGATCTCTTCCCTGTTGTTCGACCTCGTGACTACCACGTAAAAAGAATCTCTCTTTCTTGTTTCTACACCATATTCTAATCCTAATACGGCACCCCCCCCTTTTTTTAATTTATCTATTCTTTAACCCTTCTTTGTTTCCATTTAATTCCGTTATTGGCATCTATGTTTTGCTTCAGTTCGATTTTTTTTTTCTGGAAATGGGATTATTTTTCTGTAATTCCCATTTTATGTTTTTGTGAATTTCTGAAGTTTCACGTTGAAAGACTTTTGGAAAGATCCCCCTTTTTTTTTAGTGATAAAAATTTACGTTTTAGTATATATTTAAATGTTTGCTTTTAGTGATTTAGACTTTTCGTTGATTTGATTGATGATCTGTGTTGAAATAATGCTAAAGCTCTTTGCTGTTTCATGCTTCTGTATTTTAGAAATATTATAAGAGCTGCTTATGGTTTTTTATGGGACTTAAGCAAAATTATTATTGTGCCAGTTTTGTTGCTGTGAAATCTTACAATGATGTTTTCTAAGTTGTTGAAATGTTTCATGTTCTCATTTTTGAATAGGAAAAGATCTGAGGTTAATGCTTGATTTTAGTCATAATTTGTAAAATGTCTGATAGGGGCATATTCTAGTTTGAGGATCAAAGCCATGTATACTGCTAACATGTAGTTTTTGATTACTAAGAGCAGTTGATTCAAGCAATAACATTGAGGGATATGACTGCATCTGTTCTTATATTGAGGATTTATAGATTTGGTAATTGTGTTGGAACTTCTATCTGCAGTCTGGTTGTTTTGACATCAACTTTTAAAATTTCAGGCTGAGTTAGATTCATCGAGACAATCAACTTCTTGTTCAGCATCAAATAAGGCGGTATTTCCTGGAAACTGATTTATTCCCACCAACTCCTTTTTCTATAATCAATCAATGTTTGCATTGTTCTCTGTTGAATTGTATCTAGTATGTGCTGGCTTGTAATGTTTGCAATTTGCTTGACAGCTTGAGGATTGGCAAGATGCATGGAATGATGGTGAAAGAAAGGAAATGGAGAATCAAGAAATTGATCTTCATGGTAATTTATCACACTGTCCATGGAATAAAATTATCTCCTTGTTTACATTCGTACATTTCCATGCTAAAGAGAATAGTTAAATGTTTCTATGGTGAATTTGTTTGGATGAAAGTCTTGATCTGTCATTAATTGAGTCCTTTTATCTTTGAAAAATAGAGTCTTTGAACTTTTATTTAATGTACTTGCATGTATTTGTTTTGACAGATAAATTCTGGCAGAAGCTAAAGCTGGCAGCTGAGAGGAAGGTATGGTTAAAGTTTACTGACATCAGGCAAATTAAGGCTCAGTTTGATTGATGCTATTGCTTTTTGCCTTTTGCCTTGGCTCTTTGTCTTTGTTTTGTTTTTCTTTCTTTAAATTCATTTTTGCAAAAAAAAACACAAGTGTCATACCAAACAAAACCTAAATGTTAGCAAGATTCTAAATGGCTTAGGTTTTGTGGAATTTATTCTCTTCTGAATGGGCACGCTTGTTGTGATATATGATCTAAAAGTTACTCTGTTAGAATAACTTACTATTGAACTATAAAATTAATATTGAAAACTTGAATGGTTTGCTGTGGATCTGATGAGGCAAAAGTTGCGTTTTTAGAATCAAAATATATTTTCTTCTACCTTTTACTTATTGTAGTTACTGAAAATCATTAAAAGGAAGTGGTTAGCAAACATGGTTTCAGCATTCAGGAACAAAGAGGAACATGGAAATGTAGTTACCAGAATATAACTAAAAGACAAGATTGATAACTACTGTAGATGTGTCATGCTATCTAATTTTCTTTCGACTTAGTGGTCTTCCCCAGGTCTCTAATGCTTATGCATAGCTCCTTGAAGGCTTCCCACAGTCTCAAATTTTATGTATAGTAAAACTTCAATGAAGCTTGTGAAATTGACAATAAGCAGTTGTAGTCGGTGGCGACTATGGTGGTTGAAACATTTGGTGCTCAACAAATGTGCGAATCATTTGCAACCGTTAAATATTTTGGCTCTAATCTTGGCCATTGATGGGAGAAGGTTGAGCTTACAATAGTAACCAGCAACTGAAAGAATATTTACAATTTGGGGTAATGGAAAGAAAATTTTACAGTAAACTACCATGAGAGAGTTATTAAAGAGGAATGAGGGTTTTGATAATTATAGGAAACCTGAATTATTAATTTCACCCTTATGTCGATTTTTTGGGTTTTAGATGAGAAAGAGTGGAAGAGAGAGGATAGGTGAAGGTGAAGCTGCCGGCTATAGCTAGGATAATGGTGGTCACTGTTGACAGACAAAATGGCCTCTTAAGGCCAAATCTGGCCAAGACCTAGCTTAATCCAGCTCATCAGACCATGGCGTTGCCGGTTCTGGCTTGCTGTGGTCGGTTTGCTGGATCTGGCTTCTTGTGGCCAGATCCGGCAATAGTCTAGCTGGATCCGTCTTTTTGTGGCCAAACCCAGCCATGACTTAGCAGGCCCATCCAGCCACCCACAAGCTTTTGCTATGATTACAATTGATGGTGCCACCATTGCCGGTAGTTTCCTTTAACTGGGCTCTCTCTCCCCGTTTCTCTCTCTTGAAGCTATAACCAAAGTAAGGGTAAAGTGGTTAATTTGCTTTCCTTGATAAATTAATATGTTATCATTTCTTTCTTTGTAAATTTTAAATCTCATGGTAGCAAGTAGTAATTATTGTTTTCCATTGCCCCAGTTTGTAATCCCCCCACTTTAATATGCTTCCTACTCTCCATCCACAGCCAAGATTAGAGGCATAATATCTAATAATTAAATGAGTCATGCACCTGTTCCTGCCTGATATTTTGCGTATTACTGTAGCCATCTTAAGATGGCTTTTGCAATACCAATAATGTAATTCTTTAGGGGCCTTGACATTCTTTCAACCATTTTTCTGACAGCACCTCTTTTGCTCTTCTTCGGCCTTTTTTTTCTTTCCGTTATGCCATCTTTGACAGATCTTTTCTGCTAGTTATAGTTGGGAATTCTCAAAACTCTTTGTGATGATAAAGATAGAATGCCTCATGTTCATAAAATTTTTGAGCTTCAACAATTACTAACGGTGGAAAGCACCTTTTTAGTTGGATAAAATTTCAGTCTTTCCATAAAAAAATGAATCAAACTCAGTCTCTGCAGTAGCCAGCAATTATATGTGTTGTGATTACATGTCAAAATCAACCAAAAGGATATTATGTAAATTATGGGCCTCTCCCGCAACTCCACATGGTGTCACTTCTTTTTGTTGTTGAAGTTCTTATGAAAGGAGATGATTAGTTTGAGTTGTTGATTGTAAATACTGGTTTCATCATCAGTTTTCTTTTATTTGTTGATAGGATGCTTAAATTTAATATTTCATGACAATCTTCGTGCTCAAATTATTTTGTAAATGTTACTAATGGGTACTTTTGGACTGAAATAGGTGGGTGCCGCAGAGGCAGACAAATTTTGCAAAGCTTTCCAACACGTTCACAATAAACTTGTATGCATATTTTAGTTGTCTCAGAACCATTGATTATCATTTCAGTCACGTTCCAATTTCAGGGTATTTGATTGAATGAAATTGCAAAACTTCAATCATTTGCAGGTGTTGGAGGGGTTGAGTTTTGATGCTGCACAGAAGTTCCTAAACTCACGAAACTGCTGAGGAAGAGTCCATGTGTGGCTACTACCTGTTGTATACTTTATTTTTAGGTTTTTCATTTTTTATTTTTATCTTGTTCATGGAGTCGTTGAAGAATCTATTTTGGGAGAAGCTTATGATCAAAATCATTATTGTTGTCCTGTTAAATGTGTTGATAAAATTTGACTCATTCCCAATCTATGGAACCTGCATTCAAGAGGGACCAAGACACTCAAGTTTACCCTAGGAGACTTCACTTTTAAACCCGGTTTGTCCCATTGGCGCCTCTACTAGGACAAAAGTGAGGAAGAGCTTCTTCTTAGCTTTTCCCATCATATTTAGCCATTCCCTATTTAAGCTAACGCATCACCCATTTCTACCCCTTTACATTTATCTGATTGAAACTGCTCATCCTTGTGGACAGTCAATTCTCTTTCAAGACAAAAAACTTCAAAAATTATAACCCAGAAAGATAAAAGATATTTATTATTGGTGGAACGTTTTAGCAACATTTCCATCATGAGTAATTGATTCTTGAAAACATTACTTAACCAAAACAAGGTCAAGCAATAAAAAGTCTTAACTTGCATAAAAATTCTGATACAGTCACAAGAAAGTCTTAATACAAACACTTGTTCCTTCAAGAACAGCTACATATTTGATGAGAACCCAATTCTCCAAAAGTAATGAAAACGGCATTGTTAGAAATCAGTCATGAAGTGTTCCCAAGATATCGTCATCTCTGTATAGGTGATACCTGAAACAGTAGGTTAAGAAAGTATGTTAACACTTAAAAGGACTGATGCCAATAAAGGGCAGATGAATGTAGAATTTACACATCTTGTTGTACAATCTAAAAGAACTACTTCAGATTGGTAAAATTTAACATAGGAATGTTTGTGCCTTTGTGGAAACCTAATATCTTGCCATGCAGCATGTTAGCATAGTACGGGCAAATGATGATACAAACATAGATATTTCTAAATGGATATCTACCCATTACTTTATTAATTGAAATCTAATTCTCTTCATTGTTAAACCGACTTTGTCCACAGCAAGCACAAACAATGTTTTGCTCTCACTCACACTCTGCATCCAGATATCAGAAATGGCTGCACTGACTTATGATGTTTTATGGGATTCAGAAATGAAAAGTGTGAGGTCACACCATAAACCACAATATAAATAACTAATTGTCGAGAACATGGATAGTAAACTATAGTAAAAAATTAAGATCATGCTTTTGATCTCATGCCAAGGGCCAAGACTGCTGAATGACATTGTTTTCTTCATCCTCTTAACCAGCCTGGCTCCAGGGGTTTCCAATTGATGGACTCAGAAAATGATCGAAAGGCTGCAACTTGACTATCCTAGAGGAATTATGACTTTCAAGCATGATAACAAACTTCTAAAGGACATCAGTAAAAACCGACACTTAATCAAGATTTTGTTTTTCTTTTTCCCCCAGGAGTGGCATAGCCACAGGTCCAGCATTCTCCCTCCCATTCCAATAATTCAAATATAAGTAAAAAATTACAGTGCTATAAAATTTGCCTATTTCAAGAATTCCAAACAACCAAAAATCAGAAAACCTATATCTTGCTTTTTTGCCACTACGAAGCTTCCTTTCATTCTATCCATATGCACCACGAAATATACCAACCATTTAAACATTCTTATGTAGATCCATCACCTTCAGCAATGTAATGCAAAACCATATCTTAAGCAGGTGAGTAAACAAGGATAGGAATATAAAAAAAGCCAATTACACTGAAAGTAGAAAAAGCTTTGGCATTTCAGTATGCGCATAACTGAAGGAGTAAACTATGAAAGCATAGGTTTAAGGATTGCAACTTTACAACGGTAACAATGCAAAGTCCATAATGAGGTAAAGCAATTTAAACAATTCCTTAGTCCCACTAGAATAACATTCTATATATATTCCAGGCTAAGCTAACTTTCATTCTGCCAAATGTACCTTAAAACGTGCAACAGTATACAAAATCAACCTCATAGAAACATACCACAAAGAACTAATGTATAAATGATTCTATTAGCATCACGCACAATCATTGGGTGACTACACTTGCCGTCCATGAAAGTTAAAATCTTTAATAAATGAAAAGTAACAACCAAACAGAAGTTTAGTTTAGGCAAATCATATTTAGACACAACAAAACAGCCAAAATGATAGTAATTAACAAAAAGTAAAAATCTGATAACTGTGAGGAAACTAATACAAAGAGAAGTAAAAAGAACTAACTCTTTTTCACCAAGCTTGACTTCAGTGCCTCCATATTCAGGCAAAAGAACTGTATCTCCTTCCTTTAGATTGACCGGAATATGTTTCCCATCTCTGTCCCGCGCTCCTGGTCCCACAGCTACCACTTTTCCGGAGTTCAGCTGAAACATTTCCAAAAGAAAAATAAAAACAAAATCACAAAAAAAAAAAACAAAAAACAAAATCCAAGCTCGGAAAAATGAAAGATTATAACCTTGGGGGTCTTCTCAGGGAGCAAGATTCCCGAGTTGGTTTTAGAGGGAGGGATTATTTTCTCAACCAAAATGCGATTGAATGATGGGATCAAACGCTTTGCCATTTTCCTTCAAGAGAAAATTTTTTCCGACAGATAGAAAAAAAAATATGAAGTACTAGAAGCTTCTTTCTGTGATGGAATGATATAGAACGGAAACAAGTAGGGTTTAAGATGGATTTATGGTTCTACTGAATTACGAAAGTGCCCCTTAACGTGTCAAATATTCTGCTCTGCCTTGTGCTCCTGTTCTGTCCTCATTGTCTCAAGCAAAAGCCTTCTGTTTTCTTCAGCGGACAACGGAAAAGGTTTGAGCCCAACCCGAGACCACAACTTACTCGATGTTGAAAGGCCCAATAGGCCCACTGGAGTGAAGACTTGGGAGGAAAGAAACTCAACAAAAATTACGTCGACGTTTAGAGGGGAAGAAGAGCAAAGTAGGAAAAAGCAGAGAAGAAAGATGAGCAGCATCGGAACCGGTTACGATCTATCAGTCACCACTTTCTCTCCCGACGGCCGCGTTTTTCAGATCGAGTACGCCGCCAAAGCCGTCGATAACAGTGGGTCCGTTCCTCTTTCTCTTTTCATAATTACTATAATATCCATATACTTCTTTCCCATTTCTAGGTTGTCCAAATTCTAATTTGATTTTCGTTTTTTTTTTTGTGCAGAACTGTAATTGGAATAAAATGCAAAGATGGGATCGTTATGGTGATGCGTTTGCTTCTTTTCTTCCATTGCTTATTTTGAAAAAAATAAAAAGAAGCAAATATTTAAGTGCAAACTGAAAATGGATGTTATTATTTTAGGGAGTGGAGAAGCTGATAGCATCGAAGATGATGTTACCTGGTTCCAATCGAAGAATCCACTCCGTTCATCGTCATTCCGGCATGGTATGCTATCCCCATTTTAGTTTTTTTCTGTTATTTTAATTTATTTCCTATTTAGCCACATTTTGCAGTGCTACATTCGGATTCTTACTCTCTCTTTCTATCTCTCTGATATTGAATTCTATAATTCAGGCAGTGGCAGGATTAGCTGCTGACGGTAGACAAATTGTGGCACGTGCTAAATCTGAAGCTAATAATTATGAAAGGTTTATCTTTTTCTTTACTTGCAACCCAAAATTGCAGCTTCAATTATATAGTTATATGTCCATCTAATTATAAGTTTCATTGTTGGTGGTGGCGTAGTGTTTATGGTGAATCGATTCCTGTCAAGGAACTTGCTGAGCGTGTCGCAAGTTATGTACATCTATGCACTCTTTACTGGTGGCTCAGGCCCTTTGGATGTGGGGTAATACTTGGAGGTTGTGATAGAGATGGGCCCCAATTATATATGGTTGAACCATCTGGTATCTCCTATGTAAGTTGATTGCTCCCAATTAGAGCTTCAATTTTCTGTCTATGTTCTTACTAGGTCTACTGGCATATTTATATTTCTCAATAATGTAGTGATAGATTTCTTCATGTTTACCGGGTGCTTGTTAAAATTTATGTAGAGATATTTAGGTGCTGCAATTGGGAAAGGAAAGCAAGCTGCCAAAACGTAAGTTATGAAGCTATTTCTTTTATTATATGAAACTTGCAGGAAGACATTTGATAAAATCATCTAGTCATGCTAGCTAGTTAGATTTAGATGATTGGAGCAGTATATATTGTGCACATTTGTTTTTGCTTTGTCAAGTGTCAACTATTGAAACCTAATGTAATACTTTCATGCTTTTTATGTCCAATTGCAATGCCTTTTGGTGGTTTTTTTATTGTTTATACTTTCTCTCTTCTGGAACCTAATGTGTAAGAGATTTTTGGCATCCTCTCAAGTGGTCAAAAAGTTTTTCTAAATTGAGTCCATGCTAGCCTTATTCCCAAACTTGCATTTGAAAATATAAAAGAAAAGGGAAAAGGGAAAGAAAGGATGAAAAAGTGAAGTGGAAGTAAGTAAGACAACGAAACTATGCATCCTCCACGTGTTGTTTGAGTACTTGTCATTTGTTGATGAGTACTCAGCTCAACTTAGCCTGGCTACATGAATTCATTTCTCCATTCTGTTCAGTTAAGAGCTATGTCCTCTGAAATATCTAAGGAAGCTGAAAGCTTTATTATGATCTCAACCTGTGTAGTAATCATTGGTTTATATCTCTTCCTCTCTACATTCATCCCACAGTTTACTAATGTTAAACAACTAATAAGGTTATGGTTGAATGGTCTATGTGGACAGAGAAATTGAAAAGTTGAAGCTGTCAGAAATGACATGCAGGGAAGGGGTTATTGAAGTAGCCAAAATGTGAGTTTGCCTATCTTAATTTCTTGCTGTAACTTGTAATGTATTTTGGAATCTGCTACATTTATTGATGGTTCTGAAATTATGTTTTTCTTTTCTGGTATCCTTTTTTTTCTCTGTAAGATTATTGCCTATATCATTCTTTTAATATAAATTCCTTTGTTGTTTTCGCAACGTTGGTATTAGTGGAATCTAGGCAACATGTTTGATTTCTTTTTTCTCCCTTTATATATTTATTTTTTGAACTGACTAGTGTAGCACAATGACAACCATGGTAATTGTGCATAAACATTCAACTAACAGAATGCAGGCTAAATAATCAGCTGGGAAATAACCAACTACCAATACTTAGGAAAATTGGTTATGCATTCAACCATATTCTCAAAATCATAAATTTCTTCACGTGAATGTATGATATTATTTTCCCTTCTCTGAGAATGCAAGTACAAGATTTCATCATGTGAGTTATTGCTAAGCAGCATCTACAAGGTACATGATGAAGCAAAGGACAAGGCCTTTGAACTGGAGATGAGTTGGGTCTGCGATGAGTCAAAGCAACAGCATCAAAAGGTAATTTCTCACACCATTTTTGGATATGCATTACTTTCTGCTTTCTTCCTACATGTGGTCAGCTATATGAATTGAATTATGCCATTGTACTTTATTTAAGAATTTATCTTGAGTGAGATCACCCTGGACTTGGAATAAAGTTTTCTTGATGGTTTTCACCCATGTTCTTTCTGGTTTGAGATGAGCGTCTTGTATTTAGTAACATCTTCGTACTTGAGCATTTAGAACCCTTTGTCTCACATGTCAAAAACCACGATAAATATTTCTCATTTTTTCCTCCATTGGTGCTAGCTTCATCTTCTTGCTAATGCTTTTAATTCTAATCAGTTCATGGGCAGTCTGTCTATGCAAGCATCATATTTTGACCCGCCCCACCTTTTTCTCTCATTTTCTAGCCAGAGAGATAAACTAATAAGCCAACATGTAAAGTAATACTCTGTGCTACTGTACTATGTTGATAGAAATAAATAATGTCAGTGCCCTGAACTTATCCTCTTTCATATCTCAATCATAATTCGATTTCCCTCATGCCTTTTTCATGTGATGGAATCTGAATTTTTGGTTGAATCATCTCTATGGAATTTGTCAGCTGTTGATAGTGAATTGGAATCCATATTTGAAATCAGATAGAAAATTGAGTAACATCTTTTTGTTTCAGTAGAATTCAGTTTTTCTTTTGAAATAATCTGTTGTAAGACCTTGATAGGTTTTTTTCTCATATCTACTTCCGTCTGAGTATTTTCTGACTTTCATGTAATTTCAGGTGCCTGATGACCTTTTAGAGGAAGCCAAGGTTGCAGCTAGGGTTGCATTAGAAGAAATGGATGCTGATTAAATATTATTGGAGCCGGAATCCCTTTGTTATCATATTAAGATCTTCCCAAAGTTCCCGTTGTTAGGGACCTTCTGGTTTTGTTTATGAAGTCATTTGCTGATTAAACGAGGTCTTTCCAAAGATCATATCATATAAGAACAGCTGACTTTTGGACGGGACTGTGGATTCCAAAAACTGTAAAACTCGGCTTTTTAACTGTACTTTTTTAGGCATCTTTAAGACATCAACATAGTGTTCGCCAGCGGCATTTGCTGATAAAGGTTGAGAAACATCTTTCTCTTGTCTGCCGTGTGTATACATTGAAGCAATACATTTGCAGTTTAATGATTTTTTTTTCATATATATTTCTATGGTACTTAACTAAATCAGCCATGCATTTGACAGTTGTGTGCAGACAATTCAGGCAGATCAAATTACTCATGTTCATTTGAGTGATTTACTAGTCACTAAGGTGCCACACTGCCACTTATAGTAGGCATGACTTTTTATCATCCACATGAATGCAGAATGTTTGCTATTTAATTCCCTACCAACATGGCATGATCTCTGGCAAACGGTTGTGGTATTAAATGAAATGAGCAAATTGGAATCAGTAGTTCATTGAACAGCAGCCAATAGTTTTGACTTCTGAGTGCTAGCACTCTCATCTGCTTTAAGTGTCAGCACAAGAAAGCAAAAGTTAAATGACTTATGAGAATTGTTGTTCCATAAAACTTATCTCCAAATAGTTCAGAAAATTACAGAAACTTACAGAAAACTTCCACTGCCCACAAGATGAAAGATAATACTGGCAATTGAAGTTTCAATCGGTTTCAATGATTTTTGGAAGGTTGATGAACATACAAGCATCTCACAAACAATAAGAGTTTGCTAGTAGCCACAGTAAGTATCTTCACCAAGAAGTGCCGCTATAGCATCTGTCACACTTGGTTTATCCCTCACACAACCATTGTTATGGCCAAACTGACCTGGTCCAATAAAATCATCTAGCCTGGAAACAGCCATTTGACTCGGAGTCTCGTTCTTGGCATTGCATCCTGCATGAAGCATGAAAAAATCTTATTAATATAAATATAAATATTAGTTCAAGCCACAATTCAATGGGTGCAAAATATCCTCACCCAGAATGCTCTCAATAAATTGTGGTTCATCTGAAGAGCTTCCACTAACAGGAGTGAACTCACTAAAAACTGATGCAGCAGAATGAGCTAAAGGAGAATTTGGGTCACAATGTGCTTCAAATTCCATCTCACAATGGTTTAGGGAGAAATTGGTAACATCATCAAGCACAGAAGTAGAAGAAGACTGCTGACATGAATCATCCTTTGAGGTTTTAAGTTTCTGTGACTCATGAAGTACTGCTTCCAAGAGACCACTATTTTGTGGTGTAAGATAATCTGACTTAGCCTGCTCTACTGAGGGGGACTGGATCAGATTATCAACAGACTCAACTAAAGGTAGTGGGTATGCAGGATTGACCCAGCTATCTTCTTGAGTATCTGAATATTGGTATGAAGGGAGCTCCAACTTGATAGGCCCAGACATGGGCTCAGAAGGAGAGAAATTGCTATTTAATGGGGCATCACTGCCAGGAGGAATACCAAATGATGGCTGGTCATTGGTATTGAGATTGGAATCATATGGAGAAGAAATCTCGAAGGGCCCATCAAATCTTTTCCTGTAAGCATTTTCCGTCAATTGGTTGGGCATTGAGAAATAATTGCTTACACTTTCCCGAAGACGCTTAGTAGGATGTGCTATTGGGAACATAAGGCCATAACCATAGGATGAACCAACTCGTTTAAGCATAGTGTTTGCAGGAATGTCGTGAAGCATTGGTGAATAAGACAAACATCCTTGGTTGAGCTCTAAATTCTCAAATTCCACACGTGGAATCTCAAATGCATCTGACTGCAAGAGATTGGAAGCATATGAGTCCCCATTTGGCAGTGAAGCCGCATTCTGACTCTCTTCTTGACTTCTATTCACTTGCAAGCACAGGTCAGGAGGGTAAATTGGCAAGCCAGCACGTTGCAGTCTCTTAATTCTTGTATTCCAGTAGTTCTTTATCTCATTATCAGTACGTCCAGGCAACTAGAGAAAAGGAAAGGGATTTAAATTATTCTAAAAGTGAATCAAATAATAAGAAAAAGAATATAGCATGAGAAAAGGATGATTTGTTTCAAGAAAAATTTACTATTAGAGAAAGACTAGCATTTGATGCTAAATGGCTGAGCATTTATGCCAATACACAGAAACTGCATAAGCAAAGAGCTCGCTTTAGGAGGACAAGGAAAGCATATTAACTAAAACTAAAAATAAAATATTGGGTAGATACACGTAAATAAGCAGATATGTATAGCTAAGCATCTATTCCATGCAAGGATTCTTTCGAAATATTTTGCAAAAATAAAATCTTAGAGATATATATATAATATTCACTATATTTACTCACTAATATATAGTATCATAATTTAAAAACATATATACTGGGTGCTTTTTTTTTTTTTTGACTGTTGCATATATTGGTGCTTCTTTACATTTTTTCAATAATTATGATATTAATTTTCCGTTTTCTTTTCTTAACAAGAACAAATAAAATTTCTTGTGCAACAAAGGTACAGTAGCATGACCATCAGAGTATGCAATCCTTGGAGTGGACTGAGCCAAAGGAACTGGATACTCATTCAGCTAACCAGTATTTATCAGAACATACAGGAAGCAGTTAGTGAGCAAGTTTATTATGGATCTACAAAACCCTATTGTGTGGGTGGTAAACCATGCATCAATAAGTCCCATATATAGACACCTCATGCAAGAATGCTAAATGGTTATGATGTTATTTAGATCACTCCTTGGATGAAATAATAAAAATTGTTACCTGAGACATAAGACATAAATTTTGAGCACCCTACTAACAGAGTAGATTAATTTTTTTTTTTTTGAAAAGAATGGAATAGATTAATGAACATGAAGAAACACAGTAATAAGGTAGCAAATGTTTCACACATCTCAAAAACTGACCATTCCCAAGCATCAATTAGAACTGTTGATGCAAGGATTGTTGGACTGTGCCCGGCTATGAGGTATTGTCCATTTTGAGGCGAACGAACATTTCATGAAAGGGGAGAAAGATCAATTCCAAATATAAAATTCATGTTAGAGATTGCATATATTTTGTGATGATATAGTGCAAATGTTATGCCACAACTAACTTTGAAAACAGAAAGCAGTATACTGTCAAATTGAAATTGTCAAAAGCATTACAAACCTCTGCAGCCATTCGTGCCCATTTGTTTCCCAACTTAGCATGTAGCTCAATTATGCGGCGCTCTTCCTCTGTAGTGAATACGCCCTTCTTCAAATCCGGTCTTAGGTGGTTTGCCCAACGCAAGCGACAGCTTTTCCCACATCGGGAAAGTCCCGAGTTTTTCTGGACAGCATTCCAATTCCCCTCACCATGTTTCTTTACATAGTCCACTAGAATCGCATCTTCTGTTGAAGTCCAAGGTCCTTTCTTTAAATGACAGCTTTCTCTCATGCTGCCTCTCCTACTACCTTCTTCAACTGATGATAAGTCAGAGTGACCTTTCCGCATTATTCTGTTGCCTCTATTTTGATATTACAAGAACCAAAACGCAAAGATTTCTTCAGCACTACCAACATGGTACCTAGGGCAATACTCCAATTTATCCATTTTAACAGAAAAACATGATCCTTTCTATTCGTTCTGACCATTTATATTGTGACCTTCAGCAGCACTAAAACCTACTCTATTAATGTAGCATGATCTCGATCATGTTTACGTTATTTCTTTTATGGTAAGCCGAGCATACTGGAACGATTTTAATGCTTCAAAAATTTGATCGTAACAACTTAACTGACAATGTATTCCAAAAATTACATTTTCCGTTGTCCATTCTTAATGATTTTCTTTGAAATAAAAGAAATTAGAGAATCATTTCTACGTACAAACTCAGCTTATTATTTCCATTTCCTACCCCTTATTTTACCAAAACAAAGGGGAAAAAAACAACTACAAAATGAGTGGAAAAGAATTTATACATATTAAAACTGTTCTTACCTGAATAAGTTGAATAGTAGTGGAATTCGCAAAGCTCATCCAAACCCTAAATGCTTATCACCGATGTCCAGAACCAAAAGCAAAAGAAAGAAGAATAAAGAAAGTCACAAAACGAGTATTTGAAAAAGAAAAGAGTAACAGAGAAAGAAAAGAGAAACAGAAATTAGAAGTGGGAATGGGAATGGGAAATTATGAATAAATCAACTCCAGAAAGCCACATTTTCTTTGGAATTTAAAGGAGAGTGAGAGCTGATTCAATTGGATTTAAGAGTGAAGACGCTTTGGATTTTAATTTTATTTTGTTTTATTTTTTTTAAAAAAAGTGAGAAACCTAAACTAGAAAGGAAAGTAGAGATGGCAAAAGGAGAGGGAAAATAGGAGAGAGAAGAGGAGAAAAGGACCAGCTCTGCTCCATTTCTCTGCTCACCTCTCTGCTTTTTGAAATTTTTTTTCTTTTTTTATTTTTTTTACTTTCTAGTTTTAGTTGAAAAAATATCCCAAGTACGAATGAGTACCTCTTTCCTAGTGTTTTATTTTTACCCTTGATTTATCTATATTTAGAAAAACCCCTTCTCTTTGTTCTACCCTTTTTACTATAAAGATCCACAAACTTATAATTAGCAGACTTTTTTGTTTGAAATCATATAAGATATATATGTTAGTATATGTATGTATATTTGTATATTGTATATTTTATTAATCTTTGGATTTGAATCTTCCAATTATTCAAAAATGATTAATTATTCTTCTGATATCAACAAAATTTTAATATTAATTAAATAGTGAATTCAATAAAGTTTTGTTTCCATAGTAAAAAGGGATTTTGAAAATTTTAAGCCCATAGTTAAGTTTTTTCATAAACGAAGCTTGGATGTTTCAATATTGTATGTTGAATTTTGTCTAACTATGTATTAATTGGCTTATATTTTCATATATATATATATATATATATAAATAATTATATTAAAAGTTGTTTGATTGTAATTATCGGTTTTAGTTGTTCATGTAATTTTATTAATAAAATTGTATAAAAACATACAAAAGAATTAAGTTTTTACCCACCCCAAAAAACACAGCAGATTGAATATTGACGTAACTAATAGAAATGGTGTTTGTGATAATACTGCTAAATGTACAGATTAAGTCATTGCGGCTGGGCGGACTGTGGATTGCTCCATGATTTACTAGGAGACCTGGATTTAGAATTAGTTCCCAAGGCTAAGGGCGCCGAGTAGGATGCAATTATTAATTCCGTGGAGCCAGCAAGCTCTCCCATGGCCACGTGGGTTACATCCCAATCATAGTTGTAGGTAAGCAAAATGTATACAAACAAGATACAAATGTGTGCAATGGCTAACATTAGCAGGTACTTTGTCAAGATGAGGTTTCGTCTATGGCGGAACAAGCAAAAATGAAAATAAACCGCAGAGTCTTCCAATCCCCATCACAGATACTCAAGAAACCTCAGCGAAACTGGTACTCCGTCTCAATCCCTCTGGCAGCCATGAGATTTTCGTGGGGAATGGATAGTTCCATTTTCTAATTTGCTGATTAAATCCAATCTGCGAACCTCCACTCTTCCATGCAATTTCGCAACACCCGAAAGCATGGAGCATTCTAATTCCGATCCGACAAACCAACCTATCCCGATGTTGCATGATTTCTTCACTACTCCAGAATTTCTGGATTAGAAAATTGGAAACTTGCAAAGATTTGAAGCCCATAGAATGAAATTAAAGAAATCTATTCAATAAATAAATAGGAATACTAATATCAATCCGATCATCTAGATTGAATAAAACAAAGAATGCGTTTGGTATTAAGAATGTGAGTCCCAATCTCACAATTTTAATTGAGAGATATCACATTCTTATATTTGATCTAAAATATATCTATGCAAATGTCTTTCCATTTTCAGTTAGTATGCAATTCTCTTTTCTCTTTTTTCATGTTTTTTTTTATGTATTCGTTATTGGATAATATTTTAAAAAGTTCATGAACTATTTAAGAAACTTCAAATAAGTTATTATTATTTTATTATTTAATTAAATTTTTATAATTTTATTTTAAATCAAATAGACTTTTGTAAATAATAGTTCACTAATTGTAGTTAATTAAAAAGTCACTTGTCATATTTTTGAAAAAAATATTTTATCTTTTTATACTATATAATGTTGATATAATATGTTCTCATATTATAGTGGATAATAATATTACGAAGTAATATGACAGGATGCTATAATCGCGTGTCATCTTATCTTTTATGTAAGCATCATCAATACCACATGACATAAAAAGTGATAATTGATATTTTAACTAATGATATTTAATTAATCATTAATTATAAATATTTATTTGATTCAAAATAAAAATATAAACACTTAGTTATAAGTAATAAAAAATAAAAATTATTTAAAATTTTTTAAATACTTAAAAAACTTTATAAAGCATTATGCCTTTGTTATTCTTTTGCATTTTTGCTATCAATAGCCTTTGGAAGTTTTTTAATTGCTTCTAATACTAAATTCTTGATTTTCTAGTCTAGGTTTTAGCAAACTTAATGCAGAATAAATTAATTTTAACATAATTCTTTGACCTTGACAATTTTTTTTAATTTCTTCCATTCCTACAAGCTAATTAGCAAGATTAAGTCATGTAGTTTAGAATTTGCATCTGATATGGTTTTTAATAATGTCTACATGTACTTAGTGAAGAGTTTCTTATATACAATAAAACTTTTATAAATTAATATTTGATAAATTATTAATATTAATTAAATAATAATTTTAATCTGTCCAATTTGAGACTAATGTGGTAAATTAATAATTCACTAAATTTATAAGATAATATATTTTTAAAAAAAACACATAAGTTTCACATGGTATATAAATTAATAATCTTCTTATAAATCAAAATCATATGTATATATGACTTAATTAAAAGGTTTTTATAAAATATGGCTCTAATGTTATTTGTTTCTTTTTAAAATTGATGTTTCCTTATACCTCATTTTTAACTTTTCTTAATGCATTAAGAAGTTATGATGTATTCTCGTATTATAAGAGAAATTACACAATATGATTGCTGCTTTAAGTGTATATTTGCACGAGATAAGCTCTAGTATAAAACTATTATCTTCTTTTTCTTTTTTTTTCTCTCTTTTTCAACACCGTAAAGTCTCTATTTTCTTTTTTTTTTGTAAAGCACTATTGTTAAGACTCTTGATTGCGTACGAAATATATGTTTCATTTTTGAAGGAAGTTATATACAATTAGACCCAAACAAGTACTTAAGTTATTGAATTAGGCAAACTCGATTGGTCCTGCACATTTCTTTATCTTCATTTAATTGGACTCGTGCTCCACTTTTGAATTTGCTATACATTAATATGCAATATAGAGGAAAGTCATAGTCCTACCTATTCAAAAAGGAAAAAGCTCTCAAAATTTCAAAAAATTATCAAGTTGTGTCCAAGAATTACTATTAGTTTAAATACTTACTAAGTTTTTGTACTCATTTATTTTATTCAATTTAGTCTTTGTATTCAAAATCGAAGCAATTTAACCTCATTGATTTTGAGAATTATTTTAATTTAGCCACTCTCTTTAACAGCATCAAATTTTACCATAAAAAAAATGACGTTAGCATTGAGGTGGCACATTTTAGTGACGTGGCACTAACATGATGACATGACAGTGCCACATGATACTAATATGATGCAATGTTAATGTAACATTGACATATTAAAGTATCGGTTTCACGTGACAGATTAAGCAAAATAAATTAAAAAAAAATTATGCCATATTATAGGGACTAAATTGAATAAAATTGAAATGTTGAGGGACTCAATTGATAAAAATATTTAAAAAATATAAATCCTTAAATAGATTATACATATACTAATAAATAAGTCAAATGTTTAAGTATAAAAGATTTAGACTAAATGTTCAAGCTAGGGCTAAAACCTTTAAGTTTTGTCAATTTAGAACCAAACATTTTAATTGTAACAATCAAAAGCCAAATGTTTTTGGTTCTTTATAATTAAAGGCTAAGTTGAGAGGTATCTGGCTCATGTAGGACAAGCGCATGATGTGGCGCTAGCTTGGAAAGGTAAGATATGAAAAGGTAATTTGGTCAAAAAATCTTTTTTGTAAAGTCCAAATGGTTCAAATTATGATGTAATGTGTAACAACTTTTTTATCATGACGTGTAATAATTACATTTTTCAATATAACGTGTAACAATTAAATTTCAACATTGTGTGTAACACTTATATTTTTAAATATGACGTGTAATAACTAAATTTTCAACATAGTGTATAACAACTATATTTTTCAACATGGCATATAACAACTAGATTTTCAACATAACATGTAACAACTACATTTTTTGATATGATGTGTAACAACTAAATTTTTAACATAACATGTAACAACTATATTTTGAAAAAGAATTTTTATCGCGTGTGAAATACGCTTCATCTACCCATCAACTAAGTTCATAATTGTTACAATTGAAACGTTTGACCTTTAATTAAAAAGGTGTCCAAATTTTTAGCCCTAATTTGAGCATTTAGCTAAAGATTTATGGTATTAAGAAATAAATAAATATATATATTCTTACTTGATCATTGGATTTCATAAGTTACATTAATTTATCTATTTTACAAAAATTAAGTTTGAATTCCCCTTTTATAAAAACAATTTTAATATTTTATTTATATATTTATAAAATGATAGCATCGTCATTTACACAAATTCTAAAAACACTTATAATTAGGATTTTATTTTTACAGTTATAAAAAGCAATAATTACTCTTCTTCTTGGTCACCTTTTAGTCTTCTTCTTTGTTCTTTGTTTTTCCCATTAGAAGTTTAATTTATCAATTAATTATTACAAAATAGGGACAATGATTACATATTTATGTTTTAGGATTCTATTTTAGATTTTTTTTAAATTCTTTTAATTTAAGGACCAAACAACTTTCTAATAACAATGTTTGTGCATGTTTAAGCCTCAATGTTTTTTGTTTTTGTTTTTTTAGTTTTTTCTTTTAAAAAACTGAAGAAGAGAGGTATGGAGTTAGTAATGATTATAAAAATAATTTTTTATTTTGACTTGCTTAATTTGAACATGAAAAATCTTTTATTGCACCCATTGAATTTGAGTTACTCCAACCCTTCAATTTTTTGTTTATTTGTTTTATTTTATTTAATATTTCAAGTTATATTTTTTAAGTTGAAATTTCTTAAATTAAAAATAGTATTTATGACTGATAAAGTTAAATATAATTATAAATATTTATACCATTTTATTTTGTATTTATAAATTTTTTATAAATTCAAATTAATAATTTAATTTTAAATTTAACAAAGTTTTTTAAATAAATTTGTTTATAAAAAGTTTTGAGTAAATTGAATAAGAATTGAATGATTCCAAAA